TAAAGCTTTCGTGACTGCAGGGATTATAATCTTCTTGGTTCTTTCGGTAAAGTCACGTAGAATGGAAATAATAAAATAATACAAATAAAACATAATAAAATAATTCTCACGACGTTTTGGCCACAACGCAAGCAGCCGTCCTCAGGTGGAGAACAGGTCTGTCGAGGAGACAGAGAGTCTGAATGACTGAATGACTCTGTCTCCTCGACAGACCTGCTCTCCACCTGAGGACTCGACAGACCTGTTCTCCACCTGAGGACGGCTGCTTGCGTTGTGGCCGAAACGTCGTGAGAATTATTTTATTGTTTTATTTTTATTATTTTATTATTTCAATTCTACGTGACTTTACCGAAAGAACCAAGAAGATGGGCACGTTCTGTTTACGTGACAAACCTTACTAATTGGCCGTGTCGGGAGATGGCGGTTTTAACGAAACATTTGTATTTACGGGATCGAACCCAAAAAAATCTGCATTAAGGCAATCCCCTGTTGTCAATTCGCAAAAGAGTCGGCCAAATGTCACGAAGCCGCATCGCAACATTGCCCCCCCCCCCCGCCCGCCTCCTACTGGTAGACTGTTGTGCGCTGGCATGTCGGTGCTGCGTTTACCTTGTGTTCTTGTGCGCACGTACGCGTGTTGAACTTCTTTCACACCGTACGTAGCCAACCATGCTAATTTAGAGGTGTGGGTCCGTAATATCCAAAGCAGTCCTGAAATCGAACTCTCCCCCCTATGGTTAACTTTTCAGCACAAAGAAATATGACCGACATGGCATGGGGAAGCCCTTATTAATTCAGCGGATGATTGATTATTGCTGTTTTATTGCTTTTGCACTGAGTAAGTGAATACGAGTGTGCACGCATGAGAGTGCGTCTAAAGTAGCATTATCCACGGCTCGGGACTGCTGCCACTAAAGGGGGTCCCCTCCCCTAGGGCGCCTCAAGATGATAATAACGAGTGGGACAAATGTGCCCAGAATGCAGCAGGGCAGGTCACCGAGACGGGCGTTGACATGGCGCCCAGAGGTCAAGAGGTCAAGAGGCGGGCAGGTCGCGGTGCCGGTGGGAGGTGTGGGAGCGGACCCTGAAGGTCAGCTGACGACTGCGAGCGGCGGCAGGATCTGACTGAAGGGGAAGGGAACGATCGATGGAGAGGCACGGAGGCATCGACATCGTTGCCCCGTGTTGATCGACCTCCGGGTCTTGATCAATACGGCATTATTGCGTCTTCACGGCGAACCCACGCAACCGCACGGCTTCCTCGGCGGCAGGGTTTTCGTGGGACACCCTTCCACGAAATGGCGTCTACTCGGTGGTTGATGTCAATGTGGAAGTCCCGACGTGAAATGTATTTGTCCTGCAGCCCATGTTCACTGACACGCGCGAGACTAAGATCCCCGTGTAGCCTTAACAGACTGTTGGGGCCAGTGCTGTTAGCGAGTACCTGATGAAGGCCGGCACACGATGGGTTGGGTTGCCAGCACCATGCCCGGCGGCCTTTGTCTCCCCAGTGGTGATGTTTACCCACGACACCAAATACTCATTTGAGGCTGAGTCGACCTAGGGGAGGCCCAGGACCGGATCAGATATCACTGATGTTGGCCATGAGCGAGAATTGAACTCGGGTGGTCTGTTTTGTAGCGCAGTGTGCTAAGTCCTACACACCAATACCAACTCACTCCATTCGCCACTAAGTGACTGTAACATCACCACAGCGCCCGTGCCAGGCCAGGTGCACTTTGACGCCACGTGAAGTGTCGAAGGCTCCGTTTCAGTTTCATGTATTAGGTGTCCCCCTGTGAGCCATTCGGCTCTTGAATCGGGTGCAACTGCAACAAACAAAAACCTGAACAAGAAACATCTTAGAGAAACATTCATGCTCGCTGGCAGGAAGTCACGGGACAGACCCGGCAGGTGCCGTGGGTTGGCTGACTGAGATGACTGGCAAATTCACCACCAGCAGTACCCCCCTACTGTGCCAGGCTAGGTGCAGGAGGAGGTCACGGGACAGACCCGGCAAGTGCCGTGGGTTGGCTGACTGAGATGACTGGCAAATGCACCACCAGCTGTACTCCTTACTGTGCCAACTTACTGCATATTAGCCCCCCGGCTCTCCACTCGTTGTTGTGAAAGTCGCTCTTCTGCCCTCCGTTGTTGTTGGAAGGCGACTGGTCAGTTGGAGGGCAACTGCGTCCATAGAGGCCGATTTTGACATCACTGGTACCAGGCTTGGGCTCTCAGCTCCGCATTCTCCCGTACCACATCAGTCCATCTCCTGTCCAGCCCGTGTCGTGCCCATTTAGCCCCGTCTATCCGGCCAAACAGTCCTACACATTCTAGATTTGATTCTAGATTTGAAGCTTTCGTGACTGCAAGGATTCATACTCGTAGGTTTTTTCGGTAAAGTCACGTAGGTAAAAATAAGTCCTACACACCTGCACTCCTTCACACACATTCACGCAGACTGCCACATTCCCTCTTGCTGAAAGTGACCCGGCTCAAAGCTGAACTTGAGGCGGCACTGAGCATGGACCCAGCCGTGCTCACGATTCCCATGAGCTGAGCCTGAACCGATCCGTGGCTGAGCCGTTCGTGCGTCTTCGAAAGCAGCCGAGCGGTTCCAGCCTGGGCCTAACCTGAGTGTTAGAGACCGTTCGTGTTTCCACCATGATGACGGTCGCTTCTGTTGCTATCGAAACCGCGTAGTTTTTTTTTGTTTAATATTTTTTGAACCTATCTACGTGACTTTACCGAAAGACCCAGAGAAATATGAATTCCTGCAGTCACGAAAGCTTTTAAGTCAAGATTTGAGTTTTAGAGGCCGAGCCATAGCCCCGATTAGGAACCCAGTCCTGTCCACGCCTAAAATACTTTGATTATGCAAAGCCGATGAATTATGCAGTTTGCCAGACTTTTAGTTTTTACCTTTTTTTTACATTTTTGGGGATTTATTGCCACTAAAAGCTTTCAGATTAATCTTGGGTAAAGGGACCCCCCATGGGAGATGGGCGATGTTGAGACTGATCTGACAGTTTTTGTTCCAACCAGTTGCAAACAAGCGACATTGCTCATGCGGGCATGATGCAGGCGGTGCAGATTTGAATGCGCTTTGCTTTTCTGTACTTATTATCTCGACTGCAAAATTCGGAAATTATGCACTCCCAAAAGGCTGATGTGTGTTAAAAATAAATTGTATTGTTTTATGTAGAGGGACAGATTTGTGAAGGAGGTGATTTGAACGGCCCCCGAACATGACGTCTGAGAAAACAAAGAGCTTCATTGCTCATCGGATTTCTCCAGGATAGATACAGATCCCGATGGCGATCGTCTGCTTACTGATTTTGCGACTCGAGTCTTACTCTCTGGTTCTTTCGGTAAAGTCACGGAGATAGAATAAATACTAAAATAAAACACGACGTCTCGGTCGCAACACAAGCGTCCGTCTTCAGGTGAGAAACATGATCTGCTGTTGTGGCTTCATATTGGCACGGGAGGGGGGGGGAGTTTGGCTGTGGGAGTTCACAGGGGGGGAGGGTTTGTGGCGTGCAGGGACGGGTGGGGCTGGAGAAATTAGCAAGTTAATGGACTTGAATTAGTAATCAGACAACAAAACACACGGGTGGGTGAGTGAAAATCACAGCAGTTAAAACTTGACGCGGTTTATCACATCCTTCCAATGATTGCTCAACCTGAATCCGATCTTCTCGGTTAAAGTGTTGTCTGTGTTTGTATATCTGGATGGCTTCATGAACAAATCTCTGATGTCGGCCCGAGGGTTAGTCTTATACACAACAACGATGGTCATGATTTTTCCCCATTGTATGCTAAGGTCACAATTCTTAAAGTTTTTTTTTTGGGGGGGGGGGTATCCTCCGTCAGACAAAAGCTCTAGGTATCCTCCGTCGGGGTGGAAAGCCTGGGAAGTCTGACCTACCCCCACGTGCATTGCGTCCGCGCGGAAAGTTGGAATCGGCCAGGCTTATGGGCTGGAGATGGGGAGGTGTGACGGTGGACAGGGCGGCCACTGAGTGGCCGTCGGCAAAAGCCTCGCAATCTTTATTTGGCCCGGAGGAATCCGCTGAGCCGACGAATCTCTTTTATGAAAGAGCTGGTGAAAGGGGCCTGAACAAAAACCACGTTTCTCCTTTGAAGTCTCTCGTGCAGACCTGGCGAGTGTCAACAACTTGCGGTCCTGGCGCTTACACGCGCGCGCGCACGGACGTCGTGATTTTAGATCGGATCGTAGTCACCGTTCTCTGAGGTCGTCGTCTGTGGTATAAAAAAAAAACGACCTCACCAAGTGTTGTCGGAATTGGTGCCAATCTTTCTGCTTCGTACGTACGCACCCGCATACGTACCCACGTACTCACGTACGTACGCTCGTACGTACTCACGTTGAGCTTCTCTCGCACCGCACGTAGAGCCAACCGTGCTGATCGGAGGTGCGATTCACTTCGCGCTACGAACGGTGAAAAAAAACCCGCCACTTTTTTTATTTTGACCACAGACACACTCTTAAGCAGCGCTTCAACCGCGGGTCACGATAATCGTGTATTGGTACGAATTTAACGCCCAACTTTGCGTTGTTGTTTCTTCTTCGGCACCAGCAGTGCGTTCATCTCTCTCTCTCTCTCTCCGTGGTGTATTCGGTGAGCGCGCACCGGGACTGGCAACCCAGAGGTCGCTGGTTCGGTTTGACGGAGCAAGTTTCTCAAATCCCCCCCCCCGCCCCCCCGCCGCCCCCACTGCCTCAGTTCAGCAAACACGTGGACGGGTCCACGACATCTTAGCCGACGACTGGCCGCTCGTGTGTGGTGGGGTCAAGTGGGGAACTCCCACATCTCCCAAGACGTCCGTCCAGCGTGTGACATATTCTACAGCGGCCCTCTCGAGTCTCTCCCCTCTCTCTCTCTACCGAGGCCCCTTTCACCGGCTCCGGCGTGAGCGCTTGCAGGGCTGCGCCTTGACTTGCCCTCTCTTCCCCCGTCTACGTTCAACAGGTTAACGGTGAAGGCGGAGTGTCCCATGATCCTCGAAGACTTCCCGATGGACACCCACGCCTGCCCGCTGAAGTTTGGCAGCTGTGAGTATTCTGTTTCATGTTCACTTGCTGGGCGCGTGACCGATGCTGTCAATTATTTATGATGTGAAAACAGATGTAGACACGGTGCCAAACACGCTGCCGTGACACGGGGTTGCACGAAGACAAAGATCCCCCGTGTAGCCTCAACAGTCCTTTCGGGGCAAGTGCTGTTAGCGAGCACCTGTGAAGGCTGGCACGGCACACGAGGGGGATGGGTGGCCAGCACCACGCCCGGCCGCCTTTGTCTCCCCAGTGGCGATGTTTACTACACACCGCACCAGGTACTCGTTTGAGGCTGAGTCGACCTAGGGGAGGCCCAAGACGGGATCCGATAATCGTCATTGGTATTGACTGTGAGCAGGAATCGAACCCGGATGGCCGTGCTCATAGCGCAGCGCGCGAACCGCTCCCCACCGGGTTGCAAGGCAACGCACACACACACCAGACGATAAGATGCACCCCAAATGTATAGATATTGTTTAGGTGCATCGTCATAAAAAAAATAACCCAGAGAGAAAAGGGTGCGTCGTATAATCCAGAGAATAATATGCGAGAGTGACTCTGGCGAGGTTATGAAACAGGACGGCTAAATATACAATCTAAGTAAGGCGAGCTAAATATATACTCGCACCCTCGATGTTATCATCATTAAACGCTAATCCAGTTGAGTGGTGCCCTGGTTACAACACTTGACTCGCAATGCAAACGTTACGAAAACATCTCATGCTCATGTATCCAGGGGAAAGCTCATCGTGTCCGTTTAAACAGTTGGCGTTTTACATCGTACTGGAGGAATCGTGGAGAACCCGGTGTAGAACGCCCCGTGCGAAAGATTCGTTCGAAGCTACTTGACACGCTGCACGGGGTGACCCCATCACCGTGGGTGTTTGTCACGCAATCCTCTCGCCCTGTGAAGAAGGAAGATTACACCTAAAAGCGTCGCCTATTTCTGCTTCAGGTCCGCGGTGTTCTTGCCGAGCGTGTCAGCGAGTCGTTACGAGCGCGGTAGTCGTGACAACTACGAGAACGTGCTCAGCAATAGAGACCGCCGATCTTTTACGCCCGGGGCGTCTGGGAGTGCTTTAAACGCGCGGCTTCGCTTCTCGCGGTGCACCGCCTCTCCTCTCGTCTCGACGCCTCCGTAAGGGGCCAGGCCACAGAGGCAGCTGTACCCGTGCAGCCTGAGATGGTACTCGGCGCAGGGCCTGCGAATCGACAGTGCGTAATCCCAATTTGACTGATTTGCAGGTCATTTGAATTGAGCAAAGTCGCACCGTGACACGGGACCGCACGAATGGCCCGCTCGTTTCAAATGGCGTCGTGCGATCTTTTTAACGTTCAATGCGAGGCAGGCGGCAAGTGGAATGTATTCACCGCGGTTAATGCGCGCCGCGGCGTTAACCGGGGCGGCCCGCGTTATTCGAACTGCGAACCTTTGCAATAAAACGGCCAACTCACTGCCGCTGAGAGCTCAACCCGAGCTCTCAGTGCTCTGACACGTGCATTGACTTGGTGTTGTTCGCCTGTTGGCGTTCTCTGCTCTGACACTGGTGAGACGAGAAGGCTGTCTCTGGTGTAGGCCAATCAATTTACAAGATCAGTGCATAGATGATTATCACAGCGTGTCTGTATGTATGTTCACCGCAAGTCCTGTGCGTGCTTAATGCAGTTCTTGATTCCTGGCACAAAGGCGTCTATTTGGGTGTCGCAACGTCTTAACACCTTTTGTTTTTACACCATTGGAACCTCATTTGCCAGTAAAAAATATAACTGTTTTTTTACCCTTTTATCTGGCAACAAAACTGACACTTTTTTACGAGGAGTCATGTTTGCATAGACCACAATACCTGCATGTGAGACTAGGCTCTAAGGAAAGCTGTCTCGGGTGTGGACAAATCAACTTCAAGGACAGTGCATACATTATCAGAGATATGTTTTTTGTTTGCATTATGACTGCAGGTATTGTGGTCTATGCAAATATGTCTCCTCGTAAAAAAAGGTGTCAGTTTTGTTGCCAGATAAAAGGGTAAAAAACCAATGATCACCTCCTGTTTTATTGCCAGAAAGGGTTAAAGCCTCTTCTTATTATTCATTCGTCGATACTGGCAAAGAAAGGTGCCATTGTACTTCCGTCACCGCCCTACGCCATGGGGTTTGTGATCGGCCGGCCGGCATCACCGCGGTGAATGACAACCGCGGTGAATGACAACCGCGGTGAATGACAACCGCGGTGAATGACAAACGCGGTGAATGACAACCGCGGTGAATGACAACCGCGGTGAATGACAAACGCGGTGAATGACAAACGCGGTGAATGACAAACGCGGTGAATGACAACCGCGGTGAATGACAACCGCGGTGAATGACAACCGCGGTGAATGACAACCGCGGTGAATGACAACCGCGGTGAATGACAACCGCGGTGAATGACAACCGCGGTGAATGACAACCGCGGTGAATGACAACCGCGGTGAATGACAACCGCGGTGAATGACAACCGCGGTGAATGACAACCGCGGTGAATGACAACCGCGGTGAATGACAACCGCGGTGAATGACAAACGCGGTGAATGACAACCGCGGTGAATGACAACCGCGGTGAATGGCAACCGCGGTGAATGACAACCGCGGTGAATGACAACCGCGGTGAATGACAACCGCGGTGAATGACAACCGCGGTGAATGACAACCGCGGTGAATGACAACCGCGGTGAATGACAACCGCGGTGAATGACAACCGCGGTGAATGACATCCGCGGTGAATGACAACCGCGGTGAATGACAACCGCGGTGAATGACAACCGCGGTGAATGACAAACGCGGTGAATGACAACCGCGGTGAATGACAACCGCGGTGAATGACAACCGCGGTGAATGACAACCGCGGTGAATGACAACCGCGGTGAATGGCAACCGCGGTGAATGGCAACCGCGGTGAATGACAACCGCGGTGAATGACAACCGCGGTGAATGACAACCGCGGTGAATGACAACCGCGGTGAATGACAACCGCGGTGAATGACAAACGCGGTGAATGACAACCGCGGTGAATGACAACCGCGGTGAATGGCAACCGCGGTGAATGGCAACCGCGGTGAATGGCAACCGCGGTGAATGACAATCACGGTGAATGACAACCGCGGTGAATGACAACCGCGGTGAATGACAACCGCGGTGAATGACAACCGTGGTGAATGACAACCGCGGTGAATGGCAACCGCGGTGAATGGCAACCGCGGTGAATGACAACCGTGGTGAATGACAACCGCGGTGAATGACAACCGCGGTGAATGACAACCGCGGTGAATGACAACCGTGGGGGTTGCGGTGGCTGTGACTGATGCACGCTCAGCAGACGCCTACACCAACAAGGAGGTGATCTACAGGTGGAAGAACGGCGCCAACTCTTCGGTGGAAGTGGCCGAGGACGGCTCGCGCACCAACCAGTACCAGCTGATGCATTACACGGCGAGCACCTCCAACATCAAGTCCAGCACAGGTTTGTCGCCTGGGTGGAGCAGCGCGCGCCTGCGTTCCGCTGCCACTCTCCGTAGTTTGGTTTGTTTTCATTGACTCTTGTTTTACGCGGAAAAGCTTCCCTCTGAACTGGACAGGAGCGAGTCTGTGTGTTTTTTGGACGGTCCCAGTGCTTTTCAGTAGCGGTGGGGCGACGTTGACGCTGTGTGTGCGATCCAAATTGAGTCAATTTAAGGTGATTTCTTTATTATTGTTTCTAGCATTGTGATGTTTTGGTTAATACCAGCACGTCGAGAAGCCATAGTGGAGTGCTGTGAAGAACGGCCCATTGCCCCGAAATGAAACATTTATTTATCAGGCCGCACAGTGTTTATTGACGAGCGTGTTTCCAGCGACCCCGTAGCCATTAGTGCCCTTGCACCGCTACCCACGCAACGACGTCGCCAAATGATGACCGAAAAAACATCGCTCGCTCGCTCGCTATTATTACATTGACGTGGTTTTAAAGGAGTTCCAAGCGGTCAATTTGTGACACCGATAGCCCAGTGGGGACGAAACTGGCCGAACAAAATATACACAGGGAGGTAAACCGAAGAGGACATCGCGTGCTTTTGCAGTCGTTGTGAGCCACACTCCGGGCAGTGCTCACAATAGCGGCCACTCGTCATGGCGACGGAGTGGATGGATGACTCGCTCTCCATACACGCAGCCAGCGCGCAGCGGCCAGGTCATTGAAAAAAGACACTGGGACGTGAGTGAGTGCGTGTAATTGAGAGTGTGCGCGCAGTGGGGGGGGGGGGGGGGTATAGGTGAGGCACCTTGTCAGCAAATTACTCCGAGTCTGTGAACTCGTAACACCTGGGGTCTCTCCCATTGCCACACGTGGCATCAACGGTGCACCTAGCCTGGCACGGAGCACATTCGCCAAGTCATGAGCACGTGGCGTTTGTCACGTGCGGCGTGGCCTCAGGGACAGACGGGTGGCACAGTGCAGGTGATGCGTCCGCTGGGTCGTACCGTTAACCAATCGCGTCCGTGTCTTGTCCCGTGGCCCATGTCACGTGTCGTCAAAGTGCCCCTGGCCTGGCCACCGTTGTTCTGTGCGAATGGCCGCGCGTCGCTCAACGTGCCGCGCTACCAACCCGGCAGGCAGGCCGGCCGGGTTTAATGTCTAAAGCCGGTCCTGCAGGGTCTCCCCTAGATCGACTCGGACTGAAACGAGTAGCTTGCGTGGTGTATAAACATCGGCGGCTAGGCATGGTGCTGGGCCGCTCATCCCCGCATCTGCCATACCGGCCTTCGTACGTGTTCGCTAACAGCACGTGCCCGCGACGGTGTGTTGAGGCTTTGTGTATGCGTAGCGACATCGCGGATGTCACTGTGTAATGCCGGCACTAGAGAGATGTATCGACATCGCGGGCACCACGTGGATGTGGGTGCAGTACCGGCCATAGAGGGGCTCGGTGAGCGCTGACTGGCAGCGCTGAGTGGCACCACGCTCTGCATGCAGTGCCGACCCCTACAGGATAGGGCGCGAGAGTGCCGGCCATTGGAATGGGGTTACTAAGGGCCTTGGCACTCTGGCTGACCCCGAAGGACACGTGACCGGTAAAGTCTGCACAGGGCCCCCAGGTGGGGGCTAGGGGTGGTCACGTGTCAGGGCCGAGATCCTGCTCGAGGGTTCTAGAAGGTGGGCGTGGCTAAGGGCGGAGCCAGCCACACCACGGAGGATACAAGCCGGGTCCCCGAGAGGCACCGGCTGCTGTGGTTACCCTGAAGAATCTACGTTCCACGCCCCAGAAGCGTCACCCACACGTGGACCTGGACCCAAGTTGGGGTCCTGTCCGTTGTAGCTACTCCCAGTGTAGCTAGTGCAGTTAGCCTGGTGGTCCACCACTACAGTGTGTAGCTAGCCTGGTGGTCCACCACCACAGTGTGTAGCTAGCCTGGTGGTCCACCACCACAGTGTGTAGTTAGCCTGGTGGTCCATCACTATAGTGTGTAGTTAGCCTGGTGGTCCATCACTATAGTGTGTAGTTAGCCTGGTGGTCCACCACCATCGGTTGGTATCTGGTGAAGGGGCAGTTGCCCCTTTGTGTTGGCATCAATACATGTGTTGCCTGCGACTCAGTTGAACTCACTACACATGTGTGCACTTGCAGGGGAGTACGTCGTGTTGGTGACGGAATTCCACCTGAAGCGGAAGATCGGATACTTTGTCATCCAGACGTACCTGCCCTGCATCATGACCGTCATCCTCTCGCAGGTCTCCTTCTGGCTCAACAGAGAGTCCGTCCCAGCTCGGACCGTGTTTGGTGAGTGGACGCTTGATGACCAAACTTCACCGGTGTGTTCTCATTACCACGATTGCGGGGTGCGGGCCCAAAAGGCCCCAAAACTGCACACAGCCAGCAACAAGCAGCACTATTAAAAGTTACTCGAACGATGGATGGGTTCACCACGACCTACGACTCAACCCCTAAAAGTCTCGCGACTCGTAACGTTGTCAGAAGTCACGACGTATGAAGGTGGCCGTTTCCGTCGCCGTGGCCGGCACATCCCTACAAAACCATGGGGCAATCTCACACTTCTAGGGATTACACTCGAACGAATATCTCGCCTTAGAATGATGTCATGTGAGCGAGTTCATCTGGTCTTGCACTTACCACCTACGTCTCATCGGGAATTGCATAGATCAGGATGTCGCATATCAGAGTCGCAGTCTTTATTTAGACGGCAGGAGGGATGCTATTAACTACGAAGCTTTCTGTTCAGTCTCTTCTCCACATGGCCTCGATTGTGTCCATGGAAAGAGGCACAGCTGTCAATCCACACGGTTTACCCTGTGTTCTTGTTCAGGTCCATACGGTCGACAGCCGTTTCTATACGGGCGACATTTTTTGTCTATTTGTTTGTGTTTCTCCCTTGTGATGGGACTTTGTAGGATGAACATTGAGATGTATAAGGGGCACGGGGTGACCAATAAAGTCTGAGTTGGTCTGTAATAAGGTAGGGCACTGGTAAGGGGTTGCTGCATTGATGCATTGATGCAGTAAATCTGGCTGTGACGGTCCCACCTGATGACGGAGACTTGTGTTGCCTCCGAAACGTCGTGATTTTTATTTTATTTTTTATTAATTTTAATTTCATTTTTTACCTACGTGACTTTACCGAAAGAACAAAGAGTATGAATCCTTGCAGTCACGAAAGCTTCAAATCTAGAAAAAAAGTACGGAAGTTACAAAGGCACAAAACCTCGTTAATTTAGTCGCAACACTCGTATTGATCATTAACGGTTGAATTGACATTGGTGATTATCACAAACACACCCAGTGAGTTGTGATCATTGCGTACCCCGTGGACGAGGCTGTCATGTCAGAGTGACATGATTAAAGACGCCGCCTACCGTTATCAGTGATTTACATTTGTTATAATGTACTAGCTTTATTACCCGGCTTCGCCCGGGACTTGGATTCACTGGCCGCCCTTGTCTCCCCAGTGGCGATGTTCACACACCACACCAGTTAATTGTTTGAGGCTGAGTCGACCTAGGGGAGGCCCAGGACCGGTTCAAATAATCGTCACCGGTGGTGGCCGTGAGCGGGAATCGAACTCGGGTCGCCGGGTTCGTAGCGCAGCGCGCTAACCACTACACTACACTGCGTGTCGCTTCCACATGCGCGGGTCACGTGACAGATGTGACGTCACAGCTCACTTGCCGTGCAAAAAATACATGCTTTACTGAGCTCCCCCCCCCCAAAAAAAATAACAAAAGTGTATTTTAATAATGTTTGCATGGTGTACAGTCTGGAAAGTACCCACATGGCAAATTTCCAGTATATTGCATGTCGGGAAGTACGCTGAACAATTTGAACAGACACACACATTCACAACTTTGCCTTTCATATATTTGGAGATAAAATTAGCAAAGACCGTGCATCTCTCTCTCTCTCTCTTTTATTATGCAATTCCCCACACGGCTTGCGTTAAAGTGAACCATGTGCATCAGTGGCGGTGGATTGCAGACGCAGGGAGCACTGTGCGTGATAATACTTGTCAACAGAACTCCATTCTGGCTCATAAATATAATAAAAACAAATCTGCTTCATCCCGTCAGCCCGCTGGCTCTCCAGAACCAATATTGTCTCGCACATGGGTCCTTAACCTGGGGTGCATCACGCACCCCGGGGGGTGTGAGACATGGACATCTTTATTTAGAAGGTAAATCATCGAAAATGCAAACACCGGCACGTAAGTAACAACTAATTTGTTTCATCAAAGCCTCTGTATTCATTAACATTCTACAATGTTTTTACGATTGAGAACGCAAGAGGTGCAAGGCTGCAGCAGAGGTTAAGAACGACTGGGCGAGCGGCATCATTTTCAACATGCAAACTTTGTGCGTGAAAGCAACGGTGCTTTGCCCTATGGAGAGACTTCTCCCCCCACCACCACCCGCCATAGGAACGTGGAATTGCCACCACTGACTCTTGCAGCGTGGCTATAAATAGGAAGAGCGCGAACGCAGAAATGCTCATTCAAGCAACGGGAGATGACGACCACGTTTATTTTTGTCCGTCTCGCAGCGCGGATGAATGTGTTTTGCACACGCCGATTATTCTGAAAATCCCGAGAACGGCTGACGGGATGACATTTTCCGGTGCTTCAGCACGGGAATCGCCGCGCGTGCAGGCAACTCAAGCGGCACCTGAACGGTCTCGCCCCCAGGCAGCGGGAAGGGAGATCTTTTTTTTAAATAATCGCAGCCCGGAGAAGCGTACGGCTGCAAGTCTACCGTGCGCTTGGCACTTTATCCGTTTAAAAAATTCATCATGCCAACGCATGCTGGAAGAGGACTTTGTAAGATTTTTGTTAATAGCTGCGAGGCACGGCATATCGGGCTTTTAACTTGATCATGCTTCGTTAGAATTGGTTGGTGGTGGTTCACGCGTGGGATTTAGGCATAAAAATATCTCATGGTGCACTGCGGCAGTGGATGATTGTGGTTAAGGAACGTATAACAATCCGGCAGGAAGTCCGTTTTAAAGATAGATATGATGTTATAACAAAGGGCTTTATGAGGCCACTACCTCGACGCCCCAAAAATGGAATAACGCCACCGCAGGCGCCACCACGCATGGCTCAATTGTGACAGCGAAGACGCGCTTGGTGTCAAAACTCTCAAATCGATGAGGGTCAGCGCTGTCGGTCTGACACCAGAGATGCAGGCGATATCCGGAGGGGGGGGGGGTCATACAATAACCTCCCTGACCTCTTCATCGCTGGAAAATGTTGAAGCCCCTGACTTTCCGCCATCGATCGCTCCTCAGAGCTCACGGCTGGCTGCCAAGGCAGGAGACAAACGGCCTCACCTCCCGAGTCAATTTCACATCAGTTTTACAAAAACGCAGAGATAGCCGCTGCCACGCCTCGCGGTCCAGAGGTCGCCAGTTCAACTCAATCTCTCGGCACGGCGGTCAAAAACAAATTGATATGAATCAAATATATATATCCATGCTGAGGGATGCTGTCACAGTGGTGTGTAATGGTCAGCATGTTAGACTCGGAATCCAGAGGTCGCTGGGTTTGATTTGGTCTCCCAGAGCGGTAGTTAAACAACGGTGCAAGTTTCTTAAATCCCTCCCCACTCCCTCGCACTCCCTCGCACTCCCCTACATAAATCGTGGTCCAGAATCATGATAAGTAATTAAACGACTGTATCCTCATTCATGAGGGTCTCTCTTAGTAGAGGTGGCCCCGATGGGCTGGGAATCGGGGACCTGGCACCAGACACCCCCCCTACATTCCAATCTGTGAGCAGACCGGGTTCCCAAGCGAGATTGACGATCTGAGAGTCCTGCAATCAATGAGTGTGCAAAAACCCCAATGCGTCCAATTACATGTTACACTTAATGTGGCAAAAAATTGCTTCTGTGCAATTTAAAATGGCATTAATGATGATGATGATGGCTTGACCGCCACGTGGTGGACTTCGATGTGACGTTACGTATGAAAGTGCTGCCCCCTCGTGGATGTAATAAGAAGTCACTTTGGATGTAACTGAAGTAAGTCTGCCATATCACCTTGAGCGGGCCGTTCTCTAACACGGTGGGGGGGGGGGTTATGCAGTGCCCTGTGAGAGATCCAAATAGACGCCACATCGCGTGAGATGAAGACGTAATTGGAATCAAATTGGGGAAAAAGTACAACAACAACAACAAACAAGACAGTGAAAAAGCCCACTGCCACGCTGGTGCCGTAGCCGACACGCCGCTGCGATTCTCTCTCCCGGCACGGCAGATGGCACGAGTGGGGGGGCAAGTTTCTGAAACCCCCCTCCGACCTCACCGCCTCGATCCAGCCGGCGGTGTAGATGTGCTCGGCACAGCAAGTCGTTCACTGGTGTCCTCACCTCCCACGTCACGTGGCCAACCGTGCTCATCGGAGGTGTGGTGGGGGGGGGAGGATAAACTAAACACAAAATTCAGGCTGCGCGGCGCCACGGTGGCTAGGAGATGTTGACTACCTCGCCTGGTCTACAGGAGGTCGTGGGTTCGATCCCGATCCTGACGGCTGCTGTGTATTTGGAGTTTGCGTGTATCTCTCTCCGTGGTGAGATGTTAACTACCTCGCATGGTCTATAGGAGGTCGTGGGCTGGATCCCGACGCTGACGCCTGCTGTGTATTTTGAGTTTGCGTGTCTCTCTCTCTCATCATCATCACGGTGGCTAGGAGATGTTAACTACCTCGCCTGGTATGCAGTAGGTCGTGGGTTCGATCCCGACCCTGACGCCTGCTGCTGCTGTATATTTGGAGTTTGCGTGTCTCTCTCTCTCTCTCCCGGTGGTTGCATTGATTTTACTCCGGATCCCTCCGGATCTTCCCTCCACGTATAGAATCGACATCACGTGTTTAGAGTATTTAGCTGCAAGACATGTCCACGTGATGAGCCACTTCATTGGGATATCATTGGTGACAGCCGGGTCGCTTCTGACAAAGAGCTGTATGGCTCAGTTGGCCTTACTCGATAAAATACAAAATAATTTAGTTTATAGTGGAGTGTAAAAGGTAGAATTTTAGATTTAAAGCTTTCGTGACTGCAGGGATTCATCTTCTTGGTTCTTTCGGTAAAGTCACGTAGAAGGGAAATAATAAAATAATAAAAATAAAACATAATAAAATACAATTCTCACGACGTTTCGGCCACAACGCAAGCAGCCGTCCTCAGGTGAAGAACAGGTCTGTCGGAAAGACAGCGTCTGAATGAACACCACCAAGCTTGGCAGCGTATATTTAAGCTGGGTTAGGGGAGGAAGGGCGCCTTGACAAAGTAAATTGCATATCAATATGCAAATTACTTTGTCAATGCGCCCTTCCGCGTCTCCACTCTTCCCGTGGTCGCGTGGATTTTTCTCCGGATCCCTCCGGGTTTCCCCTCCACGTTTATAATCGGCGTGCGCATTTCAAATATTTGGCTGCTTTCAATTTCCCCGCGATGATGATGACAAGCCACTTCGTTGAGCGATCATTCGTGATGGCGGGTCCCTTGCTCAAGTGGGCACTGCACCTGGTCAGGATTAGACATAGTCGAGAAGTAGGGGCCGCTTGCGTAACGCGCTGACCCACTTGCGCACTCGTGTGCACCAGAGCGCAGACGCAGGAATAGCCCGGCATTGTTGCCATTCATTCTGTCATCCTCTGCGTCATCATCATCCACATTAGTGTTTTTTTTACGGTTAGAACGCGGAGATATATAAATGCGTCGCTAAACACCGCCACCACCCGCTACAGCCAATTAGTGAGGTTTGTTACGTAGACAACACGTGCCAAATCGTTGCTAGTTCAGCACGCACTCGTGCATTGGAGAGTAAACCCACGACATTTACATTTACAATGCGAGTAACGTGACGCCTCGCCGGCAATTATAACTGGCATCAGCAGATGAGAGCTGAACTAGTAACGAATTGGCTGTGGCGAGTTTAACGACACATTTATATTTACGCGATATAACCCAAAAATACATATTATGCGTAATATCGGTCGTGAAAGTCTACGTGTTAAACTGACAATACAAAAACATGATGGTCGTGCGAGAAAAGTAAACAAAAACATGCAAATAAAATTAAATCATCTCGACGCTACCAGGCAAAGCCCACTAAAAGTATTTTTCAGAAGCGACCTGGCCACAAATGATAGCTCCACGAAGTGGCTTATCACGTGGACATTCATGGCAGTAAAATAGCATGTTGTTATTATTATTGCTGCTACTGCTACCAGCCAGTATAGCGTCAAGATGAATTTTGTTTTCAGGAGAGTCCTGCCAAGTGCCGGCAGGAGACGGGGCCGATGCGGTTGGTCACGTGCACTCTCAGTGTGCACGTGCTGGTTGTCTGGAGCGGCGGTCTCCAACCTTTCTGGCACCAGGGACCGGTTTCGTGGAAGACAATTTTTTCACAGACCGGGGGTGGGGGGGGGGGTCATCATTGGGGCTTTCCCCCTTTTATTCATGTTGGCTACTAGGAGTTAGAGCGTGTGGCCTCTCCAACACTGTGGCTGAGACGAGTGCGCAGTGCGGGAAAGAGGCACGGATGGAAGTGGTGAATAATTAAACAATGGGGGCGGGTTCCACGCGCGGACTCACCGCCCTCACCTCCTGCTGCTGTGCGGCCCGGTTCCTAACAGGCCACGGACCGGTACCGGTCCGCTGCCCGGGGGTTGGGGACCCCTGGCTCACAGGCTAAATGTGTTTTTGTCGGTGTCAGCAAGACCGCGTGCGTACGGCCGCTCGGCGCCTTGGGCCTCCGGGGCTGAGCTCGACAGCTGCGTGCAGAGTGGTCAAAGAATCGCCGGCGGCATCTCCGAAATGTTGTGGATGTCTCAGAGTGTTGGGACAACCACGGCCACCCCACATCCGGTCACTGTCCTTTTCTAAGGGCTACTCGGTTATACGTAGATATAGTCACGTGAGAATTCGTCTGAATGTAACTCGCAAGTAGTTCTGTGATATCACCTTCAGCGGGCCGTTCTCCAACACGGGGGTTGTGCAGCGCTCTGTGAGAAGTCAAAATAGACACCAAATCTCGTGAGGCGAAGACACGAGGTGAATGAAATAGGAGAAAAGGTGCAAACACATGAAAGTTACGCAGATATTTGTACTTGGCATGGCACGCACAATTTACCTTCACTAACCTAGCCTCGTAACGCGTTGCGCTGTATTCACGTACCGTTACGTTCGAGCTGCATTCGCTGAACTGAAATGCTTTTGATGAAGAAAAAATAAATGTATTGTTCCTAATTGGTAGCGGCGCAAGCCTCCTGGTTTACCCTCCCTGGTTCACCCTGGCAAAGTTCACCCTGGTAAGGTTCACCCTGGCAAGGTTCACCCTCGCTGGTTCACCCTCCTGGTTCACCCTGGCAATGTTCACCCTGGCAATGTTCACCCTCTTGGTTCACCGTCGCCGCCACGTGCGTCTCGACGTGTGTACGGCCCCTCCGCCCACCGTGCGCTCGTTCAATAACGACGACGTTGTCGATGTTGCCGCCGGCGACGACGGCGACGATGTTTCTCCCTTCCGCCCCCCCCCCCTGCCCCCCCCCCTGCCCCCCCCTCTGCCCCCCCCCCCTCTGCCCCCCCCCTCTGCCCCCCCCCTGTCACCCCCCTCTGCCCCCCCCTCTGCCCCCCCTCTGCCCCCCCTCTGCCCCCCCGCCGTGCCAGGCGTCACCACGGTGCTTACCATGACGACGCTCAGCATCAGCGCCCGCAACTCGCTGCCCAAGGTGGCCTACGCCACCGCCATGGACTGGTTCATCGCCGTGTGCAACGCCTTCGTGTTCTCGGCGCTCATCGAGTTCGCCACCGTCAACTACTTCACCAAGCGGGCCTGGGCCTGGGACGGCAAGGCCGTGGTGAACAAGGAGGTGAGCCAGCGCCCCCCCCCCCCGCCACCTCCGGGAGGGGGCCCCTAAGAATATTTTCCCCTGCAGAATAGGGTGGCTTGCTGATTATGATGTTAATGGTAATCAATGACGAGCCGTAATAGAGGGCGGGGGGTTTTCTTTTGAGTTAGATCGTCGCGTAGATATGAATGTGTCGTTAAACATGGCCGCCAGCCGGTGAGGTTTGTGTCGCGTAAACTAAACGTGCCGATTAGCGGCGAGTTCGGCTCGCACGCCGGTCGTGTGTCGGGAGAGTAAACGCCACGAAGTTTGCAATTCGAGTAGCCGTGACGTTTCGCCGGTAATTACAATAACAACCACCAGCCACAGTTGTGGAGAAATCCTCTTTCTGTTTCGGTCTTAAATGGACGAGGGATAAATGCGATGTCGTCACTTGCGAGCCAATCAGGTTCGGGGGACCAGATGACGACGATCGTCATTACGTACCCAGGAAGCCACAAACCGGGTCTCACATCTCCGGTTAGCACAGTTGGCTACGTACGGTGCGAAAGAAATTCAACACGCGGGAGGTGCATTCATACGAATGGGAAGTGCGGCCAGAACCGGCGCCAACAATCGCCCGAGTTCTGCGTTCCTACTGTGCAATGATTGGCCAACCCCCGCCGACGAGCGTTGCACGCACGACGCCTCTCATTGGCAAGTGCCTCCACCCGACGCGCCGGCCTCTAATTGGGCGTCGAACCGACGGGCGCCGCTTGTCCGAGTTTCCCGTCGCCGTCGTTCTCGTTTGCCGTGTCTGCGCCCTCAGAAGAAATCGAAGCGCGCCGTCGCTCGCAAGAAGAGGAGCACTTACAGCGTCGGCGCCTCGGGCTACGCGGGCGGCCCGGTCGGCACCACCAGGCGCGGCGGCGGCGGCGTCGGCGGCGGCGGCCTCCCCACCGTGTCGCGGAGCGTCGGCGTCACGGGGCCGGGCCGCCAGCCTTCCGGCGGCGGCGGCGCGACGGCGGCGGCGGCGTCCTCCTCCTCGGCCGGCGGCCCGGCGGGAGTCGGGGCCCGCGGTCAGGCGGGCCGGGCGGGCGACAAGCCGGCGCCGGCCGCCGCGGCCGAGAACAAGAAGACGTACAACAGCGTGAGCCGCGTGGACAAGCTGTCGCGCATCGTCTTCCCCGTGCTCTTCGGAATCTTCAACCTCGTCTACTGGGCCACCTACCTCAAGAAGACGCCCAGGAACAAGGGCGCCGTCCACCTGAACTGACGGAGGAGGGCCGCGCGTGGGCCGTGGGACACGTGCGTGGAGGCGGGTGGAGCGGGCGGCTTTGGGAGGCGGTGGAGGCGGGTGGAGCGGGCGGCTTTGGGAGGCGGTGGAGGCGGGTGGAGCGGGCGGCTTTGGGAGGTGGTCTCGCGCGCCGCTGCGGTGGCGGCGCGAAAGGGGTCGCCGCGAAGAAGAGGGTCGCTAAACGTGAAAAGGAAAGTTACATTGGCAAGCGGCCGGGTTTCACGTCGTGACGGAGCCGATGTGAAACCGCCCCTCCTCGGTTTGCCATGTCGTGGGCGGCTCGCGGCGACGTTGCCAAGTTTTTGGCAAAAAAAATCGGACAGAAAGGAACATTGTCCGACAGAATCGTCAAGAATCTCCTGACGCGGTACACCACTATCACCACCACTACCGACGTGCCCGTAACGCGCATGCAATCGGCCGGTTGGGTTTTGGGGACACAGCGTTTACCTTTGTGCGTGTGTCGTTTACGCTGCACGCATGAAGACCTGCCCGCCACCAACGATCCCGTCTCTGGGAAGCACGCGCGCGTGTGTGTGATCTGTTTGTGTGTGTGATCTGTTTGTGTGTGTGATACGTGTGTGCACGTGCGTGTGTGTGTGTGTTGGCGTGGCGCGAGTGAGCACATTCGTTTTTTTGATATCGCCGCATTTCACTCACACACCCTCGTGGGTTCAAGCCGCCGGCCGTCCGCGCCTCGTACGGTCAGAAGAACGTCGAAGAGGAAAGTGAAGAGTGTGGGGTCGTGCGTGACGAATCGAGGGCACTACGGAAGGACGCGGTTGGGGCAAGAGCGAAATCGCCAGACGTATCCGGATTCCGACCTGCGGGTCGGAAAACTTTGTGCATGCGACAGCGCACAGGGCTTTGTCAGAATCGCCTCTCATTTAATCGCAGCCGCCGATACCTGTGAGCCACACATATCACGCTCGTGTACATTGCTGCATGTGATCAGCACTCCGGCGTTCGCCGTGCGCACGTGGAGGCGACGCTGGGTTATCCTCACGGTTGTCGACGGATCGCTAGAACGCCGCGCGGACTTCCAAAACAAAGAAAATAGAAACGTACGAGAAGACTCGTGCGCCGTAGCGCGTTACGAAAAAGTCGTCTGCTCTCCTTTGAGAACAAAAAAACCAATGTGAACACATCGGAGACCCGAGGAACGACTCACTCCTCGACAAGCCATCGCACCGTTCCCGTGCCCCCCCCCCCCCCCCCCCGGATGACTAAGCCACGAGACGACCACTTCGCGGGCCGTCCCGCCGCCAGACCTCGGCGGGAGCCGTGCCGGCTTGGCCGAGACGCTCGGAGAGAGAGAGAGAGGCGCGAGGCCGTCGCCCCCCGTGGCACGGGCTGGTGAGGGCGGCCACGAAGCTTTGGTGCCGCGCCGAGGTGGACCGGGGCACCCGTAACGCGGGCTCGTGCGCGGGGCGAGAGGCGAGCCGGGATGCGTTCTCTCTGCGCCCCGACCGGCACGGAGCGGCGTGCCGGGTCGCGGTGGCGCCCGTCCACCCGGCCCACCGGGACCCCGACGCAGCCGGACTTGTCCCCGGTGGCGCTTTCGACGGCAAAAAAGGAAATTCGTCGTTGGGATTCGTGCCGCGGCCCTCCGAGGCAAAGTCACTCGACCTGTACGTCGACGTGCGGGGCGGGGCGAGGCGGTTCCACCCGCAGAGCCGTCCACGAGCGCTGAGAATTCGAAACGAGACAGAGGAGGGTTTTTGCCCGCCGCCCCCCCCCCCCCCCCCCCGTGCGTTTCAAATTGTCGTGTCGCTTGAGAGAAGCAGGAACAACAGCAGCAGCAGCAGCCATATATCACACGTGGTAATGTTTCACTGTGCTTACTGATCAGCCATGTCGGTGTTCGTCGTTGTTGATGTGTATAAAAAAAATGTTTGAAAGGGCACCGATTGAAACCACGTCTTTTGAATATAACCTCCCGTTTTCGGAGATGGCTTACGGTCAACGGTGGAGAGGTGAACACGTCCGTGTCAGAGCTGCTGGTTTGTGACAGGCTGACGTGGTCCCACTGACCGGGGCTGAGTGCGTGACTGCACGGCACTTGAAGCCAAGTCGTCACCCGAGCAATCGGTTGCGCAACTTGGTCGCGCGCAACCACATCCCGTGCACGTGGGCATCTCTGCAGCCGCCTATCGCTGACCACGGTGGAGACAGCAGAGTCGACTGGCAGGCGACCTGCTCGGACATTTGGGGCGACGTTTTTCATCTTTGCCAGCCTGTGAACGGTCGTCACGATCCCGGACACGGTGTTTGATTTCCTCGTCGCGCAACCGATTGCTCAGACGTGGACAAAGCAGTCACGGGCGACGATTGAGTTGCAAGATTCCGAGAGCGGTTTGGTTGTGCAACTGATTGCTCAGGTGTGTGTGTCCCAGCTTCAGGGCAGGCTACAATACGTGGAGATTCAATTATGGATATACCAGTTTAACACATCCATAGCAGAGGTTTTTTGGGTTAGATCGCGTAAATATATAAATGTGTCGTGCCAATTGGTTACTAGTACAGCACTAACCGGTTGTGTGTCAGAGAGCAAGGCCACAACATTGACAATCCGAGTACCGCGACGTCTCGCCAGTAATTACAACCAGCTTCATCAGGCGACAGCCAGACTCGTGGAGAAATCATCCCGAGTCGTTCCTTGAAGAGAGGCGTGGGTGTGATGACGTCACTTGTGTGCGCTTATTGTGCGCTGTGGGGCGAAAGGGTCATCAATGAATGCGTAGTAACCACTGCCGTGTGGGTTATGTAAATGGTAATCAACGTACATTGTGCGTGCGCATTGTGCAAGCTCGCCGGTTAGTGCTGTACTAGTGACGAGTTGGCAGGTTCTGTTGACGTGACACTAACCCTGACTAGTTGGCCGTGTCGGGTGGTGGCGGGTTTAACGACACATTCATACATTTACGCGATCTCGCCCAAACAGGAGCCTGTACTGTGGATGGATATTCCGCACTCGTTTTAAATACTCTTCTTGACTTTCCTCTGGGCGGCTGATTGGTCCGTGCTGTGGAAGCGGTGACTCGGTGCCTCGCAAGGGGAGGGAGCGATCGTGGTGCAATGCGTCGCGTCGCCATCGGCGGGAGAGACGCGTTGAGGCTTTGCAATCACGGTGGCTGTATTGTTTCCCACCGCAAATATTACACCTCCTGGTATTGTAGCCGGGGTATCTATAGATGGACCGCCCCGTATATTATTATTAAAGTAGGACATTATGAGTATCGGTGCATTGTTAATGTTTCAAGGAGAACGCTTTCCAAGAGACCAACGGATCTCATCTCCCGGTCGTGTCGTGTTCAGGTCACGAAGGGAACAATCCACTCCGAACTGGCGGAGCAGTGCAAAGCCTTCGTGTTAGAGAGAACGGCCCACTGATGCGGATATCACAGAACTAGCTCTGATATTCCCCATCCTTTAAAGTGATCTCTGGTCCACACGCAGAGATCACCCCCCCCCCCCCCCACTCTGCCACGTGAGAGTGAGATTTCGTCGCACAAACAGTCGGGACCGAATATTATTAAAGTCTCGTACCTGCAATTTCAACCGAATTAATCGCAGAACCAAATTTAATTGTGGAGATTGGTTACCGATCTGGAGCCGAGGCCAGTCAACTCGGCACCACGCTCGGTTTAGACGCAGGCGGCTGCCTGGATTGGAACCCGGGTTCGTCAGAGACTCTCGGCTCAGCGGCCAGAGCTCACGAGCGAAACCTTGAGACCGCGTGGAGGGCACTGCCCAGGGAAGGGATCTACAAGAGCTGGTGACTGTGTTCACGAGTTGTGGTTGTCAGTGGAGGGTGGTTGGACATGTGACATCTCAGAGGTTTTCTCGTGCTCCTTTGTAATCGTGTATCCCTGTCGTCGTTTTCTTGTTTTGTTATCGTCGTCGTTTTTTGGTAGACACGAAGTTTAAAAGTCAAAAGCGGAAGCATTTGTACAACAACAAACGTCAACCATGAAGTTGACGAGCCCATTGGGTGGTATGCGAAAGAACCCAGTAGTGTTTATTTTTTAACGAAGACATTTGAAACTTGGTAAAAGGTGCGTTTTCTCTCGCTGTTGCGTTCAGATTAGGTTTTACGATCCTGGCACTGTAGGTTAACATCGCACACACACGATGTATCATTTAGATTTGGGTTAGGCCATGTAACGATATGGACACATTTGTGTCGTAAGACCCTCCACCAACGAACATATTTGTATTTTACCAGGTAAGGCCCACTGAGCTACTCAGCTTCTTCTCACAAGCGACCTGGCTATCACAAATGAGAGCTCAACGAAGTGGCTTATCACGTGCAAAAGTATAGCAGCCAAATACTCTTAACGCGTGTTTCTAAACGTGGAGTGAAAAACCGGAGGACCCGGATAAAAATACACGAGACTACGGGGAGAGAGAGACACGCAAACTCCAAATATACAGCAGCAGGCGTCAGGGTCGGGATCGAACCCACGACCTCCTGTAGACCAGGCGAGGTAGTTAACATCTCCTAGCCACCGTGGCGCTCGACACAGCCAAACAAATTAAATAGTCACGTGGTGCACAAGCGTTTCACGACGCATTTCATCCGTAGACCCCCTCCAATGCACCACCAGCGTGTATGGCAAGCGAGGAGATGACTAGAACCCACAGGGTACACGGCCAAGATTCGGTGGTGGGTAAAAGGCAGTTTTACAGAAGTAAGTTTTCGAGACGGCACTTTAGTGACTAGCGAACGGCTCCGATCGTCTTGTTAGCAAAGGCACAACGCGTTGTTCCAAAGTCTTGGGAGCTCGTATTGCCAAAAATCCGATCGCCCCCGCAGGAAGAGATAGCCCTTGACCTCGGAGTGCTGAGAAGATGGCGTTTAATGACGCGCCAGTTTCTAACAATAATAATGATAATGATAGTTTACATGATCAACAATGGTTTATATTTGTACGGTGGCGCATTTCATCCGTAGATCCGCACCAATGCACCACCAGCGTGTATGGCAAGCGAGGAGATGAGCAGAACCAGCAGGGTACGCGGCCAGGACTCGTGCAGAGCTCAGGGCCAGTTTACAGAGGAGAGTTTTCAAGAAGGGACTTTGATACATTTCACGACTCCGATTGTGTCTCTCTCGGCAAGAGCGTTCCTAAAGTGTGGGATCTGCGCTGGCGATAAAGCCATCGGGAGTGCGCGGAAGACGGCGAAGATCTCGGGGGGATCTCACCGGCGAGTTCACGAGGAACAAACCTCGAAATCGCCCGTCGACTCGACCACGGCGAGCGGCGCTGTGAGCGATGCGATCACCGGCGTGTCGTTTGGCCCTGTCGGGTGGTGGAGGGCTCGTTCACAACGCACGTGAGGCCGGATCGTTACGTCACGCAAACCACCCCCCCGCAAAAAAATATATTAATCGTAACATTGGCTGCCAAAACCTATATATTGAAACGATATACACGTGCAGATTTTGGCATTCAACAAGTTAATCAATCTGACCTGTCCATACAATTTTCACAACTCCGCGAAATCATTATTATGATTAAGGTCGCATCGGCGTGCGTGTGAGTTTGTGTGTTAACTCCGTGTGTGCCACACGTGTGCCAAGTCTAGACTTCGTGTGCAAAGTTCTCTACGCTGTACATAATCGGCTTGTTCGATGTTTCACACGCGATGTTACCCACCCACGTTTTTCTTTTGCTGATATGCTACCGATGTTAACAACAGTCTTTGACATTTAAACTTTTCCATATATAAAAGTAATTTATCATACTGCTATTAAAAAAAAATTATGTACGCCTCGAGTTTCCTGGCTGGATGCTGGCTGGGCTCCTTTCCACCCCAACGATAACTCCGTTTATGAAACAACAAGACTAGGTTTGACCCTTTGCAAGGAATCAGGTACTGCAACACAGGGAGCTGGTAGGAACGTTGGGTTGCTCGGTCAATGGTCAGGGTCAACGGCGGCGTGGTGTATTCCGCAAATATGGCCGACTGTGAGGGCGGGCACAAGCCGGCGTGAGTAGGTTAAACGTTGAGTTTTATAAGGGCACCACGGGGTGACCAGCCCCTCCCCACCCAGCCCCACCCCTCTCACCCCCCACCCAACCCACCCTCCCCACCCAGCCTCTCCCCACCCTCCCCTCCCCACCCTATCCCACCCCTCCCACCCCCCACCCAGCCCCACCCTCCCCACCCTACACCAGATACAACAGCAGCCTTCTTCATGACCCAGTCTCACCACCAGTGTCAGGTCAGAGAACAATGGGAAACGGCGGACAGCACAGAGACAATGCCACACGCATCGGAGCACTTCTAGCTCGGGGCGAGCAGCTATATCACGGGGTAGCTTTTGCCTGTGTGAAAAATAGGAATATGGCAAAGTTTTTCTTTGTTTGCATGTTCAGAACAAATACGTGTGGTTTCTTGCCAAAAGATGTCTATTTGGTGTTTGAACACCTGAACACCGGTTTTATTGCTAGAAAGGGTAAAACATATACCTATTCCTCATACTTTGATACTTGCGAAAAGGTATCCCATGGGAGAACCTCGCTTAGTCCGAGCGTGTGGACCCTCGCCACAGAAGCTCGTTGAGTAACTGGCTCCACGGGATTTTCCGAGTAAAAAAAAAAATTTTGAGTGGAATTGAAACGTCGGAAGAAGTTCAGAAGACGTTTAATAACAGACAGTAACACCGACGAATGGGCATTGGGGGATGAAGTATGTGTCTGTGGAACTCTCTTCGCACATCGCGTAGCCAACCGTGCTAACCGGAGCTGAAGACTGGCAGTGCTCGTTTAAAATCGCTCAAACCCATTTTCTGCAATGTCGACGCATATTCATAATAGTTGAATTACTTCGACAGAAAGGTGCGTTCAATCCGAGCGAATTTACAACATCCGAAACACGACACCGGAACTTGCCGTTGTTTATTTATTTATTATCACACACAAGAGCAGATGACGAGGTCGGCCACTGCTCCGAGTTGGCAGGAGGGTTGTGAGAGTCGAGGAGAGGAATCATGGCAGCTGTCTCTCTCTCTCTATCTTTAATTTGCGTTGGTGGAGAAATAAAACAACACATTCCTGCGGAGGGAGCTGGTAGGAACGTTGGGTTGCTCGGTCAATGGCCAGGGTCAACGGCGGCGTGGTGTATTCCGCAAATATGCCCGACTGTGAGGGACGGGCACAAGCCGGCGTGAGTAGGTTAAACGTTGAGTTTTATAAGGGCACCACGGGGTGACCAGCCCCTCTCCACCCAGCCTCACCCTCCCCACCCAGCCCCACCCTCCCCTCCCCAACCAGCCCCTCCCTCCCCACCCAGCCCCTCCCTGCACGACGGACGCACACAATAATCCCCTGTGGGCTGGTGTAACCAGGAGGTTCCTACCAGTAAAAACTAAACAATCTCATAGCACGTTCCACTTCACCTATCCAGGTGTGCACTTGCAGGGCTGCTCCTTTATTCAGACTGGGAACGGAATCTGATGATGCTAGTATCTCTCTTCTTTACACAAGGTGGGCCTAAAGTCAGGGCACGGGGCTATTCAATCATAAAGAAGACTTTTGGGGGTGAGATTGCGTAAATAGAAATGTGTCGTGAACTCGCCACCACCCGACATAGGGTTGTCGCCAAAACAAAACGTGGCAACGAGTCACTGGTGCAGCACACACACACACACCGCCTGTGTGTGTTGCCTGTGTGTGTGCTGCCTGTGTGTGTCTGTGTGTGTCTGTGTGTGTCTGTGTGTGTGTCTGTGTGTGCTGCCTGTGTGTGTGTGCCTGTGTGTGTGTCTGTGTGTCTCTCTGTGTGTGCCTGTGTGTGTGTGCCTGTGTCTGTGTGTGTGTGTGTGTCTGTGTGTGTGTGTGTCTGTGTGTGTGTGTGCTGCCTGTGTGTGTGTGCTGGAGAGGGAACCCGCTCAGACATTCTCGACTTGAATACTGTGAGACGTCCAGCAGCAGCACCGGGAGGTTTTGCCAGAAGTTGTGAAGAGATCCACCTACTTCGGCTGAGGGTGATACGATTGATTTTACCCCTTTGCATGAAAACCATTTCAATTGTTGATGATTTTAAGTGAATATTGTATCATCGTTAGTATCTGTGGGTTTATTTATTTAATTATTCCTCGTGTGGGGCTCATGTCAACGTTTACTAAAAACAAATTCGACAGAACCAACTGAATGACATTGAGGCAACGAAAATATTTAATTGTTGATGACTGTTCAAAGATTACACCTAGCTGCAATTGTTTTAAAAATAAAACTTCCCCTAAATGTTAATTTCAAAGGAGAATCCATGCGTCGTGCTCCGTGTCAATGTTATCAATGGGAGTCTGTTGCTGTTCCCCATCGGTGAAGCTGCATGCCGACACTGCCACCAAACTGCGACTCGGCGAAGAGCATCTTGACGAGCATCTGGAAAAAAACATCCATCAGTGGAACTGCTGAACCAGCGGCTGGTCCAGCAGTTTCCACTGCTGGATGATTTTTTTCCGCCTGAGGACGACCGCTCGTGTTGCGATCGAAACGTCGTGATTTTTTTTTCTACCCACGTGACTTTACCGAAAGAAGCACAGAGTATGGATTCCCGCAGTCACGAAAGCTTCAGATCGAGATTGTCCATCTCACGTTCATCGCCACCAGCGAGCCTCGCCGTGACGTGTGGTGACGATGAGAATCATGTTTTGATTTAAAGCTTTCGTGACTGCAGGGATTCATCTTCTTGGTTTTTTCGATAAAGTCACGTAGAAGGGAAATAATAAAATAATACAAATGTCAAACTATTCTCACGACGTTTCGACTGCAACACAAGCAACCATCATCAGGTGTGAAATCCACAGCCAGAACATTTTCTTGAAATCCACAGCAAGAAAATTTTCTTGAAATCCATAGCAAGAAAATGTTCTTGCTGTGGATTTTACACCTGATCTTGACACCACTGGTACCAGTCATCGGCAAGTCCACTCAGCTCCACGTACTCCTGTACCACATCATTCTCTTCTCTAGCCCGTGCCGCGCCCGTTTAGTCTCCTCGATCCGGTCGAACAAAAGCTGTTTAGGCATGCGGTGGCTGGGCATGCGGGCTACATGACCCAGCCAACGCAGCCTTGCCTGCCGGAGGAGCTCACCAATGGGACTTTGTCCAGATCTTTAAGGATTTGTGAGCTCCTCACACAATCCAGCCTGGTTAAACCCAGGATGGATCGTAGGCAGACCAGCCTAAATGTTTCTAACCGGCGAAGATGCTCCATTAGGGGGGTCCACGTTTCGCAAGCGTAGAGAAGGGAGGGAATGACTGTGGCCGAGAAGACCCGAAGCTTCGTGCGGAGCGACAGACCAGGCAGCCTCAACACAGCGTTACGCAACTAATTAAAATATAATTCCGCTCAACTGATTCGGAGTGCGACCTCTGCTGTTAAAACGGAGCCGGTCATGAGCACACTGCCCAGGTATGGGAAACTCTCCACTCTCTCCACAACTACCCCATCACCGGTTGGCAGTTCTGGGGGTGGAGTGCCCGATGGTACAAAATACCCAGGCAGGTGCGTCGTTTTGGTGGGGCTGATGGTAAGGCCCCACCTCTTAGTGGAATGCTCCAGTTTCAGCAGCAGCGCCTCCAACTCCTCCTCTGAGTGAGCTGCAATTACCAGGTCGTCTGCATACATAACGTGGTTGACCAATAGGGAGCCATCCTTTGACTGCACCCGGGCATCGATCAGCCTCCCATTGTATCTGTACCAGATGGAAATCCCTCCGGAACAGCTACTGAAGACTTCACGAACTACGTGGTCAAAATAAATGTTAAATAATGTGGGAGCCAGAGGACATCCCTGTCGCACCCCAAGGTGTACAGGGAATGGCTCTGACTCCCGGCCACGTAGTTTTACCCGGGCCCGCTCACCATCATAAAGGTCCTTAATGATCGTGAGCAGAGGGTCAAGGACTCCGAAAGCACGAAGAACAACCCAGAGCCCAGGCCTACTGATGGTATCATAGGCCTTGACCAGGTCAATAAAGCAGAGATGTAGGTCTTGTTGGAATTCCCTACACCTCTGCTGTAGCAGACGGACAGAAAATATGACATCTGTGCAGGACCGCCCTTTCCTGAAACCGCATTGGGGCTCCGCAAGCCTCTCCTCAGCGTGCCTAGCAAGGCGACGTTGAATAATCCTTGCCATGACCTTTCCCGGCACACTGAAGAGTGAGATGCCCCTGTAGTTGTTACAGTCTGTGCGGTCCCCCTTCTTAATGAGGGGGACCACCAGTGCATCCTTCCAATCCTGCGGAACCTGTCCAGTGGCCCAGACTGTTGCTATGATGTCAAATCATGACATGACACACAGACACACACAGATACAGACACACACACAGACACATACACACAGACACACACGCAGATACACACACAGATACAGACACACACACATACACACAGACACACACACAGACACACACACATACACACAGACACACACACAGACACACACACACAGACACGGCAGGCTCTTCTCTCTCACACACAACACAAAGGATGTCAACCTCATTGGTATTCAGAGTGGAGTGCCAGCAGCAGCCATTGCCGATATAACCCGACAGCCCTTGCCAGCAGCAGAAGCCGCTACAACCTTCAAAGTCATCACCACCACCGACACCACCACCACCGCCGTCACCACCACCACCGTCACCACCGCCACCGCCAGCAGCGCGAGGAGTTGTGTGTGTGGATGTTTGTGGCGAGTGAGCCGAGACGCAGCTCCGCGCGTCTTCAAGCTCCGCGCGGCCTCTTGCCAGCAGCCCGCAGCGGATCGCGTCGCTTCCTCCGCCCTGTTGCTGCTGCTACTGCTGCTACTACTGTGGTGTCGTCTCGTCGGGGGGGGGGCAAGGGGATTGAGGAAGGAGGTGGAGGAGGAGGTGGTGGAGGGTGAAGGAGCAAGAGAGTAGGGGGGGCTCACTGGAAACCAGAATTGTTGTTGACATCCGAATAAACAACAACAGCAGCAGGAGGAGCAATCACCACGAACAACATCACCACGAACAACAACAACATCACCACTAACAACATCACCACTAACAAGGAGCCTGCGGCGGTGGTGGTGGTGGTGCTGTGGTTGTCTGCTAGAGCGACGCAGCAGCAGTAATAGTTGTAGGAATAGTCGTCGTCATCATCATCGTCGTGCGTCCATAACGTCCGCGGACGTCAGCAGGCACCGAGTTGACATCTGCTCGAGCTGGTCACCTGCGCGCTCTTCACGTCGCTGCGATAGCGGACAGAGGACTGTGGGTGCGGACGAGGAGCTTGGTGATGATGTGAGACGGACAGACAGACAGAGAGAGACACAGACAGACAGAGAGAGACACAGACAGACAGAGAGAGACACTGAGAGAGAGGGAGGTGAGAGTGATGGGTCTATGACGACTGCAGTAGCCAGCCGTGTCGAGTTTCACGAGAAGATGCTCATTCTACTCCTTCTCCTGTTCGTCATGAATCTACATCGTGTCTGGTAAGAACGGATTGTCCGTGTCGTGTGTGGGTCTGTGTGTGTGTCAGTGTGGGTCTGTGTGTGTGTGTCTGTGTCGTGTGTGTGTCTGTGTGTGTGTCAGTGTCGTGTGTGGGTCTGTGTGTGTGTCTGTGTCGTGTGTGGGTCTGTGTGTGTGTCTGTGTCGTGTGTGGGTCTGTGTGTCTGTGTCGTGTGTGTGTCAGTGTGTGTGTCTGTGTCGTGTGTGTGTCAGTGTGTGTGTCAGTGTGTGTGTCTGTGTCGTGTGTGGGTCTGTGTGTGTGTCTGTGTCGTGTGTGGGTCTGTGTGTGTGTCTGTGTCGTGTGTGTGTCAGTGTGTGTGTCAGTGTGTGTGTCTGTGTCGTGTGTGGGTCTGTGTGTGTGTCTGTGTCGTGTGTGGGTCTGTGTGTGTGTCTGTGTCGTGTGTGGGTCTGTGTGTGTGTCTGTGTCGTGCGTGTGTCTGTGCGTGTCGGTGTGTATTGTGTGTCAGTGTGTGTGTTGTTCGTGTGTGTGTCAGTGTGTCTGTGTCAGTGTGTGTGTCTGTGTCGTGTGTGGGTCTGTGTGTGTGTCAGTGTGTGTGTCAGTGTGTGTCTGTGTCGTGTGTCGGTCTGTGTGTGAGTGCGTGTCGGTGTGTGTTGTGTGTGTGTGTGTCAATGTGTGTGTGTCAGTGTGTGTGTCAGTGTGTCTGTGTCGTGTGTGGGTCTGTGTGTGTGTGCGTTGTTCGTGTGTGTGTCAGTGTGTTTGTGTCAGTGTGTGTGTCTGTGTCGTGTGTGGGTCTGTGTGTGTGTCAGTGTGTCTGTGTCGTGTGTGTGTCAGTGTGTCTGTGTCAGTGTATGTGTCTGTGTCGTGTGTGGGTCTGTGTGTGTGTCAGTGTGTGTCTGTGTCGTGTGTGGATCTGTGTGTCTGTGCGTGTCGGTCTGTGTTGTGTATGTGTCAGTGTGTGTGTCAGTGTGTGTGTGTGTCAGTGTGTGGTGTTCGTGTGTGGGTCTGTGTGTCTGTGCGTGTCGGTGTGGGTCTGTGTGTGTCAGTGTGTGTCAGTGTGTGGTGTTCGTGTGTGTGTCTGTGTGTGTGTCAGTGTCGTGTGTGGGTCTGTGTGTCTGTGCGTGTCGGTGTGGGTCTGTGTGTGTGTCAGTGTGTGTCAGTGTGTGTGTCTGTGTCGTGTGTGGGTCAGTGTGTGTGTCAGTGTGTGTGTCAGTGTGTGTGTTGTGTGTGTGTTGTTCGTGTGTCTGTGTTCGCGTGTTGCAGACAGAATCTCGCTGTCGTGAAATTTTACAAAATTTAGGGGAGGAAATTATTCGCCGAAATCATCGAGTTGACGATTTTTGTCTCTGCGTGCGTGTGTTATAGGGTGAGTGTGTGTTATAAAAAGTGTGTGTGTTATAGGGAGTGTGTGTGTTATAGGGTGAGTGTGTGTGTGTGTGTTATAGGGTGAGTGTGTTATATGGAGTGTGTGTGTATGATATGGAGTGTGTGTGTGTGTTATAGGGTGTGTGTCATATGGAGTGTGTGTGTGTTATATGGAGTTTGTGTGTGTGTGTTATAGGGAGTGTGTGTGTGTGTGTTATATGGAGTGTGTGTGTGTTATAGAGAGTGTGTGTGTGTGTGTTATAGGGTGTGTGTGTGTTATAGAGTGTGTGTGTGTTATAGGGTGTGTGTGTGTTATAGGGTGTGTGTGTGTGTGTGTCATAGGGAGTGTGTGTGTCATAGGGAGTGTGTGTGTGTTATAGGGAGTGTGTGTGTGTGTTAGAGGGAGTGTGTGTGTGTGTTAGAGGGAGTGTGTGTGTGTGTCCATAAGGAATGGTGAGCCCATGATGTTGTGTCTGTGTGTGTCTGTGTGTGTGTCTCTCTATGTCTCGGTGTGTGTGTATCTGTGTGTGTGTCTGTGTGTGTCTGTGTGTCTGCGTCTCTGTGTCTGTGTGTGTCTGACATGGGGAGCGGTGGGGCAGCGGTTAGCGCTGCGCTACGAACCCGGCGACCCGAGTTCGATTCCCGGTCAACACCGGTGACGATTCTCCAATTATCCTCGAGTGCTGCGACAAAGGCGGCCGGGCGTGGTGGTGACCAACCCACCCCCTCGTGTGCCGTGCCGGCCTTCGTAGGTGCTCGCTGACAGCACTTGCCCCAGCAGGCTACACGGGGGATCTTTGTCTTTGTTGGCTAAGGATTGGTTAAGAACCATCAATGACAGCCCCTAATCGATGGTGATGCATTGCTGTGTGGTCTGGCTGTGGGTTCGCCTTCATCGTGAATAGCCAGTGGCGTGTACGTGTGTACGTGTGTGTGTACTGTGTGTACGTGTGTGTGTATGTGTGCTTGTGTGTGTACGTGTGTGTGTACGTGTATGTGTGTACGTGTGTGTGTGTGCTTGTGTGACGTGTGTGTGTGTACGTGTGTATGTGTGTGTATGTGTACGTGTGTGTGTGTGTACGTGTGTGTGTACTGTGTGTACGTGTGTGTATGTGTACGTGTGTGTGTGTACGTGTGTGTGTGTACGTGTGTATGTGTGCACGTGTGTGTGTGTGTACTGTGTGTACGTGTGTGTGTGTGTACGTGTGTGTGTGTACGTGTGTGTGTGTGTACGTGTGTGTGTGTACGTGTGTGTGTACGTGTGTGTGTACGTGTGTGTGTGTGTACGTGTGTGTACTGTGTGTGTGTGTGTGTACGTGTGTGTGTACGTGTGTGTACTGTGTGTGTGTGTATACGTGTGTGTGTGTACATGTGTGTGTGTGTACGTGTGTGTGTGTGCGTGTGTGTGTGCTTGTGTGTGTGTGTGTAGGTGGTGTGCGTGTGTGTGTGTGTACGTGTGTGTGTATCGTGTGTGTGTACGTGTGTGTGTGTACGTGTGTGTGTGTAGGTGGTGTGCGTGTGTGCGTGGTGTGTGTGTACGTGGTGTGTGTGTAGGTGGTGTGCGTGTGTGCGTGGTGTGTGTGTGTACGTGGTGTGTGTGTAGGTGGTGTGTGTGTGTACGTGGTGTGTGTGTACGTGGTGTGTGTGTGTACGTGGTGTGTCAATAATGTGGTGTGGTGTGGCGTGTGTGTACGTGGTGTGTGTAGGTGGTGTGCGTGTGTGCGTGGTGTGTGTACGTGGTGTGTGTGTAGGTGGTGTGTGTGTACGTGGTGTTACTGTGTTATACGGTGTGTGTGTAGGTGGTGTGTGTACGTGGTGTGTGTGTGTGGTGTGTGTGTACGTAGTGTGTGTGTGTAGGTGGTGTGTGTGTACGTGGTGTTTGTGTACGTGGTGTGTATGTGTGTGTACGTGGTGTGTATGTGTACATGTAGCGTTGTGAATATAATTGTGAATATCATTGAGATTCGTTGTGATGTGAGGAGTTGGGTGAGTTGGTGAAGGAGCGAGTTGGTGGGTGGTTGAGTCGGTAGGAGGCTGACAGGACCGATTCAAATCATGATTACTGGCCAACACCAATTATAGAATCCATTGAAATTGCGAAAAATGCAATTAATTTCAATCGCTGTGACAGAGACAGGCTTCGTGCGGCCTGGAAGCGTATTATTAAATAATACATCTTACAATTACAATTCCTTATAGGGGGAAACACATACTAATTAACTGATTACTCACGTAGTCTGTAATTACAATAACCCCTCTCCCCCTCCTCTGATCTCTGCACCTGATTAGGTATCGCGATTGGGTTCAGTTATTAGATAATACACAACTCCTTATAGGGGAATCATAACAATGAACTGATTACTGATCAATTAAATCAACAACACCCCCCTCCTCCAACTCTGATCTCTGCACGTGAACGAAAGGCAAAGAGAGGAGCGACGCTCACAACAACGAGCGGAGCACCGGGTGGATAAAATAAAACAAGTTGGCACAGTAGGGGGTACAGCTGGTGGTGCATCTGCCATTCATCTCAGTCAGCCAACCCACGGCACCTGCCGGGTCTGTCCCGTGACCTCCTGCACTTAGCCTGGCACAGTAGGGGGTACAGCTGGTGGTGCATCTGCCATTCATCTCAGTCAGCCAACCCACGGCACCTGCCGAGTCTGTCCCGTGACCTCCTACTCCCAGCGAGGCTTCGACACTTCACGTGGCCTCAAAGTGCACCTAGCCTGGCACGGGCGCTGTGGTGACGTCACCGTCACTGTCACTTAGTGGCGAATGGCGGGTATTAGTGTGCGTGTGTGCGTGTGAGCGTGTGAGTGTGTGCATGTGAGCGTGTGTGTGTGTGAGCGTGTGAGTGTGTGTGAGTGTGCGTGCGTATTTGCGAGTGAGTGTGTGCGAGTGTGTGCGTGTGTGAGTGTGTGCGTGTGTGAGTGTGTGCGGTGTGAGGGTGTGCGAGTGAGCGTGTGAGTGTGTGCGAGTGAGCGTGTGTGAGTGTGCGTGTGTGAGTGTGCGTGTGTGCGAGTGAGCGTGTGAGTGTGTGCGAGTGAGCGTGTGTGAGTGTGTGTGAGTGTGAGCGTGTGTGCGAGTGTGTGAGTGTGAGCGTGTGTGAGTGTGTGAGTGTGAGCGTGTGTGAGTGTGTGCGTGTGTGCGTGCATGAGCGTGTGTGGAGGAGGCTCGTGAGAGACGCGGCTGCTGGAGGCGGTCGCCCTCCCAGCAGCAGCAGCAGCAACGGGCGGGGGATAGAGGAGAGACGAGGCTCACAACAACGAGCGCGAGCCCCGGGGCCGATAAAACGCAGCGAGTTTGGCAGCCAGACGTCCGGACGCGTCAAAACCCCGCTGTGAATTAAAACAACAAAAACAAACAAACTTAGGAGCTATACAAGTGCGCAAAGACGCACGGGTGGGGAGGCAGAGTAGCGGAAACGCTCAGCCACACACTCAGCCACTCACTCAGCCACCCACTCACTCAGCCATCCACCCACTCAGCCACCCACTCACTCAGCCACCCACTCACTCAGCCACCCACCCACTCAGCCACCCACTCAGCCACCCACCCACTCAGCCACCCACTCACCCAGCCACTCAGCCACCCACTCACCCAGCCACCCACTCAGCCACTCACTCAGCCACCCACTCACTCAGCCACCCACCCACTCAGCCACCCACTCAGCCACCCACCCAGCCACCCACCCATTCAGCCACCCACCCACTCAGCCACCCACCCACCCAGCCACCCACCCACTCAGCCACCCACTCAGCCACCCACCCACTCAGCCACCCACCCACTCAGCCACCCACCCACCCAGCCACCCACCCACTCAGCCACCCACCCACTCAGCCACCCACTCAGCCACCCACCCACTCAGCCACCCACCCACTCAGCCACCCACCCACTCAGCCACCCACTCAGCCACCCACTCAGCCACCCACCCACTCAGCCACCCACCCACTCAGCCACTCACTCAGCCACCCACTCAGCCACCCACCCAGCCACCCACCCACTCAGCCACCCACTCAGCCACCCACCCAGCCACCCACCCACTCAGCCACCCACCCACTCAGCCACCCACTCAGCCACCCACCCAGCCACCCACCCACTCAGCCACCCACCCACTCAGCCTCAGCCACCCACCCACTCAGCCACTCACTCAGCCACCCACTCGGCCACTCACCCACTCAGCCACTCACTCAGCCACCCACCCACTCAGCCACCCACTCAGCCACCCACCCACTCAGCCTCAGCCACCCACCCACTCAGCCACCCACTCAGCCACCCACCCAGCCACCCACCCACTCAGCCACTCACTCAGCCACCCACTCAGCCACCCACCCACCCACTCAGCCACCCACCCACTCGTTAACGCTACCACACTTACCCACCAACCCATTAACTCACCAACTCACGCGCCCACTCACCCCCGCTGCTGCTGCTGCGTGTGGTGTGTGTGGTGTGTGGTGTGTGTGGTGTGTGTGGTGTGTGTGGTGTGTGTGTGTGTGTCGTGTCGTGTGTGTTGTGTGTGTGTCGTGTGTGATGTGTGTGATGTGTGTGGTGTGTGTGGTGTGTGGTGTGTGTCGTGCCAGCAATGGGAAGATCGAGAGCGACGACTACGAGGACCTGACGCTCAACAAGACGTGGGTCCTGGCCCCGAAAGTCTACGAGAGTGACGTCACGCAGATCCTCAACCGCATGCTGGAGGGGTACGACAACAAGCTGCGCCCCGGCATCGGAAGTGAGTCAACATCATCAACATCACCGCCACCATCACCATCATCAACATCACCATCATCAACATTACCATCACCATCATCACCACTATCATCAACATCACCGCCACCATCATCATCATCACCACCACCATCAACTTCACCACCATCATCAACATTACCATCATCAACATCACCGCCACCATCATCAACATCACCGCCACCATCAACTTCACCACCATCATTAACATCACCATTATCAACATTACCATTATCAACATCACCACCATCATCAACATCACCAACGCCATCAACATTACCATTATCAACATCACCAACATCACCACCATCATAAACATCACCACCATCATCAACATCACCATCATCAACATTACCACCATCATCAACATCACCATCATCAACATCACCACCATCATCAACATCACCATCATCAACATCACCATCATCAACATCACCATCATCAACATCACCAACGTTATTAACATCACCACTACCATCAATATCACCACCACCACTATCACCACCACCACGTCCACCACCACCACCACGTCCACCACCACTATCACCACCACCACATCCACCACCACCACGTCCACCACCACTATCACCACCACTATCACCACTATCACCACCACTATCACCACCACCACCACGTCCACCACCACTATCACTATCACCACCACTATCACCACCACTATCACCACCACGTCCAGCTGACCCCGGTCCTGTCCCGCAGTGCGACCCACCAAGGTGGAAGTGGACATCTTCGTCAACAGCATTGGCCCCGTGTCCGCCATCAACATGGTAAGAAGCCAAGGCAAAGCTCCCCCGTGTAGCCTGCTGCTCGGGCAAGTGCCGTTAGCAGCAGCAGCAGCTATTCATTCGTCCGCCTTTGTCTCCCCGGTCGCGCTGTTTACGTGGCGGAGGTGCCCGGCGTGCGTCAGGGTCGGGATCCAGCCGGTGACCTCCCGTACACCGGGCGAGGTCGTTAACATCTCCACAATTCGTGCACGGGACACGGTTTGGTAAATCGGCGCTCGCTTTGCGGAGAGAGGGAGAGAGATAGAGAGCTTCAGGGCGTTACCTCTAAACACTTTTATTTCGTCACTATTTGTATCATTCTTTTTGTTTGTCTCTTCGTTCTTTACTGTGTTTCACTGCTTCGGGCGTGGGGTCTGCGCTCTCTGCAGTCCACTGGCGGCGTCTCTGTTCTCTGTACAATCCCCGAGTTCATTTCACAGCCACAACGCCCTTTTTTCCCATTTTATTTTGAGTTTTCCTAAAACTATTGGAGTTTGTGATATTTCATTTTGTTTCTTTCGTTTCGGTGTGTTCCACGTGGACACGCCGCCGGTGCAGTACCACACACACGAGTCGCTGTGAGTGCAGGGGATGCAGTGCACCCCCGACTCCATCCCCTTTGGACCCCTCTTGCTAAGTTTGTGAGCGTGTTCACAATGTTCATCATGTCGTGTGTTGTCGCTCCCTCTCCGATGTTTCTGTTACTTCCCTTGCCGCGAGTCACCGTCATACGCCGCGCTCTCTGGGCCCTCCCATTCGCGTGCGAGGTCGATCGTTCTCAACACCCTGTAGTTTGTGTCACGCGGCTTGTTTTGTTTGCTATGCCACTGAAGGTGATTAACTATTATTCTTAATGTCTCTCCTAGGGAGCTCTGTGTGACAGTCGCACAGTTTTAAGACGTCGTCAAAACACACCACGTGATAGACGCATCACGATAGACACACCACGTGATAGACGCGTCACGTGACATACGCACCACGTGACAGACAAGCCACGTGATAGACACACCACGTGATAGACCGTCTTGCACCAAATGTTTTGCCACCTCGACCAGGTCGTAGTTGGGGGTAGGAAGAGCCACGTGGCTTCCTACACACAGCCAGGCTGCAGCTGCCAATCTTGCTGGAGTCATGGGACCCTCCACTCAGGCCCCTGCTCCTAGCCCAGCCCCCGCAGTGGGCAGCAGCAGCAGCAGCGACTTCTGCTGCTTCCGTCGTGCGAGCGCGGCATCCGTTGCTTCGCCTCGAGCACCACCACCACCGTCGAGGCCCCGGCGACCGTCGTCCCACCAGCCTCCATCGCGCACGCGTGCGTAGAAAGGTGAACGGAAAATCCGATTTCTTCCCGATGACGGAGAGGGCGGCCCACACCGCCGTCGAGAAGGGGACGGCCATCGACGGCCTCGACGTCCCACCGGAACCGCTGGCTACGTCATCTCCAACGTGCCGCCCCACATCCCCGACAAGGCCGTGTTGGAGCGCGTGACCGAGCTGGGCCCTGCGGCTGCGGTGCAGAAGCCCTGCCCTGTAGCGCGTCCTGTAGCACGTCCTGTAGCACGTCCTGTCGCGCGTCCTGTCAAGAACAAGCACCGTGCGCCAAACCCACGTTCAGCGGCCCCTTGAGCTTGAGTGGGTGCACGGAGGCGGTGCGGAGGTTGTCCCCAAGGTCCTTGCGAGGAGGCACGCCGCCTCGCTGTTTTCATCGGGGAGACGCCGCCTCGCGTTTGAGGATGAGGGCGTCTGCGGAGGACGGCGTGGCAACGGGAACCCTTTCACAGCCACCTTGACGGCACCTCCTGTGGAGTCGCGACCCCTCGAACCCCGAGCTCATCCCCGAGACTGAAGTGGCGAAGGGCAGGGTGCTCGCGGCGACGGTCGAGGCCGGCGAGGTCACCACCCGCCCGCCCACCGGACGTGTGCGGGCCGGTCACCGACAAAGGAAAGATTCGGTGCCTGCACCTCCCGCAGCGGCGCTTGGCCGGGACGCGCACTCGGCACGCAGGATCGTTCGCGGGGAGGCGGCTTGGGGGCATGGGGCCCAAGAGGGAGCTACAGGGGGAGGGGCTCCTGGATGCCACAGCTTGGTGGCCGTGTGGAGAAAGGCTCCCGGCCCGCATCTCTCTCCGGAGGCGGCTTTACTCTGGGCCGAGGGACAAGCGCTTCGGGGACCTCCGCCGCTCGAGTTCAGCGTCCACTTCACCCCGACGATCTTCGTCTTCGGGCCGTGGAACCGTGACGGATCGGGACGTGGGGTTGGCCTCGTCGATTGACTCGTGGGCCACGCTCAGCTGGCCACCACAGACAGGCCCAGGAAGGCGGCCACGGAGGGGAACCGTCCGCCCGGCAGCCCGGGCATCTTCCGTGCTCCGGTGGGCGCCTCGGTGTGGCCGGAGCTCCGCCACCCGCGGCCGTGGCGCCTTCGACGGAGGAGGCCGCGCGCTCCGTGGTGGAGGGTGGAGAGCCGCAGATGGAGCTCTCTGAGCTTTCATAGGAAGCCACGAGACGACCAGAAGTGATGCCGTGTTGTTAGAAACACGAGGGAGAGTGCGGTGGAGAGATGGAGAGAGGGTTTCCTAGGTGTTTCCTGGTTGTGGTTGCTCTGTGTAAACGTGTTGCACCTCCCGCACTTAAAAGGCGGTGAGAGCAAACTAGAAAGCAGCCAAAAGAGACCCCGGCACGATGAACGAGACAAATCGCCGAACAACTGAGCAGTCTCTCTCGTGCGCGCTGGTTCTGATCGGAGTGGGAGGGGGAGGGAGGGAGGGAGCGTGAGTCGAGAGTCGTCGTCGTCGTGACGAGGTGGACGGGACGAGGCAGCGCGTGCCGAGCTGTCGCGCGTGCGTTCGGGGAGTGGACGTGGGAATGGGACTCGAAGAGCGCGCGCACACACGCACACACACACATACACACGCACACACACACACATACACACGCACACACACACGCACACACATACACACACACACATACACACGCACACGCACACACATACGCACACACGCACACACGCACACACATACACATGCACACACGCACACATACACACACACACATACACGCACACACACACATACACACACGCGCACACACACACGCACACACGCACACACACGTACACAAACACGCACATGCGCAAAGCATCGAGCGTGATTCACGGCGTCTAAAAATACTCTCCCCTGCTCTCTCTCCTCTCTTTCCTCGCTCTCTCCTCGCTCCTTTTTTCAGAGGAAACAAGAAGATGCTCGGTGTAGCCGGCACTTTGCTTCGTTCATCATTTCGGTTTTTTTTCAATGCTTTGCTTGATGTGCCCCCACCCCCCTTTTTAAATGAAAGATTTCACAAAAGATGTCACGCTCTTCTCTCCTCCTCCTCACCCCTCCCCTCTCTCTCTACCCCCCCCTCTCCTCGCTCTCCCCTCTCACCCCTCTCCTCTCTCTCTACCCCCCACTCTCCTCGCTCTCCCCTCTCTCCCCTCTCCTCTCTCTCCATGCTGCACTGCACCAAACGGCCACCGTTAGCGACCGTCAAGTGGTGCAAGTGGGGTTCCTACAAAATCTAAACAATCACTCACTGCCTGTGTAGGGTGGGTGATCGTGTGTGGCTGTGATTGAGTGTTAGTGTGTGATTGTGTGTGTGTGATTGTGTGTGTGTGATTGTATATGTGATTGTGTGTGTGATTGTGTGTGATTGTGTGTGTGTGATTGTGTGTGTGATTGTGTGATTGTGTGTGCGTGTGTGTGTGTCTGTGTGTGATTGTGTGTGATTGTGTGTGCGTGTGTGATTGTGTGTGATTGTGTGTGTGTGTCTGTCTGTGTGTGTGTCTGTGTGTGTGATTGTGTGTGTGTGTGATTGTGTGTGTGTCTGTGTGTGTGTGTCTGTGTCTGTGATTGTGTGTGTGTGTGTGATTGTGCGTGCGTGATTGTGTGTGTGTGATTGTGTGTGTGTGTGATTGTGTGTGTGTGTGATTGTGTGTGCGTGTGTGATTGTGTGTGTGATTATGTGATTGTGTGTGTGTGTGATTGTGCGTGTGTGTGTGATTGTGTGTGTGTGATTGTGCGTGTGTCTGTGTGTGTGTGATTGTGTGTGTGTGTGATTGTGTGTGTGTGATTGTGCGTGTGTGTGTCTGTGTGTGTGTGTGATTGTGTGTGTGTGATTGTGTGGTTGTGCGTGCGTCCTTGTACCTGTGGGGAGTCTGGTGGCGCCACGAACCCGGAGAGCCCGGTTCGATCCCCGCTCACGGTCAATACAAACATCGGTGATGAACATGTGAACTCAGTCTTGGGCCTCCCCTAGCTCGACTCAGCCTCAAATGAGTTACCCCAGACCCTGCTGATACTGACCACGTCAATGGACAAGGACACACGCGCGTCGAACAACGACCACACGCACGAACGCACGCGTGTGTGTGTGTGTCACGTGTGTGTGTGTGTGCCGTGTGTGTGTCCCATGTGTGTGTTTGTGTGTCCCGTGTGTGTGTGTGCCGTGTGTGTGTGTGTGTCACGTGTGTGTGTGTGTCACGTGTGTGTGTGTCCCGTGTGTGTGTGTGTGTCACGTGTGTGTGTGTGTCACGTGTGTGTGTGTCACGTGTGTGTGTGTGTCACGTGTGTGTGTGCCGTGTGTGTGTCCCATGTGTGTGTTTGTGTGTCCCGTGTGTGTCCCGTGTGTGTGTGTCCCGTGTGTGTGTGTCCCGTGAGTGTGCCCCGTGTGTGTGTGTGTGCCGTGTGTGTGCCCCGTGTGTGTGTGTGTGTGTCGTGTTGTGTGTGTCCCGTGTGTGTGTGTGTCGTGTTGTGTGTGTCCCGTGTGTGTGCCCCGTGTGTGTGTGCCGTGTGTGTGTGTGTCATGTGTGTGTTTGTGTGTCCCGTGTGTGTGTGTCCCGTGTGTGTGTGTGCCATGTGTGTGTGTCGTGTTTGTGTGTCCCGTGTGTGTGTGTGTCCCGTGTGTGTGTGTCCCGTGTGTGTGTGTCCCGTGTGTGTGTGTGTCCCGTGTGTGTGTGTCCCGTGTGTGTGTGTCCCGTGTGTGTGTGTGTCCCGTGTGTGTGTGTCCCGTGTGTGTGTGTGTCCCGTGTGTGTGTGTCGTGTTTGTGTGTCCCGTGTGTGTGTGTGTCCCGTGTGTGTGTGTCCCGTGTGTGTGTGTGTCCCGTGTGTGTGTGTCCCGTGTGTGTGTGTCCCGTGTGTGTGTGTGTCCCGTGTGTGTGTGTCCCGTGTGTGTGTGTCCCGTGTGTGTGTGTGTCCCGTGTGTGTGTGTGTCCCGTGTGTGGGTGTCCCGTGTGTGTGTGTGTCCCGTGTGTGTGTGTCCCGTGTGTGTGTGTGTCCCGTGTGTGTGTCTGTGCCGTGTGTGTGCCCCGTGTGTGTGTGTCGTGTTGTGTGTCCCGTGTGTGTGCCCCGTGTGTGTGTGTGCCGTGTGTGTGTGTGTCATGTGTGTGTTTGTGTGTCCCGTGTGTGTGTCCCGTGTGTGTGTGTCCCGTGTGTGTGTGTGCCATGTGTGTGTGTCGTGTTTGTGTGTCCCGTGTGTGTGTGTGCCCCGTGTGTGTGTGTCCCGTGTGTGTGTGTCCCGTGTGTGTGTGTGTCCCGTGTGTGTGTGTCCCGTGTGTGTGTCCCGTGTGTGTGTGTGTCCCGTGTGTGTGTGTCCCGTGTGTGTGTGTCCCGTGTGTGTGTGTCCCGTGTGTGTGTGTCCCGTGTGTGTGTCCCGTGTGTGTGTGTTCCGTGTGTGTGTGTCCCGTGTGTGTGTGTCCCGTGTGTGTGTGTCCCGTGTGTGTGTGTCCCGTGTGTGTGTGTCCCGTGTGTGTGTGTGTCCCGTGTGTGTGTGTCCCGTGTGTGTGTGTCCCGTGTGTGTGTGTGTCACGTGTGTGTGTGTGTGTGTCACGTGTGTGTGTCACGTGTGTGTGTGTGTCCCGTGTGTGTGTGTCCCGTGTGTGTGTGTCACGTGTGTGTGTCCCGTGTGTGTGTGTGTCCCGTGTGTGTGTGTCCCGTGTGTGTGTGTCCCGTGTGTGTGTGTCCCGTGTGTGTGTCCCGTGTGTGTGTGTGTCCCGTGTGTGTGTGTCCCGTGTGTGTGTGTCCCGTGTGTGTGTGTGTCCCGTGTGTGTGTGTGTGTCACGTGTGTGTGTCACGTGTGTGTGTGTGTCCCGTGTGTGTGTGTCCCGTGTGTGTGTGTCACGTGTGTGTGTCCCGTGTGTGTGTGTGTCCCGTGTGTGTGTGTCCCGTGTGTGTGTGTCCCGTGTGTGTGTGTGTGTGCCGTGTGTGTGTGTGTGCCGTGTGTGTGTGTGTCCCATGTGTGTGTTTGTGTGTCCCGTGTGTGTGTGTGTCCCGTGTGTGTGTGTCCCGTGTGTGTGTGTGTCCCGTGTGTGTGTGTGTCCCGTGTGTGTGTGTCCCGTGTGTGTGTGTCCCGTGTGTGTGTGTGTCCCGTGTGTGTGTGTGTCCCGTGTGTGTGTGTGTCCCGTGTGTGTGTGTGTCCCGTGTGTGTGTGTCCCGTGTGTGTGTGTGTCCCGTGTGTGTGTGTGTCCCGTGTGTGTGTGTGTCCCGTGTGTGTGTGTCCCGTGTGTGTGTGTGTGTGCCATGTGTGTGTGTCGTGTTGTGTTTGTCCCGTGTGTGTGTGTGTCACGTGTGTGTGTGTGTCACGTGTGTGTGTCCCATGTGTGTGTGTGTCCCGTGTGTGTGTGTGTGTCCCGTGTGTGTGTGTGTGTCCCGTGTGTGTGTCCCGTGTGTGTGTGTCCCGTGTGTGTGTCACGCATGTGTGTGTCACGCGTGTGTGTGTCAGGTGTGTGTGTCCCGTGTGTGTGTGTGTCACGTGTGTGTGTGTCCCATGAGTGTGTGTGTCTCGTGTGTGTGTGTGTCCCGCGTGGCAGGAGTACACCATCGACCTGTTCTTCGCCCAGACGTGGCACGACAGCCGCCTGCGCTTCAACCACACCATGAAGGTGCTGCGCCTCAACAGCAACATGGTGGGCAAGATCTGGATCCCCGACACGTTCTTCCGCAACTCCAAGATGGCCGACACGCACTGGATCACGACGCCCAATCAACTGCTGAGGATCTGGAACACGGGACGCGTTCTCTACACACTCCGGTGAGGGTGGGGGGGGGGGGGTCACGTGCTCTACACACTCCGGTGAGGGGGGGGGGGGGTCACGTGGTCTACACACTCACCTGGTGAGAGTGGGGGGAGGGTCACGTGGTCTACACTCACCTGGTGAGAGTGGGGGGGGGGGGGGGTCACGTGGTCTACACTCACCTGGTGAGAGTGGGGGGAGGGTCACGTGGTCTACACTCACCTGGTGAGAGTGGGGGGAGGGTCACGTGGTCTACACACTCCGGTGAGAGTGGGGGGAGGGTCACGTGGTCTACACTCACCTGGTGAGAGTGGGGGGAGGGTCACGTGGTCTACACACTCCGGTGAGAGTGGGGGGGGTCACGTGGTCTACACACTCCTAGTGAGACTGGGGAGGGGGTCACCTGGTCTACACTCACCTGGTGAGAGTGGGGGGGGTCACGTGGTCTGCACTCACCTGGTGAGAGTGGGGGGAGGGTCACGTGGTCTACACTCACCTGGTGAGAGTGGGGGGAGGGTCACGTGGTCTACACTCACCTGGTGAGAGTGTGGGGGGTCATGTGGTCTGCACTCACCTGGTGAGAGTGGGGGGGGGGGTCACGTGGTCTACACACTCCGGTGAGAGTGTGGGGGGTCATGTGGTCTGCACTCACCTGGTGAGAGTGGGGGGGTGGTCACGTGGTCTACACACTCCGGTGAGAGTGGGGGGGGTCACGTGGTCTACACACTCCGGTGAGAGTGGGGGGAGTCACGTGGTCTACACTCACCTGGTGAGAGTGGGGGGGGGTCACGTGGTCTACACACTCCGGTGAGAGTGGGGGGGTCACGTGGTCTACACTCACCTGGTGAGAGTGGGGGGGTCACGTGGTCTACACACTCCGGTGAGAGTGGGGGTCACGTGGTCTACACACTCCGGTGAGAGTGGGGGGGGGGGGGGTCACGTGGTCTACACTCACCTGATGAGAGTGGGGGAGGGTCACGTGCTCTACACACTCCGGTGAGAGTGAGGGGAGGGTCACGTGCTCTACACTCACCTGGTGAGAGTGGGGGGGTCACGTGGTCTACACTCACCTGGTGAGGGTGAGAGTGGGGGTCACGTGCTCTACACACTCCGGTGAGAGTGGGGGGGGGGGTCACGTGGTAGAGACGGGGGGCTCGGCCCACGGTTTGTTTGGGGGCCTCTCGAGTGGACGCGGCAGTTTTCCACGCGCGACTCGGACGAGGTGACGCATCTCCGCGATCTGCGGGGGCAGCGACTGCGGAACGATTCGCGCGCTGCGCTACGAACCCGGCGGCACGAGATCGATTCCTGCTCACGGCCGGTGACGATTATTTGAACCGGTCCTGGGCCTCCCCTAGGTCGACTCGGCCTCAAACGAGTAAGTGGTGTGGTATGTCAGCATCGCCACTGGGGAGACAAAGGCGGCCGGCCGTGGTGAATCCAAGTCCCGGGCGAAGCCGGGTAGTAAAGCGAGTACAGTCTTTCATAAATCTTGTCTTCGGTCACTTCGGTTATATACTTTTCTGTTTCGGTCTTGGTCGAAAGTGAAGTTCGACTTTCGGCTTCGGTTTCGGCCGAAAGTCAATTTTTTACTTTCGGTATTGGTTTCGGTTTCGGCCGAAACCAGAAATTCACCGGTCTGACTGTTCACCAAGTCGTCTGTCTGTCCGCCCCGCCGTCTCGTGTGTCTCGTGTGTCTGCACGCTGCGCCGCAGGTTGACGATCCACGCCGAGTGTCAGCTGGCGCTCCACAACTTCCCCATGGACGAGCACGCGTGCCCCCTCGAGTTCTCCAGCTGTGAGCAGCCCCCCCCTCCCTCCCTCCACACACACACACACGCACACACACTCACGCACGCACGTACGCACACGCATGCACGCACACACACACGCATAAGCACGCACACACACGCGCACGCACACGCATGCATGCACACTCACGCATGCATGCACACAAGCACGCACATGCAGGCACGCTCACATAAAACAAAGAACAAAGATCCCCCGTGTAGCCTTAACAGACCGTAGGGGCAAATGCTGTTAGCGAGCAGCACCTGTGAAGGCCGGCACGGCACACGAGTCGGTGGGTAGTCAACACCACGCCCGACCGCCTTTGTCTCCCCAGTGGCGATGTTTACTACACACTTAGCGGGTACTCGTTTGAGGCCGAGTCGACCTAGGGGAGGCCCAGGACCGGTTCAGATAATCCTCACCGGTGTTGGTGGCCGTGAGCTAAATCGAACTCTGGTCACCACGCACACACGGACACCCACACACACACACACTGACACCCACACACACACACGGACACCCACACACACACACACGGACACCCACACACACACACACACGGACACCCACACACACACACACGGACACCCACACACACACACACACTGACACCCACACACACACACGGACACCCACGCACACACGGACACCCACACACACACACACGGACACCCACACACACACACGGACACCCACGCACACACGGACACCCACACACACACACGGATACCCACGCACGCTTTGACGACGACGACGATGTTGTTCATAATCAAGGTTTTTGGGTGAGATCGCGTTATGTATAAATGTGTCGTAACCCTCCACCACCCGACACGGCCAATCAGCAAAAAAAGTGTCACACGCTGACAAAAGACAAATAGTTCACTGCTTTAGCCCACCGGTGTGTTGAAGAGTAAATCAACATCATTTACAATTTTGAGTGCGACGTTTCGCTTGGGATTACATCCAGCATCATCGGACAATTCGTTAAACTGACGATGTTGTTGTTGTTGACGATGTTGTTGTTGACGATGTTGTTTGATTGTTGTTGTTGTTGTGCAAGACGGCTACCCGAAGGACGAGATCATCTACCGCTGGAGCAGCAGCTCCGTGGAGCTCGCCAACCAACAGAACTGGAAGCTCTACCAGTTCTCCTTCGTCGGCCTCCGCAACATCACCAACATTCTCAAAACTCCCTCCGGTACCACCCGCCACCACCACCACCACCACCACCGTCTACAGCCTCAGCCACAACCACGATCTCAATCCACAACCACAGCCACAACCTCGATCTCAATCTACAACCACAGCCACAACCACAGCCACAACCACAACCACCATCTCAATCTACAACCACGACCACCACCGTCTAAAACCGTGATCGCAGCCACAACCACAGCCACAACCACAGCCACAACTACGATTTCAATCTACAACCACGACCACAACCACAATCTCAATCCACAACCACAGCCACAACCACGATCTCAATCTACAACCACGACCACAGCCACAACCACGATCTCAATCTACAACCAAGACCATGACCACCACCGTTTAAAACCGTGATCGCAGCCACAGCCACAACCACAGCCACAACCACAGCCACAACCACAGCCACAACCACAACCACAGCCACAACCACAGCCACAACCACGACCTACAACCGCGGCCACGACCACCACGGTAGACCTTGACTCTCTCCAGCCGTGGCGGCATCTTTCATGACGTCGCAGAGCGGCGGGGGGGGGGCACGTCATGTCGGCTGATTTCAGGGCTGACAATGCGAACGCCATCGCCCCCGCGCCAACACGATGCCAATGTCGTGTCGTGCACCCCTCCTCCGCCCGACACAGATGCAATGTAAGTTGTCGGGCGAAGGAACGAGAGCCGATCTATTGTTTTGGCTTCAACACAATTGGTGGTAAACTACGGCTTTGTTTTATTTTCACCGGGCGTTAGGGCCCACTGAGCTATGTAGCTCTTCTTCAGAAGTGACCGGCTTACTCCTCGAATGATAGCTCGATGGAGTGGCTTATCGCGTGGAGATTTATAGCAACAGCCTAATACTCTGAACGCATGGCGTTGGAGGACCCGGAGAAAAAATCCACGTGACCACGGGGAGGGAGAGACACGCAAACTACAAATATACAGCAGTAGGCATCGTCAGAATTGGGATCGAACCCACGACCTCCTGTATCCCAGGCGAGGTAGTTAACATTTCCTAGCCACCTTGATGGTGATTAGAGAGAGAGAGACATGCAAACTTCAAATATACAGCAGCAGGCATCAGGTTCGGGATCGGACCCATAACCTCCTGCATAGCAGGCGAGGTAGTCAACATCTCCTGGCCACCGCGGCACCCGATGCTTCCAGAGAGACACACGCACGGCACACCGCACAACTCGCTACGACGTCAGACCCAGCCGGCATCGTCCGCTGACCGCCAGCGTTCCCGGCGGTGGTTCCGTGTCTCCGTGGCAGGCGACTACGTCGTGATGGCCGTGTACTTTGAGCTGGTGCGGAGGATGGGCTACTTCACCATCCAGACGTACATCCCCTGCATCCTAATCGTCGTGCTCTCCTGGGTCTCCTTCTGGATCAACAGAGACGCGACGCCGGCACGCACCGCCCTGGGTGGGCACGCAAATCCACGCACGGCGGGTCACACCTGGGGTCACACCTGGGATAACACCTGGGGTCATACCTGGGGTGACACCTGGGATGACACCTGGGGTTACACCTGGAATGACACCTGGGGTCACACCTGGGGTCACACCTGGGGTGACACCTGGGGTGACACCTGCGGTCTCACCTGGGGTGACACCTGGGATGACACCTGGGGTTACACCTGGAATGACACCTGGGGTCACACCTGGGGTCACACCTGGGGTGACACCTGGGGTGACACCTGCGGTCTCACCTGGGGTCACACCTGGGATGACACCTGGGGTTAGACCTGGAATGACACCTGGGGTCACACCTGGGGTCACACCTGGGGTGACACCTGGGGTCACACCTGCGGTCTCACCTGGGGTCACACCTGGGATGACACCTGGGGTCACACCTGGGGTGACACCTGGGGTCACACCTGGGGTGACACCTGGGGTCGCACCTGGGGTCACACCTGGGGTCTCACCTGGGGTGACACCTGCACAGAACCCCAATCAGTGACTGTCACTCAGCGACTCTTCTCCACTCCTCCTCCCCCCCCACTCCTCGTCCCCCACTCCCTCTCCTCCTCCTTCTTTCTCTTCTCTACCTCTCTCACCCCCTCCTCTCTCCCGCTCCTTCCTTACCCCCCCCCCGCCCCGTGCAGGCATCACGACGGTGCTCACGATGACCACGCTGAGCACCATCTCGCGCAAGACGCTGCCCAAGGTGTCGTACGCCACGGCCATGGACCTCTTCGTCACGGTGTGCTTCTTCTTTGTCTTCGCCGCCATGATCGAGTACGCCACGCTCACCTTCTTCGTCATGCAGCAGAAGCAGAACGCCGGCAAGAAGCCCAAGGAGAAGCCCCCGCCACGGCCCCCACAGGTAAGTGACGGGGACGGGGGGGGGGGTGGATAGACACCCACGGGGAGGTTTGTGATGGCCGAGTGAGAGACGCTGAGCCTCGACTGCTCAGATCGTCTTGGTCACCACTTCCTCCTCAATCACTCTTGCAATGTCTCTCCTCTCTCTCCTCCCCCTACTCCTCTTCTCCCTCCCCTCCTGCCCCTCCCTCCTCCTCCCCTCCTCCTCCTCCTCCCACCACCACCACCACCACCCCCTCCCCCACCCCCCACACAGAGCCACTACCACGGGCTGCTCAAGGTGCGCATGCGCTCCGAGCGTCTCAACAACGCCCTGGCTCCGTCGCGCCTCCTCGCCCCTCCCCCTCCCCTTCCGTCGCCCCCCCAACTGCGGTCGGGGTGCCCCCCCGCCGGCGTCGCCGCCGACTGCCTCGAGGGAAAGGACTGCTCGGGGTTCTTCTGCTGCGTGGACGAGTGCCGGAGCGGCGCGTGGCGCCAGGGCAGGGCCCACATCCACATCGTGCAGCTCGACTCCTACGCTCGCATCTTCTTCCCCACCTCGTTCGCCCTCTTCAACCTCGTCTACTGGGTGACCTACCTGTACCTGTGACCGCTCCTCCGGCCGGCGCGTCGTGCGCGAGCGATTGCGGTGGGGGCGGTGAGGGCGGTGGGGGCGGTGGGGGCGTGGGGGGCAACTTGGGGGGAATGTTGTATATTGTGGCGGAGTGGGCGGCGGTGGGGATAGCAAAACCCACCCGGGAGGTTCGTGGGGGGGGTCATCGACCGTAACGCGACGGGGCGGCGGGGGGGGGGGAGGTTGCGGCGAGCGCCGGTCGTGACACAGTCACCCCCCCGCCCCCCCGTCCCGGGATCAAACCGTGAGCCGCCCCGCCGGTACCTTGCGTGCGAGCGACCGTCGCCGCCCGAGCCGGCGCGGCGAATGGAAATTCCAGGTTTCTGTGGCCACGAGGCCGGCTCTGGGCGACCGCCGTTGACTCTCCCGCACGCGCACGGCGCTTCACCGATCGTCACAACCGCGGGGCGAGAGCGGTGGTGGTGATGGTAGTGGTGGTGGTGGAGGCGGCGGTGTGTGTATCACTGTGTGTGTGTGCAATTGTGTGGGGAACGGTAATGTAGCGGTTAGCGTGCTGTTCTACAAACCGGGTAACCCAAGTTCGATTCCTGCTCACGGCCAACATCGGTGACGAATATCTGGGCCTACCGTAGGTCAATTCAGCCTCAAATGAGTACCCGGTGCGGTGTGTAAACATCGCCACTGGGGAAAAAAAGGCAGCCGGGCGTGGTGATGGCCAACCACCCCCTCGTGTGCTGTGCCGGCCTTCATAGGTGCTCGCTAACAGCACTCGCCCCAGCGGTCTGTTAGGGCTACACGGGAGATCTTTGTCTTTTGTGCGTGCGATTGTGCGCGCACGCGTTTCGGAATTGTGGAACACAGAGTTGTGCGGATCGACACTATTATAACGAGGGTAAACACTCCCGATAGCTTACGGTGATGTTAAACGTGTCGCGTACGTACATACGAACACACACACACGGGTGTCACGAGACCACGGGACTGAGGTCGCCGTGGCACCGCGATGCGCCATCACCGCCGGTCGCGCCGTCCGTCGTCACGGCCCGAATGAGGGTTCCTCCCTTCGTGACATTTCTCCTCCGATTCGGTGGCCGTGTTGGGGTAGCTGAGTGGACTAATCCGCCCGTTACACCAGAGTAGCGTGGTCGTGTTGGGGTAGCTGAGTTGACTAGTCCACTCGTTACACCAGGGTAGTGTGGCTGTGTTGGGGTAGCTGAGTGGACTAATCCGCCCGTTACACCAGGGATAGACGCCCATCGCCGCATTCGCAATTAAAAAATTAAATATATTTTCATTCCTCCGACACAATGAAAACCAACTTACGGAAGCAAATAAAAGTACCACGATAGAAAGCGTTGGCTCAAACTAAAATAATAAACTAAGAGCCGTAAGATGAAAGTGTGCCAGACCCCGCTGTCCGTGCGGTGGATACGCGACCGATGTCGCACCCTCTCACTCGTTGGATCACTCCTCCGACTGATTGCGGTGACGCACGGCCCAGTGGCAAGACTCCAGGCACGGGGTTTCCCGTGGGGGAAGCGAACTGCTGTTGAGAAACTTCGGAGCGAATCTTCTTTTGTACTTGGCAGCAACAACAACAACAACAACAAAAAGCACAACGGAAAAACGACAACGGCGGTGAATCCCACGGTGGCATTCGGTGGCGTCCCGGACGGTGGCGACCCCGGTGACCCCGGCCATCCCGGCGTGAGACGCTCGCCGTCGCACGCGCCGTTCCTAACAGTCTCACGTCGCGCGCAAGCGCTCGCCCGCGCTCGGATGCAAACCGCGGTTGACGTCACAGGGTCTATAAGGTTTCTCCTTTTACTTGCTCCCCCTTTCCTTCGGACTGAAGCGTGGCTTTGCGCTCCGGCAACGGCGCCGCTCCTCGTGCGAGCCGTGGGTCGTTAAACACCGCCACCGCCCGGCACGGCCACTTAGCGAGGTTTGTCACGTGAACACAACGTGCCAACGAGTTACTAGTTGAGCACTAAACGGTTTTTGTGTTGGACAGTTTCGCCAGAAGTTACGACTAGCATCATCAGGCGACAGCCAGAATTGTGGAGAAATTCGTTCAAGAACGAAGCTGGAGGATTTCTCCACGAGTCTGGCTGTCGCTTGAAGATGCTGGTTGCAATTGCTAGCGAAACGTCGTACTCGGATTGCAAACGTCGTAGTGGGTTTACTGTCCCACACACGACCGGTGGTGCCGTACTGGTAACGATTTGGCACGTTCTGTTTACGCAACAACCCTCACTGATGGGCCGTGCCGGGTGGTGGGGGGTTTAACGACGCATTTATTTATTCACGCGATCTAACCCCAAACTCCTCTACTGTGGATAACATTGGTCGTGAAAGCCTCCGTGTTAAACTGATGATACGATTGGCATTCGTAGCGGCCCTGTCGTTGGCATGGCTCACTGATGACCACTAATTATTCCGAAGTCCCACGCAATACGAACTCCCTGCATCGTGGTTATTTCTTTGATTTGTTAAACCCGCATCATCGTCGTCGCCGTCGTCGGCTATGACCAATCCACTGCTGGATGAAGACCTCCTGGCCAAAAGCTGTTGCCGCCCCTGTCTCAGTCGGCTCTGTATGTAAACGCGGTAGAACCCCTCCTGACGATGGGCATTGGTTCCATGAAACTGGTCGTTCGGTGATTTGGTCATTGAGCGAGTAGAGGGAATGCACGGTTAAAGGAGCATCGAAAGTTACCCTCTTTCACCCACAAACATTTACTTTGTAACATTTAAACAATGGATATTAATACAGAAAGATACTAACAATATATTTACACGTAATATTAAAATAAACACGGTTAATCAATGCATTAATTTATATTTACTGTACCAACAACAGCGAGTCGTTAACAGGGGAATGGTCAGTAAGCAAACATATTGGGCTCTATGGAGGCACTACACTACTATACACTACACTACTATACACGACACTATACACTACTATACACTACACTACTATACACTACACTATACACTACTATACACTACACTATACACTACATTATACACTACTATAAACTACACTATACACTACTATGACTGCGTGTGTATACACACACAGTCATTGTGTTTGTAGGGAACAAGACACACCTCGCTCCGAAATTCCACATTCCTAGGACGAGGACCAGTCACCACGAGAGTAGGGAAGAGCACACTCGACTGCCCCACAACGCGGTATTCATGATTTACCCACCCCACGGTGATGATGAATGGCGATTGTGGGATGGTGATTCATGGGTGCTACGAACAGCACTTGCCCCAACAGTCTGTTGATGCTATACGGGTGATCTTTGTTGCTGCCATTGTGATGTTTGGGGATGGACTGCCCCTGTCATAGGAATGTGGAAATTCCGTGTTTCTAGAATACAGGCGGGGGGGAGGGGGGTGTTGATGCATTGATGAACACCGCTCGCAAGAAAGGGCATTTCTCTAGGGGGTCACGTGGCTCCCACAGCCACTCGAGGCCAGGAGATGTTCACATGACCGGGAGATGTTCACGTGACCAGGAGGTGTCCACGTGGTCAGGAGGTGGTCACGTGGTCAGGAGGTGCCCACGTGGTCAGGAGATGGTCACGTGACCAGGAGGTGTCCACGTGGTCAGGAGATGGTCACGTGGCCAGGAAATGGTCACGTGACCAGGAGGTGGCCAGTAGATGGTCACGTGGCCAGGAGGTGTTGACTCCCTCGCCGGCTGTACAGGAGGTCGTGGGTTCGATCCCAGCCCTGACCCCGGCGGCGGCTGCTGCTGCTGCTGCTGTAGATTTGGAGTTTGCGTCTCTCTCTCTTTCTCTCGCTCCGGGTTTTCCCTCCACATTTAAAATGGACGTCACAGCGTTCAGAGTATTTTTGCTGCTCTACATTTCCACGTGGTGGTGGTGATGGTGATGCTGATAAGCCACTAGGCTCAGCTATCGTTGGTGGCTCAGGGGGGCCTTACCCGGTAAAATAAAATAAAAGTTTCTGGCTTTAGTTTCAGTATTCCTCCTGCAGCCAAGATAGCGAGCCGCGATATGGGAATGTGGAGCAGCTTGGCACTTGCATCTTCTTGTTCTTCCCTGCGTTTATACAACCAGCACGTTGCTTGTCCACGTCACAGCCCAATCTGTGTACTCTGACAATATCCGTGATGTATATTTCACCAGAATTATTGAAGAAACGCGTGGGAACAGAGATGTACACGATTCAACCTTGGGGAAATAACAATTTATATCATCATCATCAGCGGCGCGTGTGCATTCCGTGGGTTAGTAGGACCCGCTGTCAGCATCGCCATCATCGTCATCATCACTTTCATCATACGGTGCGAAATAAGTTCAATGTACATACGTTGTCACCATCATCATCACCATCATCACCATCACTGTCGTGATCACCATCACGTTATGACAATCATTCAGTCTTGTTGAAAGAAAGGTCACGAGGTCATGACCAGGTGTTGTGGGTGGCGCCGTACGTCGCCATCGCTCCCTTCGCTCTGCCAGGTCCCACAGCGCGTCGCACGGTCGACACGTGGCCCCAGGCCCCACCACCCTCGCAGTCCCATCACCACCATCATCACCACCATCACCACCACAACCATCATCACCATCACCACCATCACCATCACCACCATCACCACCACCACCATCACCACCACCACCATCACCACCCCCATCTGGCTTCAGGGCTTCTCTTCCCCCTGGTCACGGGCCTCTGGGCGCCTCTCCTCCTCCTCCACCCTGCGCACCACTCGTCCCACCCATCACTACCTCCTCCTCCTCCCGCTGCTGCCGACCTCCAAGTCGCTGTTGCCGACACGAGGTGGGGGGGGGGGGTCTGGCCCTGATCCACCCCGAGCCCACGGCCCTCTCTCACGATCTCCTCCCCCACAGAATCCCCCCCCAGCCCCCCCCTAGCCCCCACCAAGCCCCCCCCCCCCCCCTCCTGTATGTCCTCGCCCGCTCCTCCTCCCCTCCACCCCGCCCCCGACGTCCCCACCCCGCCCCTGCTACAAACCCCAGCCCGCCGAGTTCGACTCCACGTCCAGCGATCGATAATGGAGGCGAATATCAGAAATCAGAACCCTTTTCCTGGGCCTCCCCCCCCCCCTCTCCATACCCACCCACCCTTAGGTCGACTCAGCCTTAAATGAGTACCTGGCGCAGGGTTAAAAAAAGTATCGGGGAGACAAAGGTGGTCGGGCGTGGTTGCTGGCCACCCACCCCCTCGTGTGCTCGCTACGAGCGCCACTTCGCCCCGGCGGTCTGCGGCAGACCACGTGGGGGTGGCGTGGGGGTCGCCACTAGCCTGGGGGGGGGGGGGGGAGTCGTGGATTTTGTGCGCAGAGTCGCGGTCACACTCCAAGCCAAAGGGTTACCGAGAATTCCGTGTCAGATTGTGAGTGCCAAACATCCGTGCCAAACATCCGTGCCAATCCGCCGTCAAAGAAGTGGCAAACTTTGACGGCTGCTTGACAATTTGAAGGCCCTGATTTTACAAATTACGACCACGACTAACGATAATTAATGTCGTAGTAGTTTTATTGTTACGGCAGAGACAAATATATCCGGAGGGAGTGCTTAGGGATGATGATTCGGTTTGTTACCGATCTCATGTTCTCGGAGCTTTGTAGCTGTGACACCGAGCTCTGCATGCCCCTACAGCGGCATTGCCCCTGTGCTGGTCACGTGGTGGCATTGCCCCTATGATGGTCGCCTCGTGGCATTGCCCTGTGCTGGTCACGTGGTGGCATTGCCCCTGTGATGGTCACGTTGTGGCATTGCCCCTGTGATGGTCACATGGTGGCATTGCCCTGTGCTGGTCACGTGGTGGCATTGCCCCTGTGATGGTCACGTAGTGGCATTGCCCCTGTGATGGTCACATGGTGGCATTGCCCTGTGCTGGTCACGTGGTGGCATTGCCCCTGTGATGGTCACGTGGTGGCATTGCCCTGTGATGGTCGCCTTGTGGCATTGCCCCTGTGATGGTCACGTGGTAGCATTGCCCTGTGATGGTCACGTGGTGGCATTGCCCTCTGCTCTGACGCTGTGAGACCGGGCTCTAGTCTAGAGAAGCTGTTTCTGGTGTGGACCAATCAGCGTCAAAGGCAACGCATCGTCACCACCGACGTCATAGACGACCAGGGCGTGGCTGATGCAGTGAGAGGATTCCTCGCGAACGGGTTTCTGTTTGGTGTTTGAACATCCTGACACCTCCCGTGTTATTGCCCCGTTCTTACGTGGCGACCTGATGACGTCCGTTCTCACGCTGGGCACGGCGCTCCATCTCCACGGCGCCCGCCCGGACTGCCGATTTGCGTTCCGGCGAGGATCCAGGCGGTGGCGGGCGCGTGCGAGCCGCGGGGTTGACGATGGCCGAGGCGGTCACCACGTGGCAGGCGGCCTGCCACGTGGCCGCGGGGGGGGGGGGGGACACGAGATTCCACAGCTGTCAAGCCACACGGCTCACCACACATTATTGTACGGGGACGGGCTACACAATGTCTTTAGTCTCTTTGTTTGTGTTTCTCCCTTGTGATGGGACTTTGTGGCATGGACGTTGAGATGTATAAGGGAGAGGCACGGGGTGACCAATGAGGTCCGAGTTGGTCCGTGACGAGGTGGGGCACTGATCAGGGGTTGACGGCTGTGAGATTCGAGGCGTTGTGGCTCCTTCCCCACGAGTGGGTGGGTGGTGGGTAGGTGAGTGAGTGGGTGGGTGGGAAGGTGAGTGAGCGGGTGGGAGGGTGAGTGAGTGAGTGAGTGGGAGGGTGAGTGAGTGGATGGGTGGGTAGATGAGTGAGTGGGTGGGTGGTGGGTGGGTAGGTGAATGGGTGGGAGGGTGAGTGAGTGGATGGGTGGGAGAGTGAGTGAGTAGATCGGTGGGTGGGAGGGTGAGTGAGCGGGTGGGAGGGTGAGTGAGCGGGTGAGCGGAGCCGGAGTATTTGCCGTCAAACTCGCCCACGGTGAGCGAGCGAGCGACACGAATCCGCCGCTTCGAATCTCCTCGAGTCGCTCTCGAGCAGCAGGGAATGTTGACTCGTTCGGCCGAGTCATTGACAGGCGATACAATCATAATAATAACCACCACTACTACTACGACTGATGATGACTCCGGTTTCACTGCATTGGGTGACATTGCGAGGGTGGGATATGCGACGTTGTCCTGTAACTGTGGTGTCAAAGCCGAGCACTTTGTGAACGAAATCGATCACTTGTGGTGCTCCATCTCCACTCGTGGCGTGTCGTGCCCCCTCCCTCTCCACCCTGTTGCGGAGACGTCGAGAGAGAGAGGCGTCTGCAGGCGTGTACATGAATGTGGTGCATCAAATACATTGCAGTTATGGCGAAATCGTGTGTGTCTCTGCTGGGTGTGTGTCACTTTTGGGTGTATGTGTCTCACACATCCCTAACACACACACACACATCCCTAACACACACACACACCCCTAACACATACATACATCCCTAACACACACACAAATCCCTAACACACATACACGCATCCCTAACACGCATCCCTAACACACACATCCCTAACACACACACACACCCCTAACACACGCACCCCTAACACACACACATCCCTAACACACACACGCACACACCCCAAACACACACACACACATCGTGTCGTCCGATCCTTTATTTGACCACGGGATGAAGCGAACCCCATCAAGACGCAGGGACGACATTCGCCCGCTCAGTCTTCCCCGGAACGCTGCCTGAGCGGCTGGCGTAAGGCACTACCACTAGGATACAACGCACAGCCGATCCGTAGCGGTCGCCGCAGCGACAGCGAAGACGCCCACTCCGGCAGGGTTCACGGCGCGAGAGGCCCGTCGGAGTCCCCGGGTCCCGGGTCCCCTACGAGTTCCACTCGAGCACCCCGTGGCACACGAGGAGGTAGGCCGTGGCCACCGTGGTGGACAGCAGCATCATGGGGAATCCCAGCCTGGACAAAGACAAAGATCCCCCGTGTAGCCTTAGCAGACTGTAGCGGCAAGTGCTGTCAGCGAGCAGCACCGATGATGGCCGGATCGGCGCACGAGGGGGTGGGTGGCCAGAACCGCGCCCGGACGCCTTTGTCTTCCCGGTGGCGATGTTTACTACACACCAGGTAATCGTTTGAGGATAAGTCGACCTAGGGGAGGCCCAGGACCGGTTCAGATAAACGCGTTGCACTCCAAATACGACGACCCGAATTCGATCCCCAACATCGGTGACGATGATCTGAAGCGTTCCGGACTTCACCGAGGTCACCTCAGCCTCAAACTAGTAGCCCGGCACGGTGTTTAGTAAACATCGCCACTGGGGAGACAAAGGCGGCCAGGCGTGGTGCTGGCCGCCCACCCCCTCGTGTGGCGGCGCCAGCCTTCACAGGTGCTGCTCGCTAACAGCGCTTGCGTCAAAGGTGGCTATACGGGGCGCCTTTGTCTTTGTGCGTGTGTAGCGGCGCCTCTCACTTGAAGAACTGCATGAATGAGAAGCCGTATCCGTGCTGCTCCGCGATGCCAGCGCATACCACGTTGGACGACGCTCCGATCAGCGTTCCGTTCCCTGCGCACACGATCATCGACATCGTCAACATCAACAACATCGTCATCATCAACATCGTCATCATCATGAATGTTCATTCCATACGCCCATCATCATCGTCAACATCATCATCATCAGTTCCATTCCCTACGCACACAACCAACATCATCATCATTACCATCGTCACCAACATCATCAACATCATCATTATCGACAGGGATCCATCACCATCACCACCGACATCATCATCACTCAGTGCTTCATTTCCAACAACATCAACAACATCAACATCATCATAATCATCATCACTCTCTGTCATCACCATCACCACCACCATCGCCACCCGGCTACCTCTCGCGCTGCTGATTGTGCGGAATTACAGACGCGGTGGATCAGTGGGTATTGAATCAACGGGTGTAAGTCACTGGGTATGGTGATGGATCAGTGGACATCTCCTCCATCACCTCCCAGGCAGGCTCCGAATGCCAGCGAGTAGATCAGCGGCTTGATAGGGAGGTTCACATCCGGGTCCTGGCTCAGGTTTAGCAACACCGGAATCTGTGACACGCACACACAGAGGCAAAGATCCCCCGTGTAGCCCACACAGGCTGTTGGGGCAAGTGTGCACTGTGGCACACGATCACCCCGCACAGAAATCCCCTCTCATCAAGACGCTCATACATCGGGCTAAGAAAGTGTCAGGTGGTGATGGTGTGAGAAGTAAAGAAGAAGCGCTGCAATTGAACGGTGACAATGATGCACAAATCAAAAGGGCCCTGAATGACAAAACCGAATAAAATAACACGCGAGTTGAGACTGACCAAGTAATTTAAACTATTAAAGTACCGTTCATTGCGGGAGTAACTGATAAACTAGTCAGATTTTGGGAAAAACAAAACATCCGAGTCAGATTTGGCACGGTGCATAAAACACAGAAATGCACATCTGGCACAAGAGATGTGTTACCGCAGCTATGAACACGAGGTGTGTACCGGGTGAAGTGCTCTTGCGGCAAACGCGACGCTGGGCAGACAGGACGATCAGCACGAGACGAAGAGGACACCAAAGGAATATGGAACACTGCCAGATACAACTGTCGGCAGTAGCAGGACACGCGTGCCAGCAAGGACACTCAATTTTGATAATGTTGAATTTCTGTGCAAAACGAGCTACTACTGGCCAAGACTAAGTAGATAATCTATCGCAATTGAGAGAAATAAAACTGAATTTAACCGGTCGGATAGCTACAGGATTAGCGCTGCTTGCAAGCGAATCATCAAACAATGCGATGTTCAAACGCATTCCTCTACAGGTCCCCACGCGTCAACAGCGATTACCTGCACGCCGCAGCCAACAACAGGTCCTGCTACTGTAGTGCACACAATCGACAGCAGGTGCAAGATCAACGCGCGTGTGTAATGTACGCCGCTTACCATAATCAATAACCCAATCGATGCCCATTGTCATTTAGATGCATTCACTAACCCCCCCTCCCCCTTCGCACGTGAAGGGCTCGCAAGCGACGTCAAGGAACGACTCGGGAGGATTTAGCCACAAATCTGGCTGTCGACTGATGATGCTGGTTGTAATTGGTAGTTGTGGTGGTAGTGGTGGTAGTTGTGGTGGTGGTAGTTGTGGTGGTTGTGGTTGTTGTGTGTGAGAGGCACCATGGTGGCCGTGAAGGGGATGTTGTGATTGTGGTGGTGATAGTTGTGGTGGTTGTGGTGGTTGTTGTTGTTGTTGTGGTTGTTGTTGTTGTGTGTCACCATGGTGGCCGTGAAGGGGATGTTGTGGTAGTTGTGGTTGTGGTGGTGGTAGTTGTGGTTGTGGTGGTTGTTGTTGTGGTGGTAGTTGTGGTGGTGGTTGTTGTTGTTGTTGTGTGTCACCATGGTGGCCGTGAAGGGGATGTTGTCGATGAGGGACGAGGCGAGGGCGGCCACCCACAGGATGACGACACACGCCACCACCAGGCGGCTCTCCGCCGGCACGGCCTGCGGGGATACGTCAACAACAACATCAACAACATCAACAACACAACCACAGCCACAACAACAACAACACAACCACAGCCACCACCACAACAACATCAACACAACCACAGCCACCACAACAACAACGTCGTCGTCACACTACTCGTGTTGTCCCCTTTCCCCCTGTGTCTCCCCGTGTCTCCCTGTGTCTCCCTGTGTCTCCCTGTGTCTCCCAGTGTCTCCCCGTGTCTCCCAGTGTCTCCCCGTGTCTCCCCGTGTCTCCCAGTGTCTCCCCGTGTCTCCCCGTGTCTCCCAGTGTCTCCCCGTGTCTCCCAGTGTCTCCCAGTGTCTCTCTGTGTCTTCCAGTGTCTCTGTGTCTCCCCGTGTTTCCCAGTGTCTCCCAGGGTCTCCCTGTGTCTCTGTGCCTCCCAGTGTCTCTCTGTGTCTCCCTGTGTCTCCCAGTGTCTCCCAGTGTCTCTCAGTGTCCCCCCGCGTCTCCCCCCCCCCCGAGGAGTCCCCCAGCGTGCCGTGTCTGTGCGTGCGGGCCACGTGTCCACCTTGATGAGACTCGACGTCTGCCGTCCAATGTAGTCGATGAGCCGCAGGTGAGCCAACGCCTGCGAGCGCGACAACGAAAACAAACACAGCTGACGCGTAGTGACAATAGAAACAGAGACACAGCTGACGAGTGGTGACAATAGAAACAGAGACACAGCTGACGAGTGGTGACAATAGAAACAGAGACACAGCTGACGTGTGGTGACAATAGAAACAGAGACACAGCTGACGCGTGGTGACAATATAAACAGAGACACAGCTGACGCGTGGTGACAATAGAAACAGAGACACAGCTGACGAGTGGTGACAATAGAAACAGAGACACAGCTGAAGTGTGGTGACAATAGAAACAGAGACACAGCTGACGCGTGGTGACAATAGAAACAGAGACACAGCTGACGTGTGGTGACAATAAAAACAGAGACACAGCTGACGTGTGGTGACAATAGAAACAGAGACACAGCTGACGCGTGGTGACAATAGAAACAGAGACACAGCTGACGTGTGGTGACAATAGAAACAGAGACACAGCTGACGCGTGGTGACAATAGAAACAGAGACACAGCTGGCGCGTGGTGACAATAGAAACAATGACACAGCTGACGCGTGGTGACAATAGAAACAGAGACACAGCTGACGCGTGGTGACAATAGAAACAATGACACAGCTGACGCGTGGTGACAATAGAAACAGAGACACAGCTGACGAGTGATGACAATAGAAACAGAGACACAGCTGGCGCGTGGTGACAATAGAAACAATGACACAGCTGACGCGTGGTGACAATAGAAACAGAGACACAGCTGGCGCGTGGTGACAATAGAAACAGAGACACAGCTGACGCGTGGTGACAATAGAAACAGAGACACAGCTGACGAGTGGTGACAATAGAAACAGAGACACAGCTGACGAGTGGTGACAATAGAAACAGAGACACAGCTGACGAGTGGTGACAATAGAAACAGAGACACAGCTGACGTGTGGTGACAATAGAAACAGAGACACAACTGACGAGTGGTGACAATAGAAACAATGACACAGCTGACGCGTGGTGACAATAGAAACAGAGACACAGCTGACGCGTGGTGACAATAGAAACAGAGACACAGCTGACGCGTGGTGACAATAGAAACAATGACACAGCTGACGCGTGGTGACAATAGAAACAGAGACACAGCTGACGCGTGGTGACAATAGAAACAGACACAGCTGACGCGTGGTGACAATATAAACAGAGAAACAGCTGACGAGTGGTGACAATAGAAACAGAGACACAGCTGACGAGTGGTGACAATAGAAACAGAGACACAGATGACGAGTGGTGACAATAGAAACAGAGACACAGCTGACGAGTGGTGACAATAGAAACAGAGACACAGCTGACGTGTGGTGACAATAGAAACAGAGACACAGCTGACGTGTGGTGACAATAGAAACAGAGACACAGCTGACGAGTGGTGACAATAGAAACAGAGACACAGCTGACGCATGGTGACAATAGAAACAGAGACACAGCTGACGTGTGGTGACAATAGAAACAGACACAGCTGACGTGTGGTGACAATAGAAACAGAGACACAGCTGACGTGTGGTGACAATAGAAACAGAGACACAGCTGACGCATGGTGACAATAGAAACAGAGACACAGCTGATGCGTGGTGACAATAGAAACAGAGACACAGCTGACGTGTGGTGACAATAGAAACAGAGACACAGCTGACGTGTGGTGACAATAGAAACAGAGACACAGCTGACGCGTGGTGAGCCCGGGCAGCGCCTCGATGGGATCGGGAGGTCACGAGGTCACGAGGTCGTGAGGTCGTTAGGTCGTTAGGTGAGGTCACAAGGTCACGAGGTCACAAAGTCGTGAGGTCGCGAGGTCGTGAGGTCGTGAGATCACGGGTTCATAGGGTCGCGAGGTCGCGGAGTTACGAGGTCATGTAGTCACGAGGTCGTGAGGTCAAGAGGTCATGGGGTCGCGAAGTCGTGAGGTCACGAGGTCGCGAGGTCACGAGGTCGGAGAGGCAATGGAAATGGATCATGGCGATGACGACGATCACAATAATCGTGGTCATGACATTGATGATGATTTTGATGATAATTATGACGTCATTGATGACAATGATGATGACAAAAATGATTGATGATGATGAACATCGACCGCGATACAAAAAATTTAAAACAACGATGATGATGGCGAGAATGATCTTTGTTGTATCTTTGTGTGTGTGTCTGTGTGTGATTCGGTGTGTGTGTGTACCTGTGTGTGTGTGTCTGTGTGTGATTCGGTGTGTGTGTGTACCTGTGTGTGTGTGTTTGTGTGTGTCTGTGTGTGATTCGGTGTGTGTGTGTGTGTACCTGTGTGTGTGTGTCTGTGTGTGATTCGGTGTGTGTGTACCTGTGTGTGTGTCTGTGTGTCTGTGTGGGTAGCGGTAGTGTAGCGGTCAGCGCGCTACGCTACGAACCTGGCGACCCGAGTTCTATTCCCGCTCGTGGCTAACACCGGTGACGATCATCTGAACTGGTCCTGGGCCTCGCCTAGATCGACTCAGCCTCAAATAAATACCTGGTGCGGTGTGTAAACATCGTCACCGGGGAGACAAAGGCCCAGTAGCGGCTACGCCGGGTGGGGGGGGGGGTGATCGTTGTCTCTGTCTGGAGTCGGCACCTCCATGAGGATGAAGAGCGCGGAGAAGAAGAGCAGCGTGGCCCACTCGACGCGGTGCAGGATGACGTCAAAGTCCTGCACGTCGGCCAGCACCAGGAGCCACATGGCACCCAGCATGGCGATCCAGCCTGCACACGGCCATCAGCATCATCAGCATCGTCAACATCATCGTCAGCATCAACATCGTCAGCATCATCAGCATCAACATCATCAGCATCGTCAACATCGTCAGCATCATCAGCATCAACATCAGCATCAACATTAGCATCAGCATCAACATCGTCAGCATCATCAGCATCATCAACATCATCAACATCATCATCATCATCAACATCATCAGCATCGTCAACATCATCAGCATCATCAACATCATCAACATCAGCATCGTCAGCATCGTCAACATCATCAGCTTCATCACCAGCATCATCAGCAAATGCATCATCAGCAAATGCATCATCAGCATCAACATCATCAGCATCATCAACATCATCAGCTTCATCGCCAGCATCATCACCAGCATCATCAACATCATTATCAGCATCATCAACATCAGCATCAACATCATCAGCATCGTCAGTATCATCAGCATCAACATCATCAGCAAATGCATCATCACCAGCATCATCAACATCAGCATCAACATCATCAACATCGTCAACGTCGTCAACATCATCAACCTCATCAGCACCATCAGCATCATCAACATCATCAGCATCAACATCATCAACATCATCAACATCATCAACATCATCAGCACCATCAGATCATCAACATCATCAGCATCATCAACATCATCAGCATCAACATCATCAGCTTCATCACCAGCATCATCAGCAAATGCATCATCACCAGCATCATCAGCATCATCAGCGTCACACAATACGTCAGCCAGCACCAGCAGTGACATGGCATCAAGCCTTAGTCTGGCTCTCTGAGCCTCAGCGATGAACACCGGGATAGCCGTGACCTCACGAGGTCACCGTGACGTCACCGAGGTCGCGGTGACCTTACCGAGGTCGAGGTGTATGCCGGGGACGAGGGAGCTGACGAAGAAGGTGGCGAGCACGGCACTCGTGACGGCGACGCACTTGCAGAGCAGCGCCGTGTCCGTGATGTGGTGCTGCCAACGCAAAGACAAAGGTCACCCGTGTAGCCTCGACAGACGGTCGGGGCAAGTGTTACGGAGGCCTGCACGGCGCACGGATGGGGCGGGTGGCCAGCACCGCGCCCGGCCGCCTTTGTCTCCCCATTGTTGGTGTTTCCACACCGCACAGGAGACACTTTGTGTGTGACAACAACTGACGGTGACTTCACTGCGGCTCCCGTGCCAGGCCAGGTGCACCCTGAGGCCATCACGTGAAGTGTCGAAGGCTCGCTGGCAAGGAGGTCACGGGACAGACCCAGCAGGTGCCATGGGTTGACCGACTGAGATGACCGACAGACGCACCGCCCATGCCCTCTGCTGTACCAAGTCTCAGCGTTTTCGCAACCCGGCGCTCCGGTCATTGTTTTGTCTCGAGACAGAGAGAGAGAGCGCTCTCTGTGTCTCTGTGTCTCTGAGTCTCTGTGTCTCTGTGTCTCTAGACAATGACAAAGAGAGTGGTCTCTGTGTCCCTGTGTCTCTGTGTCTCTAGACAATGACAGAGGGAGTGGTCTCTGTGTCTCTGTGTCTCTGTGTCTCTGAGTCTCTGTGTCTCTAGACAATGACAGAGAGAGTGGTCTCTGTGTCTCTGAGTCTCTGTGTCTCTGTGTCTCTAGACAATGACAGAGAGAGTGGTCTCTGTGTCTCTGTGTCTCTGAGTCTCTGTGTCTCTAGACAATGACAGAGAGAGTGGTCTCTGTGTCTCTGTGTCTCTGAGTCTCTGTGTCTCTAGACAATGACAGACAGAGCGGTCTCTGTGTCTCTAGACAATGACAGAGAGAGTGGTCTCTGTGTCTCTGAGTCTCTGTGTCTCTAGACAATGACAGACAGAGTGGTCTCTGTGTCTCTGTGTCTCTAGAGTCTAGACAATGACAGACAGACAGTCTAGAGATCCTATTGTGCCGAGTGTCCAATCCCTCTTGTGCCATCGGTCTGTGTCCCTATGGAGCCTTGACCCACGGAATAAAAAAAAGACAGAAATTTGGGAGGGGGGAGCCAAAAAATACCCCGCGGGACCCGCCCACCTCCCCCTCCTTCTCCCCCCTCCTCCTCCTCCCCTCCAGAGGAGGCCCCCTTAGACTCGTCACCTTCTTCTGCAGCTCCTGGATGTTCTCCTCCCAGTTCTCGTCTTCCTCCGAGATTTGCCTGCGGCACCGCCGCCACCGCCACCACGATGGGGATATGGGGGGAGGGGGGGATGGGGGGGTGGGGGGATGGGGGGGTGTAAATGAACGTTATTCAGATAAATTTTGCAGCAGTCGTCCACCGCCAAGGGCCGATGGGCAAGGCGCAGGTTGAGAGCGATCGCCTGGAAGGCGACTTTGTGTGTTGTACCAGGCCAGGCCCAACGAGCTGCTGGATAGAGCTTAGCTAACCACGTGGTCAGAGAAGACTTTACATGGTGCGGGGGCCAGGGGACATCACTGCCGCACCCCAAGGTGGACAGGGCACGACTAATATCTCTCTAACACACTCCACTCTTTACTCTGCCAAGGTGGACAGGGCACCACTAAAATCTCTCTAACACACTCCACTCTTTACTCTGCCACGGTGGACAGGGCACCACTAAAATCTCTCTAACACACTCCACTCTTTACTCTGCCAAGGTGGACAGGGCACCACTAAAATCTCTCTAACACACTCCACTCTTTACTCTGCCAAGGTGGACAGGGCACCACTAACATCTCTCTAACACACTCCACTCTTTACTCTGCCAAGGTGGACAGGGCACCACTAAAGTCTCTCTAACACACTCCACTCTTTACTCTGCCAAGGTGGACAGGGCACCACTAACATCTCTCTAACACACTCCACTCTTTACTCTGCCAAGGTGGACAGGGCACCACTAAAATCTCTCTAACACACTCCACTCTTTACTCTGCCAAGGTGGACAGGGCACGACTAAAATCTCTCTAACACACTCCACTCTTTACTCTGCCAAGGTGGACAGGGCACCACTAACATCTCTCTAACACACTCCACTCTTTACTCTGCCAAGGTGGACAGGGCACCACTAAAATCTCTCTAACACACTCCACTCTTTACTCTGCCAAGATGGACAGGGCACGACTAATATCTCTCTAACACACTCTACTCTTTACTCTGCCAAGAAGAGCTGCGATGGAGCTCTATGTTCAGAGGCGACCCGGCCCGTCACAAGTGAAAGTCCAACCAAGGGGGTGATCATCATCGTGATCATCATCATCGTGATCATCATCATCATCGTGATCATCATCGTGATCATCATCGTGATCATCATCATCGTGATTATCGTCGTCATCATCATCGTGGAGAGGGTTGTGGTGGTTGGGGTGGGGGGGGTGGTGGGGTGGTGGGGGTGGTCGTGGTGGTGGTGGGGTGTGAGAGCCGCGTGCCCCCCCTCCCGTCACCTGCGGAAGGTGTTCATCTTCTTGCGCAGGAGCTCCTCCAGGCTGAGCACCTTGTGCATGAGCAGGCACTTGACGGTCGTCTCCTCGCGGCTCGCCGGAGTGATCCTCTGCGCCGCCAGCTTCCACACGAGCACCTCGTGCTGCAGCTCTGCTCGGACACCCACGACGACAACAACAACAACAACTCGGTGAGCAGCGCTCACCCACCCACGGCGCTCACCCACCCACGGCGCTCACCCACCCACGGCGCTCACCCACCCACGGCGCTCACCCACCCACAGGCGCCCACCCACCCACAGGCGCCCACCCACCCACGGCGCTCACCCACCCACGGCGCTCACCCACCCACGGCGCTCACCCACCCACAGGCGCTCACCCACCCACAGGCGCTCACCCACCCACAGGCGCCCACCCATCCACGGCGCTCACCCACCCACGGCGCTCACCCACCCACAGGCGCCCACCCATCAACGGCGCTCACCCACCCACAGGCGCTCACCCACCCACAGGCGCCCACCCACCCACGGCGCTCACCCACCAATGCGCTCACCCACCAACAGGCGCTCACCCACCCACAGGCGCTCACCCCACCCACAGGCGCCCACCCACCCACAGGCGCTCACCCACCCACAGGCGCTCACCCACCCACGGCGCTCACCCACCCAACCGCGGCGCTCACCCACCCATGATGTCCGCCGGCTCGCGGTTGTAGAGTTTGGTGCCGCAGAAGAGCAGCCGCAGGAAGGGGAAGGAGACGGCGCTCACCAGGACGATCCCGGGCAGCATGTGCAGCGTGAACGACGCGAACTCGATGCCCTGTGCCACGCGCAGCACAAGCTCGCTCACCCGCTCTCACGCTCGCTCACTCATCCGCTCACCCGCTCATCCGCTCTCACGCTCCCATGCTCGATCGCCCGCTCGCTCGCCCATTCACCCGTTCACCCGCTCAATCACCCGCTAACCCGCTCGCTCGCCCGCCCACTCACCCGCTCGCCCGCTCGCTCACCCGCTTACCTGCACCCAAGCAAAATCTCCTCGAACTGCGTGGTCAAAGAAGATACTAAATGGTGTGCAGGTAAAGACCGCTGAGCTGTGGAGCTCTTTTCAGAAGCGACTTGGCCACAAATGATAGCTCAACGAAGTGGCTTATAGCATCATCATTATCGTCACGTGGAAATTTATAGCAGCAGACAAACAACTGTAAAAGACATGAGGACCCGGAGACAAATCCACGCGACCACGAGGAGATTGGCACACACATTCTAAATATACAGCAGCAGGCATTGTCAGGGTCGGGATCGAACCCACGACCTCCTGTACACCAGGCGAGGTAGTTAACATCTCCTGGCTACCGTGATGACGATGAGAGAGATAGATGCAAACTCCAAATATACAGCAGGCATCGTCAGGGTCGGGATCGAACCCACAACCTCCCGCATACCAGGCGAGGTAGTTAACATCCCCTGGCTACCGTGATGATGATGAGAGAGAGACACGTTAACTCCAAATATACAGCAGGCATTGCCAGGGTCGTGGTCGAACCCACGACCTCCTGTAGACCAGGCGAGGTAGTTAACATCTCACCACGGGAAGAGAGGGACACGCAAACTCCAAATATACAGCAGGCATCGTCAGGGTCGGGGTCGAACCCACGACCTCCTGTAGACCAGGCAAGGTAGTCAACATCTCCTGGCCACCGCGATGACGACGATGAGAGAGGGCGCGCTCACCAGGGCCTGCAGCCGCGGGTTGGAGACGATGATGACGTTGGGGGGGTCCCCCACGGCCGTGGCGGCGCCGCCGATGTTGGTGAAGAGAACTTCGGCGATGAGGACGTAGCGGGGGTCCAGGTTCACCACCTCGCACAGCCTGCGTGTGGGTGGGTGGGTGAGTGGGTGAGTGGGTGAGTGGGTGGGTGGGTGAGTGGGTGGGTGAGTGGGTAGGTGAGTGGGTAGGTGGGTGAGTGGGCGGGTGAGTGGGTGGGTGGGTGAGTGGGTGGGTGAGTGGGTGGGTGGGTGAGTGTGTGGGTGAGTGAGTGAGTGGGTAGGTGGGTGAGTGGGTGGGTGGGTAAGTGGGTGAGTGGGTAGGTGGGTGAGTGTGTGGGTGGGTAGGTGGGTGAGTAAGTGGGTGGGTGAGTGGTTGGGTGGGTGAGTGGGTGGTTGAGTGGGTGGGTTAATGAGTAGGTGAGTGAGTGAGTGAGTGGGGGGGACGAGGTGGTAGGGGCCTGGTGCGTGTCACCGGATCGTGACCGGCGTGAAGAGAAGCATCGTGGTGACGTTGTCCAGGAAGGCCGACAAGATGGCGGCCAAGAAGCAGAGGACGAACATCATGGGCCACACGCGGCCCCTGGACACCTTGTAGGCCTGAGGCCCGAGACAGGAGGAGGCGGTGGAGGGCGACCGTTACCCCGGGGTCCTCGGAGGAATCGCAAGGCGCTCTCCGGAGGGCGCCACTGTGGCCAGGAGATGTTGACTACCTCGCCTGGTGTGCAGGAGGCCGTGGTTCGATCCCGACCCTGACAATGCCTGCCTCATATTTGGAGTTTGCGTCTATCTCTCTCATCATCACGGTAGCCAGGAGATGTTAACTACCTCGCCTGGTGTACAGGAGGCCGTAGGTTCGATCTCGACCCTGACAATGCCTGCTGCTGTATATTTCGAATTTGTGTGCCTATCTCCTCGTGGTCACATGGATTTGTCTCCGGGTCCTCCTGCCTATTACAGTTGTTTGTCTGCTGCGATAGATTTCCACGTGTTGGCGATGAGGCCACTTGGCTGAGCTGTCATGTGCGATGGCCACGGTCGCTTCCGATAAACGAGCTACGTGGTGACTCAGTGGCGGCCTTGCACCTGGCAAAATACAGAAGGCAAATCGCAGGACGGCACCAACCCCACAACGTCGACGAGTCGCTCGGGAAGAGATGAAATGGCACGAAAGCAATTAGTGCGGCGGGTGAGACGTCACGGCAGAGGGGTGAAGGGAGAGTTCGATATCTTAGGTAGAGAGGGAACGCTGTGAGGAACAAAAAGCGTCTTGCAAATTGAGAGAATCCGGGATTGGTGTGGAGAGCCATCTTCCACAAGATCGTTATGAACGCGCTGCCGCTTTATCACGGGACAGATGTCTTCAGGAAGATGGCCACGTGTTGCTCTGGGGGTACATCTCCTGGAAGTTGGTTCTAACTGGCTGCTGGAGTCTTATAATCCTCTGGCTGGCCACGTGTTGCTCTGCAGAACCATCTTCTGGTGGTTTAACTCGGGGGGGGGCGGGGGGGGGGGGGCAGAGGGGCATGGCCACATGCCGGATTACACTATTAAATTATAATATGATCGTTATAATATTAAAATGCGCCCCCAAAGTGGTCATGTAAGGTAGAGGGAGAGCGGCCACGTGATATCCCCACACCAGCGGCCGCGCGTACGAAAGCGCTGCGCTCCCCTGCTCACCATGACGGCGCACCAGTCGAAAAATCCCGTCTCGGAAAACACCGCAACGAGGATCATCTGTCGGGCGAGACGCGCGGACGGTCACTCGCGAACACGCCGCGGACGCGCCGTTGAGATGCGGACGCAACGGTGGTGTAGGAGGGATGGAGGGGACTCATTCAGAATGTTTATTTTATACTGGAGGAGGAATCCGATGAGCTATGAAGCTATTTCTTCACAAATGTCCAGTAAGGGGCACGGGGTCAGAACTCTACAACAGCAAACACAATTACACAAACACGACAGCAGTACAAAGTATAGGGAAGGTCAACAAATCAACTAAAATATCTACAAACATTTAACTAAACAATTTTTTATCTTACCAGGTAAAGCTCATTGAACTATCGGCTTCTTTTTTCAGAAGCGACCTGGCCGCATGAGAGCTCAGCAAAGCGGCAATCGTAGCAAAACAATCGACGGCGCATCGTTCAGTGCTGTGCTACAAACCCGGCGACACGAGTTCGATTCCCGCTCACGGCCAACACCGGTGACGATTATCTGAACCGGTCTTGGGCCTCCCCTAGGTCAGCTCAGCCTCAAATGAGTACCTGGTGCGGTGTGTAGTAAACATCGCCCTTCGTGTGCCGTGCCGGCCTTCGTAGGTGCCACTCGTGAACAGCACTTGCCCCAACGGCTTGTTAAGGCTAAACGGGGGATCTTTGTCTTTGTCTGCACGTGCGTCTATCTGCCACCCTTACCATGCCAAAGAGCAGTGCCAAGGTCCCGTAATCGATCCATGCCACCACAGTGGTGAGGGCTGGCCTCTGTGAACAGAAATACAATCGATAATGATGACAGCGTTCACGAGGCTGGTGCATTATCAGAGGATGGGATCACAGTTCCCGATCTTGAGCATGTGAGTTCAAATCCAGGTCTCAGGTTATCATCATCATCAAAACGAAATCACAGGTCCTGGGCCTCCCTTAGGTCGACTCAGCCTCAAATGAGTGTCCAATCCCCCTATTCCATTGGAATGCTCGTAACGAAATCGCCGATTTGGCTCGCGCGAACGCTTACACACCGCACGGCGGCAGGCCCAAGTCTCCACGTGGTTACGTTTGGCAGCCCCAGCTAACCGCTCGCTTTCTTGCTCCACTGCTGGCTGAAGGAGCCTCCGCTGGTGGGGGGAAGGGGGTGCACCCTAGAGAGGAAGCCCTTGAGAGGACGGTACCCACAGTGGCGTAGGTCTTTTTTTTGGGGGTTATATCGTCGCGTAAATAGAAATGTGTCGTTTAAACATGGCCGCCACCAACCCCACCACGTCCAATCGGTGAGGTTTGTGTCGCGTAAACAAAACGTGCCGGTTAGTGGCGAGTTCGGCACGCACACCGGTTGTGTGTCGGGAGAGTAAACACCACGACGTTTACAATTCCAGTATCCGTGACGTTTCGCCGGTAATTAGAACAACAACAACAGCCAGCCTCATCAGGCGGCAGCCAGAGTTGATGTCGTCACTTGTGAGCCAATCAGGTGTGGGGACCGAGGGGAGGGGGCGGGGCTTAATGTATTCATGCAAATCGATTGCCTCACGTACGTATCACTAAAAGTTCGTGAGTCAAATGTTCGTAAGTACAGGAGTCCCTAAAATTTTCCCATAGATCAAAGTTGGCGTAACTGTTATTAGTAATATTATTGGCTCTTACCGGCATCCCGATTAAATTTTATCGATACCTATGAGCGTAGTCACGTGTGCGCGCACTCACACACGCACTCACACACTCACGCACTTACACACGCACTCACACACGCACGCACTCACTCACACACACGCACAGGCCGCTTACGTACGTTGCCGATAGCCGCCAAGACCGCCAGCGCCGCCAGGGAGCCCAGCATCGCGGCCAGTGCCCTATGCACGACCTACAGCGGACCGACAGCGCGTCCACAAGCCATCGCGTCATGGACGTCACAAAGACAAAGATCCCCCATGTAGCATTAATAGACTGTTGGGCGGCGATACCTCGAAGACGATGAAGGCGTAGACCGCGGTGAGGATGAGGGCGGCCGCCGTGGCCTGCAGCTCGGCGGACGCGTACTGGTAGCGGTGCGACGCGGCCAGCGGCACGACGCGGCCCCGCGACACGAAGGCTCGCACCCGCACGCTCACCTCGTCGCTGCGGGCACAACGGCGACGGGAGGAGGAGGAGGGGGGGGGGATGATGATGACGGCGAACGCGAATCGTCCGTCGGCTGTCGCGTGTGCAGACGCGTGACGACGCGGCGCGTGCGGGGCGGGGAGCGGCGGCCCGCTGACCTCGAGATGGTGTCGATGTCGCGCGTCATCAGCGTCTGCTCCATGTTCCTCGACTCCAGCGGGATGGTCCAGTTGAAGAGCATCTGCGGCGCGGCGCGGCACCACGCGGGGAGCGCGGAGAAGGGAACAAACTCCAAATATACAACAACAGGCGCGCTCGGGGTCGGGATCAAACCCACGACCTCCCGCGTACCGGGCGAGGCAGTCAATATCTCCTGGCCACCGCGCGTCGCTCACCCTGCGAGGAGGCCTCCCGCCCGCTCGTCCTCGCTGCTCGACCTCCTGCTGGTGGACCTCCACCAGCAGGAAGTCGCCCGTGGCGGCCCCCCCCACGGGGCCGGCGGGGCCCCCCCCCAGGGAGAAGGGTCCCGTGAGAGTGAGGCGCAGCAGGGCGCTGCTGCGAGCGTCCGTCAGGTTCATGACTGCGGCGGGCGCCGTGAGCCGCGGGGGTCAAGGGGTCACGGGCGGCCGCACTCGAACGCAACGACGAATCATGATTACAGACACGACGGACATCCATAGAGCCCAATCTGTAGTGTAGTGTATAGTAGTGTGTAGTAGTGTAGTGTATAGTAGTGGAGTGTACAGTAGTGTAGTGTATAGTGTAGTGTATAGTAGTGTAGTGTATAGCAGTGTGTAGTGTGTAGTAGTGTATAGTAGTGTAGTGTATGGTAGTGTGTAGTGTATAGTAGTGTAGTGTATAGTAGTGTAGTGTATAGCAGTGTGTAGTAGTGTAGTGTATAGTGTAGTGTATAGCAGTGTGTAGTGTGTAGTAGTGTAGTGTATAGCAGTGTGTAGTGTGTAGTAGTGTAGTGTATAGTGTAGTGTATAGTGTAGTGTATAGCAGTGTGTAGTAGTGTAGTGTATAGTGTAGTGTATAGTGTAGTGTATAGCAGTGTGTAGTAGTGTAGTGTATAGTGTAGTGTATACTGTATAGTGTAGTGTATAGTAGTGTAGTGTATAGTAGTGTAGTGTATAGCAGTGTGTAGTGTGTAGTAGTGTAGTGTATAGTGTAGTGTAGTGTGTAGTGTATAGCAGTGTGTAGTAGTGTAGTGTATAGTGTAGTGTATAGTGTAGTGTATAGTGTAGTGTATAGTGTAGTGTATAGTGTAGTGTATAGTGTAGTGTATAGCAGTGTGTAGTGTATAGTGTAGTGTGTAGTAGTGTAGTGTATAGTGTAGTGTATAGTAGTGTAGTGTATAGCAGTGTGTATAGTGTAGTGTATAGCAGTGTGTAGTGTGTAGTAGTGTAGTGTATAGTAGTGTAGTGTATAGTAGTGTAGTGTATAGTGTAGTGTATAGTGTAGTGTATAGTGTAGTGTATAGTGTAGTGTATAGTGTAGTGTATAGTGTATAGCAGTGTGTAGTGTAGTGTATAGTGTAGTGTGTAGTGTAGTGTATAGTGTAGTGTATAGTGTAGTGTATAGCAGTGTGTAGTGGTGTAGTGTATAGTGTATTGTATAGTGTAGTGTATAGTGTAGTGTATAGTGTAGTGTATAGTGTGTAGTAGTGTAGTGTATAGTGTAGTGTATAGTGTAGTGTGTAGTGTAGTGTGTAGTGTAGTGTATAGTGTAGTGTATAGTGTAGTGTAGTAGTGTAGTGTATAGTGTAGTGTATAGTGTAGTGTGTAGTGTAGTGTATAGTGTAGTGTATAGTGTAGTGTATAGTGTAGTGTAGTGTGTAGTGTTCGCTATCCGATCAAGGGATACGGTGCTCTTGCTCCGCGGACACGGCGAACATCTGCCACGAGAGCTCCCGGTCGGGGTACATGCTGAACACCACCTGCGCGCTCCGCGTAGCACACACAAAGACAAAAGTCACCACCCCACCCCGTATAGCCTCAGCGGGCTGTTGGGGCAAGTGCTGCTATCGCCCGTTCACTATTTGTATTTATTTGACCAGGTAAGGTGCACACTGAGGTGTGTAGATTGTTATTCATATTCTTAGGTTTTTTCGGTAAAGTCACGTAGGTCAAATTTTTTTACAGTTAATAAAAGTTAAATAAAAATAAAAATCACGACGTTTCGGAGGCAACACAAGCTTCCGTCTTCAGGTGGAACAGTCACAGCACGATAGCTGTATCAAGTGAGAGAAATTCCAAGTGTGTAGATTGCTTTGAGAAGCGACCTGGACATCACGAATGATGGCTGTACGAAGTGGCCGTATCGTCGTGTGGAGATGTCGAGCGGCCAAATGGCTCTGAACGCGTAGTGACGTCGATTTCAAATGTGGAGGGAAAATCCGGAGGACTCGGGGAAAACTCCACACGACCACGGGGAGAGAGAGAGACACGCAGACTACAAATATACAGCAGCAGCAGGCGTCGTCAGAGTCCAGATCGAACCCACGGCCTCCTGCATACCAGGTGAGGTAGTTAACATCTCCTAGCCACCGTGATGATGATGAGAGAGAGAGACACGCAAACTCCAAATATACTGCTAATCCTACATAATACACGAGCATAATGTGACTTTGAGACCTCCCCACCACCTACACATTGCACAAGTAGCGACTAATCCCATATCTGCATTTGCCATAAATATGCTAAATTCCTCTGTTGATATGTAAATTCATTTGTCAAGGCTCTCTCCTCCTCCGACCCAGCTTAAATATACGCTGCCAAGCTTAGCGGTGTTCATTCGGACGCTGTCTTTCCGACAGACCTGTTCTTCACCTGAGGACGGCTGCTTGTGTTGTGGCCGAAACGTCGTGAGAATTTTATTTTATTATGTTTTATTTGCATTATTTTATTATTTCCCTTCTACGTGACTCTACCAAAATAAGCAAGAAGATGAATCCCTGCAGTCACGAAAGCTTTAAATCGAAACTGTCATACTTAAAGCAACCCTTAATCTCCATCGGGGCCACCGCTGTAGAGTGGAGACGTCACCCCAAGGGGGTCACCTGCTCTACCTGCCGCTCTAGTGTGGAGACGTCACCCCAAGGGGATCACCTGCTCTACCTACCACTGCAGTGTGGAGACGTCACCCCAAGGGGGTCACCTGCTCTACCCACCGCTCTAGAGTGGAGACGTCACCCCAAGGGGGTCACCTGCTCTACCTGCCGCTCTAGTGTGGAGACGTCACCCCAAGGGGGTCACCTGCTCTACCTGCCGCTCTAGTGTGGAGACGTCACCCCAAGAGAGACACGGTACTAAAGAATGCGCTAGAGCTCTGCACATTGCTCCAGGCTGACTTGAGAACTGGGGGGACACGCAGGACCGTGAGTCCCTGTGGGTGCATAACGGCGACGGAGTCGTTCGGTTGCGTCGCGTGTCCAAGCGGGTTCCTTTTACTTAAGTAAGTCACATAGAGATCACACAAGGCAGACAGTACTCGTGGGGTTCTGCCTATAAGTGTGCATGAAAGTATCATCTGTAAAAGTGTGGCAAAGCGACCGTCCCATCTGCTGTGTTACGTCTCTCCCTAAGGAAACCGCTCGCCCCATGAACCCTCCCCCAAACTCTTCCGAATCGTCGCACACAGCAAATCCACAACGCAGGACAGCCATCGTCACCGATAGCGGATACTCACAGAGCAGATGACCACGAACACGAAGAGGCCGTAAATCTTCAGGTTGCAGAGCACGGATCTGAAAAACGACAGCCACCAGCGCGGCAAGGGAAATCTTAAATGTAACAACACCAACAAATATCGATTGGTGGCCCGGACCGCCCACACCAAAAATTGTGCCACACATTTACACCGCCTTCATTCTTTAGCAAGTTTGTTTTTATCAATGGACATCATGCGACGAATTTAAAGTATTTGATCAATTGAACGGGCGCGGGTGCTTGGCCACACCGCTTTCTCGTTAAGCCATGCGGGCCTGAATAGGTTGATTACTCGCTCACAGCACTTGTCCCAACAACCTGTTAAAGGCTATTCGGGGGGCCTTTGTCCTTGTACGCTCACGGCTAACATCGATGCGCGAATATATGAACCAGTTGCTGGGCGTCTGGTAGGTTAACTCGGCCTCAAATGTGGTACTTAGTGAAGCGTGTAAAACATCAACACTGGGGAGAGACAAAGGCGACCGGGCGCGGGTACTGACTGACCAAACCAACCCCCACACGTCTTACCAGCCTTCACAGGCGCCACGGTGGATAGGAGATGTTAACTACCTCGCCTGGTATGCAGGAGATTGTGGATTCGATCTCGACCCTGACGACGCCTGCTACTGCTGTATATTTGGAGTTTGCGTCTCTCTCTCTCATCATCATCTCGGTAGCTAGGAGATATTAACTACCTTGCCTGGTATGCAGGAGGTCGTGGGTTCGATCTCGACCCTGACAATGCCTGCTGCTGCTGTATATTTGGAGTTTGCGTCTCTCTCCCTGTGGTCGTGTGGATTTCTCTCCGGCCCCTCTGGTTTTGTCCTTCCACATTTAGAATCAGCGTCACGCCCTTAAAGTATTTTGCCGCTCTTGATGTCCACGTGATGATGATGATAATAAGCCACTTACTTCGTCGGGGCTATCATTTGTGGTAGGGAGGTCGCTTGTGAAATAAAACCGCTAAACACATTCTCGGTTCTTTCGGTAAAGTCACGTAAATAGAAAAAATAAAAATTTAAAAGAATTTTTAAAAACCCAGCTATACATCTCAGCGGGCCTTACCTGATAAAATAAAAATAGTTTTAGTCTATATATAATGTACAAATATGTTTTAAAGTTTGCTACTCTTGCTACCTCTTTGCACTTGCCCCCAAGTCTGGGGGACCTTTGACCCCCGCTCACCGCAGGCGCTGCGAGGACGCGAGCCGGGCGTGCAGCCCCTCGGCCTTGTCGGCGGGGCCCAGCGAGGGTGACGAGGAGGAGGAGCAGGAGGAGAACGAGAGGGGTGACGACGACGAGGAGGAGGATGGCGAGAGGGACAGGCCCGCCACCTCGCTGCCCAGCCTGCACCGGCTCTGCACGCCGCTGCCCTCCCGGCTGAAGCTGTCCTCCCAGAAGCCCTGGTCGTCCGGTAGCCCCGGCCGCAGCGGCTGGGGCAGGGCCGGCCACCTAGGGTAGGGCGCCGCGGTGGTGAGATGTTAACTCCCTCGCCTGGTCTACAGGAGGTCGTGGGTTCAATCCCAATCCTGACGCCTGCTGTGCATTTGGAGTTTGTGTGTCTCTCTCCGTGGCGAGCTGTTAACTCCCTCGCCTGGTCTACAGGAGGTCGTGGGTTCAATTCCAACCCTGACACCTGCTGTGCATTTGGAGTTTGCGTGTCTCTCCGTGGTGAGATGTTAACTACCTCGCCTGGTCTACAGGAGGTCGTGGGTTCAATCCCAACCCTGACGCCTGCTGTGCATTTGGAGTTTGCCTGTCTCTCCGTGGTGAGATGTTAACTACCTCGCCTGGTCTACAGGAGGTCGTGGGTTCAATCCCAACCCTGACGCCTGCTGTGCATTTGGAGTTTGCCTGTCTCTCCGTGGTGAGATGTTAACTACCTCGCCTGGTCTACAGGAGGTCGTGGGTTCAATCCCAACCCTGACGCCTGCTGTGCATTTGGAGTTTGCGTGTCTCTCCGTGGTGAGATGTTAACTCCCTCGCCTGGTCTACAGGAGGTCGTGGGTTCGTTCCCGACCTTGACGCCTGCTGTGCATTTGGAGTTTGTGTGCCTCTCTCCATGGCGAGATGTTAACTACCTCGCCTGGTCTACAGGAGGTCGTGGGTTCAATCCCGACCCTAACGCCTGCTGTGCATTTGGAGTTTGTGTGTCTCTCTCCGTGGTGAGATGTTGACTACCTCGCCTGGTCTACAGGAGGTCGTGGGTTCGATCCCGACCCAGACGCCTGCTGTATATTTAGAGTTTGCGTGTCTCTCTCTCCCCGTGGTCACATGGATTTTTCTCCGGGTCCGCCGGTTTTTCACTCCACATTTAGAATCAACGTCGCGCGTTCAGATGATGTGGCTGCCAGAAATATCTGCGTGATCAGCCACTTCGTTAAGCTATCAGTCGTGGCCAGGTTGCATCTGAAAATATAACTCGGTGGGCCTTAGCTGGCCAAATAAAACATAGTTGTATAGTTTAGTTTACAGCAGAGGGGTCGGTAACCTTTCAAAGAAGAATAAGACGGAGGAGGAGAGCCATGTTTGAGTGTTTGTCTTTGACCCTGTCGCCCCAACAGACTGTTCGGGTAAGTGCCATTAGCAAGGAGCACCACAACAACAACAACCATCATCACCACCACCACCACAACAACAACCATCACTACCAGCAGACACACTGAGTGATAGGATAGCACCACCACCACAACAACAGCCATCACCACCACAACAACAACAACCACCACCACCAGCAGACACACGGAGTGATGGGATAGTACCACCACCATCACAACAACCACAACCAAAGCGGTGACGTTACGAGCAAGGCTGCGTGTCACCTGGGCGCTGCGAGCAGCGGCGTGTTCTCCGTCACGTCTCCCATCGCCACCTCTCCCACCACCACGTCGCCAAATCGCCCGCCCTGCTCACACCTGACGGGGCGAGGCGAAGGGGCTGAGATGGCCGCGCTGTTTGCAGCGCAGCGACTCGTCACGGGCTCGAGGCTTGCTCTGTGGGGATAACGCTGCATCGGGGTGGCCGGGAGGGTGCGGTGGTGGTGACCGCCCCGGGCCCCGCGCTTTGGGGGGTGGGTGATGTCGTGACTTGCGAGGCGACCAGCAGTAATGCCTCCACTTTAGTTCGAAGGCATCGGGGGGGAAGGGGGAGGAGGGAGGTTGCCCCGGGCCCCGCAGCCCCCCCCGCCCCCCCCCTGCCGTGACGTGGGAGCTGCTGGACATCACAGAGACGTTTTCATCATAAAGTCTCTGAGTGAGTCTCTGAGTGAGTGAGTTAGTCTCTGAGTGAGTGAGTGAGCCTCTGAGTGAGTCTCTGAGTGAGTCTCTGAGTGAGTGAGCCTCTGAGTGAGTGAGCCTCTGAGTGAGTCTCTGAGTGAGTCTCTGAGTGAGTGAGCCTCTGAGTGAGTCTCTGAGTGAGTGAGTGAGTCTCTGAGTGAGTCTCTGAGTGAGTGAGTCTCTGAGTGAGTGAGTCTCTGAGTGAGTGAGTCTCTGAGTGAGTGAGTGAGTCTGAGCGAGTCTCTGAGTGAGTGAGTCTCTGAGTGAGTGAGCCTCTGAGTGAGTCTCTGAGTGAGTGAGTGAGTCTCTGAGTGAGTCTCTGAGTGAGTGAGTCTCTGAGTGAGTGAGTCTCTGAGTGAGTGAGTCTCTGAGTGAGTGAGTGAGTCTGAGCGAGTCTCTGAGTGAGTGAGTCTCTGAGTGAGTGAGTCTCTGAGTGAGTGAGTCTCTGAGTGAGTGAGTGAGTGACTCTCTGAGTGAGTCTCTGAGTGAGTGAGTGAGTCTCTGAGCGAGTCTCTGAGTGAGTGAGTCTCTGAGTGAGTGAGTCTCTGAGTGAGTGAGTGAGTCTCTGAGTGAGTGAGTGAGTCTCTGAGTGAGTGAGTCTCTGAGTGAGTGAGTCTCTGAGTGAGTGAGTGAGTGACTCTCTGAGTGAGTCTCTGAGTGAGTGAGTTAATCTCTGAGCGAGTCTCTGAGTGAGTGAGTCTCTGAGTGAGTGAGTCTCTGAGTGAGTCTCTGAGTGAGTAAGTCTCTGAGTGAGTCTCTGAGTGAGTGAGTGAGTCTCTGAGCGAGTCTCTGCGTGTCTCCGAGTGAGTACAGTCAACGTGGTCCCCCTCACCTGGCGCTCATCAGGAGCGGCCCTGCGGTGGTGACGAGACGCGGGGCCCTTTCGGGGCTCCTGGCCCAGCGCCTCTCCCGTCGCTTGGGGCTCGTGAGGCCCATCGCCATCGCCACTGCCCCGTGTCCAACCTCGGCCGCGTTGTTATGGCCGCCCGTCTCGCACTGCGGCGACTCCGGGTCCAAGAACATTGTGTCCGGGGGGATCTCCTCGTAGGATCTGTCCGACTGCCTTTGTCGCGTTCCCGCGGGGCTCGACTCTTTACGAAGCCAGGCGTTGGTCAAATTGTCTCTCTCTTTCTTTGTTTGTGGGGGGGGGGGGGAGATAAATTGTAATTTGTCTGCGGTAAATGATGACAATTTTATTTAAATTAACAAAAAAATGTGGTTTTGTTCTTAGCTCAAGTGCGCGCAGTCGAATGTCTTGATGTGTGGAGCGCTTTGGAAGGAAGAAAATTAAAAAGCAAGTTTCGTTGTTTCTTTTGAGATCAACAAGATTTTGTCTTTCACAAGGGGCCTGATTCAGACGCCCATCTCAGCTCTTCGATGTAAATTGTCTCTCGCTTTGTTAACGTCCAAGGCCTGGGCGAGTACAACGTTGCTTGGAACGTGGCAATTTTTTGGGGAATAAAATTGTAACTTTGGGTCCAGGGCCAATTTCCTGCAACACAAAACCAGGGCAAAGAGAACACACACAGCGGGGAGGGCGCTCAGCAAGAGGCAGGGACAAGGATCCCCGAGCAGCAGGGCACTTCAGAAACGCGTAAACACGGCGGCTGCTGCAACAACCACGACAACCACGAGAAACGCGCCTCCTCCTCCGAGCTCTGGAGACCCTCTGGAGAAGATCCCAGGTCACGTGTTGAGACCGTTTGACTTTTTGAAGCTACTAACATCACATTTGCTACCACGTTACAGTGCAGTGTTAGTATCCGTTCTTTATCCATTAAACACGATCGTCCCATACAAGTGTTGACGTGGTTTTTGAAGCACTACCCCCCTCTCACCCCCTCCCCTCACCCCCTCCCCTCACCCCCCTCTCACCCCCTCCCCTCACCCCCTCCCCTCACCCCCCTCTCACCCCCTCCCCTCACCCCCCTCTCACCCCCCCTCCCTCTCACCCCGTCCCCTCACCCCCCTCTCACCCCCTCCCCTCACCCCCCTCTCACACCCCCCTCTCACCCCCTCCCCTCACCCCCCTCTCACCCCCCCTCACCCCCTCCCCTCACCCCCCTCTCACCCCCTCCCCTCACCCCCCTCTCACACCCCCCTCTCACCCCCTCCCCTCACCCCCCTCTCACCCCCTCCCCTCACCCCCCTCTCACTCCCTCCCCTCACCCCCCTCTCACCCCCTCCCCTCACCCCCCTCATTCCTGGACAGCGGTCCGAGCTGCTGGGGCTGCTGCTGCCAAAAGTCTCGTCACGTGGCCCCCTCCCCCATTCCATGCCTCCCCCCCCCATGCCCCCTCCCCCATGCCCCCCTCCCCCATGCCCCCCCACCCATGCCCCCTCCCCCATGCCCCCCTCCCCCATACCCCCCCACCCCGTGCCCCTTCCTCCATGCCCCCCCACCCCGTGCCCCCCCACCCCGTGCCCCCCCCCCCCATGCCCCACCCCATGCCCCTTCCCCCATGCCCCCCCACCCCGTGCCCCCCCCCCCCCACTTGGCCGCTTCTCCATCCCGTGACCGTTGTGGAGTAAAGCAGCGAATTTCCGACAAATCTCCACTCACCAAAACATTTAAACTCTATAGGTATATATACAGTAAATACATATACATAGCAAAATATATATACTGTATAGCTATATAAAAAATATATAGATTAAATCTATAAATATATAACATACATTTAAATATATAAAATACACAAAATGTCTTCTTGGTTCTTTCGGTAAAGTCACGTAGAAGGGAAATAATAATGTCGGAAAGACCTGTTCTTCACCTGAGGACGGCTGCTTGCGTTGTGGCCGAAACGTCGTGAGAATTGTATTTTATTATTTTCTTATTTCCCTTCTACGTGACTTTACCGAAAGAACCAAGAAGATGAATCCCTGCAGTCACGAAAGCTTTACATCGAAATTTACACAAAATGTATGAAATAAAAAAGATGTAAATATACGGATGAATACAAATACACACACAGAATACATACAAGTATAAAATATAGACAAATCCATTCGTACTACGAACAGTCACCTTCAACATCGTGACAGAGGAGAGTGGTGAGAGAGAGACACGGGAGAGAGACACGGGGAGAGTGGTGAGAGAGACACGGGGAGAGAGACACGGGGAGAGTGGTGAGAGAGAGACACGGGGAGAGAGACACGGGGAGAGTGGTGAGAGAGAGACACGGGGAGAGAGACACGGGGAGAGTGGTGAGAGAGAGACACGGGGAGAGAGACACGGGGGGAGAGACACGGGGAGAGTGGTGAGAGAGAGACACGGGGAGAGAGACACGGGGAGAGTGGTGAGAGAGAGACACGGGGAGAGAGACACGGGGAGAGAGACACGGGGAGAGTGGTGAGAGAGAGACACGGGGAGAGAGACACGGGGAAAGTGGTGAGAGAGAGACACGGGGAGGGTGGTGAGAGAGAGACACGGGGAGAGAGACACGGGGAGAGAGACACGGGGAGAGTGGTGAGAGAGAGACACGGGGAGAGAGACACGGGGAGAGTGGTGAGAGAGACACGGGAGAGAGACACGGGGAGAGTGGTGAGAGAGAGACACGGGGAGAGAGACACGGGGAGAGTGGTGAGAGAGAGACACGGGGAGAGAGACACGGGGAGAGAGACACGGGGAGAGTGGTGAGAGAGAGACACGGGGAGAGAGACACGGGGGGAGAGACACGGGGAGAGTGGTGAGAGAGAGACACTGGGAGAGTGGTGAGAGAGAGACACGGGGAGAGAGACACGGGGAGAGAGACACGGGGAGAGTGGTGAGAAAGAGACACGGGGAGAGAGACACGGGGAAAGTGGTGAGAGAGAGACACGGGGAGGGTGGTGAGAGAGAGACACGGGGAGAGAGACACGGGGAGAGAGACACGGGGAGAGTGGTGAGAGAGAGACACGGGGAGAGAGACACGGGGAGAGTGGTGAGAGAGACACGGGAGAGAGACACGGGGAGAGTGGTGAGAGAGAGAGACACGGGGAGAGAGACACGGGGAGGGTGGTGAGAGAGAGACACGGGGAGAGTGGTGAGAGAGACACGGGGAGAGAGACACGGGGAGAGTGGTGAGAGAGAGACACGGGGGGAGAGACACGGGGAGAGTGGTGAGAGAGAGACACGGGGGGAGAGACACGGGGAGAGTGGTGAGAGAGACACGGGGAGAGAGACACGGGGAGAGTCGTGAGAGAGAGAGACACTTGATTAAAGATGGAATTCAAGTCACACGTTGACTGTGCGAGCCCAAGCAGACATAGCGAGTGTCATTGCCGATGCAGCATCATGATGATGATGATGAATTAAAAGGCGTTAGGCGAAATCCTGAATTTCGAAGGAAGCCGTTTGCCCCACCACCCATCACGACGGAGGTGCTTCGATTGCCTCGATTATGCAACAAAAAAATCAACAAAGGCCTGAAGAAAATAATGAGGCTCGCATATTTGGGTCAAGGCGTTCACAAACTTAACGTGTGATGCGAGAGAGAGGGGGGGGCATGAGTTAGGCCGATGTAATCGCATCATGCGGGAGGGTGCCACAGCGGGGAGACGGGATTTTCGCTCGCTCGCTCTCTCTCTCGCTTGCCACGCGGCACCAAATTGGGCCAAACTGCTGCGGGGAAGCACTCGGCACAGGAATTACGAACGCGGTGGTGACAGAGATGTCAGTGGTGTGATGACGACGGTGTTTGTAGCGGTGGTTAATGTCACTGTTGTCATAGCCGGCGTGCATCTTGCCAGCCAGCCAGCCCACGGCACCTGCCGGGTCTGTCCCGTGACCTCCTGCACCTAGCCTGGCACAGCAGTCAACCCACGGCACCTGCCGGGTCTGTCCCGTGACCTCCTGCACCTAGCCTGGCACAGTATAGGGAGTACTGCTGGTGGTGCATCGGGCAGTCATCTCAGTCAGCCAACCCACGGCACCTGCCGGGTCTGTCCCGTGACCTCCTCCTGCCAGCGAGGCTTCGGCACTTCACGTGGCCTCAAAGTGCACCTAGCCTGGCACGGGCGCCGTGGTGACGTCACCGTGATTTAGTGGCCTGTTGGTGTTGTCACTGGCGTGGATGATGAGTCTGTGGGCCTCTCTCTCAGTGTCATCACCACCACCACCGTGGTGGCTCCACTGCTGGATGTAGATCAGTGGGACGATGCCTCCACCCTGGGTGTGTTCCCCAATCCGCGTTGTCGAGGCAGACCGTGACACGATATCTGTCGCTGCTTTTTGATCTTTAAGCAACGTTTTATTTTATGCGTTTTAAAAGAAAAATGTTGTAAGTTATGGACGGCGTTTTAAGTAACGCGTTTGTTGTTTAACATGCCCTTCATTCTAATCGACGACATATTACGTCTACGTTTGATAATTTGACAACGTATTTAAATGCCGTTTATTTTATTCACGTGTTGGATCATTTAACTTGTTCATCGGCTGTTAATGATCAAACATATAATACCGCGACAACTCAAACGTAAAGTATGTACGCAGTCGAACACAACAACGCATGGCGTACATCACGTGAATTGAACGCGACTGATATTTAACAACACGATCTTGTGGCGTGTGGGCGCGTGTTACGATGTGTGCGCGAGACGAGATTTTTTTAACTTTCTTCGTCTTTCTTGGGCGTGCGTCTTAAAATCGGCAGCGTCTTATAATCCCGATTTAAATAAATACACATTCCATATAATCTCCCCCCCTCTACCCTGAATGACAATGCCCACTGACAGTGGTGATGCTGATAATGATGACAGCTAAACTAATATTACTCTTTGGTTCTTTCGGTAAAGTCACGTAAGTATAAAATACCTAATCAAGATTAAAACGAATATCGTTCGTACAATGTGCGCGGGTAGCCTCACCTTGTCGGAGTTGGAGCATTGAATGATGACAACTTGGGACTGGGGGAGGAGAGAGGAGGGGGGGGAGATGAAGGGAGAGAGGAGAGGTGAGAGGGAGTGGAGGGGGGGAGAGACGGCGCAGAGGGATGAGAGGAGAGGGTTGAGAGGGTGGAGGGAGAGGAGCGCCTGGGAGGGGAAACGTCGAGAGGGAGGGAGGGAGCGCGTGGAGAGGGAATGGTTGGGAGAGAGGGGAGAGTAGAGAGAGGGTGAGAGAGAGAGTGATGTGACGGGGGGAGAGTGGAGAGAGAGATGGTGAGAGAGATGGTGAGAGAGAGGAGAGAGAGGGGGGGGAGTGGAGAGAGAGATGGGGAGAGAGGGGGGAGAGTGGAGAGAGATATGTGACAGAGGGGGGAGAGAGGGGGGGGGAGTGGAGAGAGAGATGGTGAGAGAGGGGGGAGAGAGGGGGGAGAGTGGAGAGAGAGATGGTGAGAGAGAGGGGGCTGAGTCGAGCTAGGGGAGGCCCGGGACTGGTTCGGATAATCGTCGGCGGTGTCGACCTTGAGCTGGGATCGAACTGGGGTTGAACGGGTTCGTAGCGCAGCGCGCTAACCACTGCGCCACCGCTCCTCAATTGTACACTAAACATGCACTACCTTCCTTTAACAAAAAAAACAGAGAGAGGGGGAGAGCAGAGAGAGATGGTGAGAGAGAGGGGGGAGAGTGTAGAGAGAGAGTGAGAGGGGGGTACATAAAGGAAAACATAAAAAAAACAAAAAAAAAGCGAAATGATGAACGAAGCAAAGTGCCGACTACACCGAGCATCTTCTTGTTTCCTCTGACCGAGAGAGGGTGAGAGAGGGTGAGGGGGGAGAGTGTAGAAATATGGGGTAAGTGTTGAGAGAATGCGAATAGTGAATGCATAAATGTGAATGCAGTGAGAAACCGTGAATGACTTCCATGTGAATGAGTGAGACGTGAACGAATGAGACAATGTGAATGAGTGAGATAACGTAGGGAGAGAGAATGAATCACGGGGCATGGAGCATTGTGACTTGCAGAAGACGACACGGCCGTGGAGTCAGCAGCACCACTCCCTCGCGTGCTCGCTAACGCCACTTGCCCCACCGGTCTGTTGAGGCTATACGGGGGATCTTTGTCTGTGTGTGTGTGAAAGTGGGGAGCCGTGACTCGGCTTCGATTGCTCGCTCATGGCCAACACCGGTGACGATTATCTGAACCGGTCCTGGGCCTCCCCTAGGTAGACTCGGCCTCAAATGAGTACCTGGTGCGTAGTAAACATCGCCACTGGGGAGACAAAGACGGTCGGGCGTGGTGCTGGCCACCCACCCCCTCGTGCGCCGTGCCGGTCTTCACAGGTGCTCGCTAACAGCACTTGCCCCTACAGTCTGTGGAGGCTATACGACAAGACGGTCTGCAATGGGGAGCTTTGTCTTTGTCACGGTGCGCTAACCACTGCGCCACCGCTCCGACACACATCGACACTTGAACACAATCACACTTAACCGCCCCACTGGAACAAAGATAAAGACAAAGATCTCCCGTGTAGCCTTAACAGACTGTTGGGGCAAGTGCTGTTAGCGAGCAGCACCTGTGAAGGCCGGCACGGCACACGAGGAGATCGGGTGGCCAGCACCACGCCCGGCCACCTTTGTCTCCCCAGTGGCGATGTTTATTGCACGCCGCACCAGGTACTCATTTGAGGCTGAGTCGACCTAGAGGGAGGCCCAACGTCGGTTCAAAACATTCGCCACGGGAACACGCGCACGTGCGCATGGGGGTGGATGGGTTTTCCGAACGTATCAGGCAGGGCTTCAGCGTCTACACGGGCAGATGCCTGGGACGCATTTGGCTGATATACAGAGGCAGGCGGATTCCATTGGTCTGTGTGTGGTGGCACATGTGTGGTGTGTGTGTCACATGTGTGGTGTGTGTGGCACATGTGTGTCACATGTGTGGTCTGTGTGTCACATGTGTGGTCTGTGTGTGTCCCATGTGTGGTGTGTGTGGTGTCATGTGTGGTCTGTGTGTGTCACATGTCTGTCACATGCACGCATGCCAGAGCTCAGTCAGTCACCATACCCAAGGTGCACACGTGACCCACACTCGGTTGAACCTCCCCCAGGACGGAGTGGAATATAATAGATTTTAAGATAGAAAACAAGTTAAGGTAAATGCACAACACGCTTTTATTCGTACCAAAAGTATAAAATACATTATTTTGACCCCCAGAATTCATCACATCTGATGTGCTCAATACAAGTGGGCGGTTTCCTTCCCGTGTGTTCAAGTGTCTTGATGCAATCCGCACACTTTTATTGAGCACATCAAATGTGATTAATTCTGGGGTCAAAATAATTTCTTTGCTACTATTGAGTGCGAATAAAAGTGTGTGGTCATTGGAAAAAAAAGTTTTTTACTGTAAAAAAATATGGTGTGACATTTTTTTTAGTCTCATTGTTATTTGCTTAATTAAGACTTCAATGTAAATTCTGGTAATTATCATACAGTAAGATTATGGAATGTTGAAGTTCAGTTGTGTGTTGGCTCTCCAAAACAACACATAACCGGTTAGTGCTGTACTAGTATACTACTTCCCGTGTGTTCAAGTGTCTTGATGCAAGCCGCACACTTTTATTGAGCACATCAAATGTGATACTACACTATACACTACACTATACACTACTATATACTACACTATACACTACACTATACACTACTATATACTACACTATACACTACACTATACACTACTATATACTACACTATACACTACACTATACACTACTATATACTACACTATACACTACACTATACACTACTATATACTACACTATACACTACACTATACACTACACTACACACTACACTATACACTACTATATACTACACTATACACTACACTATACACTACACTACTATACACTACACTATACACTACTATATACTACACTATACACTACACTACACACTACACTATACACTACTATACACTACACACTACACTATACACTACTATACACTACACTACACACTACACTATACACTACTATATACTACACTATACACTACACTACACACTACACTACTATACACTACACTATACACTACACTACACACTACACTATACTACACTATACACTACTATATACTACACTATACACTACACTATACACTACTATATACTACACTATGCACTACACTATACACTACACACTACACTATACACTACTATATACTACACTATACACTACACTATACACTACACTACTATACACTACACTATACACTACTATATACTACACTATACACTACACTACACACTACACTACACTATACACTACTATACACTACACTACACACTACACTATACACTACTATATACTACACTATACACTACACTACACACTACACTACACACTACACTATACACTACTATACACTACACTACACACTACACTATATACTACTATATACTACACTATACACTACACTACACACTACACTACTATACACTACACTACACACTACACACTAGTGCTGTACTAGTCACGAATTGTCACGTTCTGTTTACGTGACACTAACTCTTACTAGTTGGCTGTGTCGGGTGGTGGCGGGTTTAACGACACATTTATATATTTACGCGATCTAACCCAAAACACCTCTGTTTCGGATGATATTGGTCGCGAAAGCCTTCGTGTTAAACTGCATCTACATTCTTTAGACCCCAGAATGAATCAAATTGTATTCGTTAAACATTTTAAATAAATCTATGTAAATAGCATTTTTTTTAGTTTTAGCAATTTTATTTTTAAATTTTAATCTTGTGCATACGTATAAATTCATTCTAAGATCTAAATCCAGACAATAACAATAGTCAATTGTTGTCTGGATAATCCTAATATATTTGAAATAGTGCAGTAAAAAATGTTCGTGAAGAATCCACGAAGAGAGGCCCAGGATCGGTGGGACCTGAAGCGGTTCTTTAAACGAAATCTTGAATCGTTTCGCGAGGCAATGATGAGTTTGTGTGGAAAGTGTCAACTCGTGAGGCTTCGGAGATCCGAGAAATTAAGCGTCAAAAATTTGAACGAATATAAACAAGACAGCAGGGCAAGTTAAATACAAGTGGGAAATAACAAAAATAGAAATCTCACCCACTTGGAGTGGAACAATTTAGAGACCCATAGACTCACATAGAGACCTATAGACTCACATAGAGACCTATATTCTCAGAGACCCGCAGACTCACGCAGAGAACCATAGACTTAGTCAGAAACCCATAGAGACCCATAGCATCACACTCAGAGACCCATAGACTCACACAGAGACCCATATATAGAGACCCACAGACTCACTTGGAGACCCACTGACTCGCTCAGAGACCCATAGACTCAGACGCATAGACTCACACAGAGACCCACAGACTCGCTCAGAGACCCATAGACTCAGACGCATAGACTCACACAGAGACCCATACATAGAGACCCACAGACTCACTGAGAGACCCATAGACTCGCACATAGACCCATAGACTCAGACGCATAGACTCACACAGACCCATACACAGAGACCTACAGACTCACTCAGAGACCCATAGACTCACACATAGAACCAAAGACTCAGACGCATAGACTCACACAGAGACCCATACACAGAGACCCACAGACTCACTCAGAGACCCATAGACTCACACAGAGACCCAAAGACTCACACATAGACCCATAGACTCAGACGCACAGATTCACACAGAGACAAATACACAGAGACCCACAGACTCACTCAGAGACCCACAGACTCACACAGAGACCCACAGACGCACCATAGACCCACAGACTCACACAGAGACCCACAGACTCACACATAGACAAATACAGATACCCACAGAATCACTCAGAGACCCACAGACTCACACAGAGACCCACAGACTCACACAGAGACCCACAGACTCACACACAGACCCATACATAGAGACCCAGAGACTCACTCAGAGACCCATACACTCACTGAGGCAAGGGCGGAATGTATGAGGATGGGGGGGGGAGCCCGTGCCCACCAGCGACTCGCTGGCAGCAGCAGCAGCAGTTTAACGGGAGCTCACGTGGGGATCTGAGAGTGGAGCCGTGTGATGGGAAGGCGTTGGACAAAACCCAGCAGAGAGCTCTGATCTCTTATCTAATGCCTCGGCTTGCGGCTCATAATCCTCCCATTAAGGCATCGAGTTTTTTGGGTGGCCTCTGCATCGTGTTACATTCCTGGTTAATGCGCTGTAGTGTTGTGTTCAATCAGACACAGACCTTACTCACAGCTAACCACTCAACTCCATCACAGCCTCTGTAGCTAACCACTCAACTCCACCACAGTCTCTGTAGCTAACCACTCAACTCCATCACAGTCTCTGTAGCTAACCACTCATTGCTGCCACAGAGAAGACTCAGGACTATAAGATCAAAAATGTGCCGACTCGTTCGTGAATGCTGGCGCCACGAAAAGGTGGGGGTGGGTGGGGGGCTGGGTGGGTGGGTGGGGGGCGATGCATTAGATTCTCACTCTGGTCATATGTTCGCATTGTTCCAGTCACGCAGCAATCGGCTCACTAACCCAGAGGTCACGGGGCCGCATTGCAGTGGACACGTGGAATCCCGCCCGGTGCTCACCCACACCACTCACCCACCCACCGCGCGCTCACCCCGCGTGGTACAAAAGCGCCGTCACACGCAGCTCACAAGACCAGCAAACTGGGCAAGCCAGTCCCGCCCTCCAACCCAAGTGAGCCTCCTTCCCCCCCGCCCCCCGTGACTTTGTCAAGGACGAGTGGAAGTTCTCAGCTATATTAGCTGCAGACGTCCCGTGCGTAACAAACAAACCCCAAAAAAATCCACTCGGAACGCACGCCCGATCTCGGGCGCTCGCCAAAGCTGCGTTCATCCCGGACAGAAGCATTGGGATGGCGGGCGGCCGCCACACACGAACAGACGAACAGGTCACCACGCACGAACAGACGAACAGGTCACCACGCACGAACAGACGAACAGGTCACCACGCACGAACAGACTAACAGGTCACCACGCACGAACAGACGAACAGGTCACCACTCACGAACAGACGAACAGGTCACCACGCACGAAACAGACGAACAGGTCACCACACACGAACAGACGAACAGGTCACCACTCACGAACAGACGAACAGGTCACCACTCACGCACAGACGAACAGGTCACCACTCACGAACAGACGAACAGGTCACCACTCACGAACAGACGAACAGGTCACCACGCACGAACAGACTAACAGGTCACCACTCACGAACAGACGAACAGGTCACCACTCACGAACAGACGAACAGGTCACCACTCACGAACAGACGAACAGGTCACCACTCACGAACAGACGAACAGGTCACCACTCACGAACAGACGAACAGGTCACCACGCACTAACAGACGAACAGGTCACCACTCACGAACAGACGAACAGGTCACCACTCACGAACAGACGAACAGGTCACCAGGCACGAACAGATGAACAGGTCACCACGCACGAACAGAAGAACAGGTCACCACGCACGAACAGACGAACAGGTCACCACTCACGAACAGACGAACAGGTCACCACTCACGAACAGACGAACAGGTCACCACGCACTAACAGACGAACAGGTTACCACTCACAAACACACGAACAGGTCACCACGCACGAACAGACGAACAGGTCACCACTCACGAACAGATGAACAGGTCGTCACACACGAACAGGTCACCACGCAGAAACAGGTCACCACGCACGAACAGACGAACAGGTCACCACACACTAACAGACGAACAGACCGCCACGCACGAACAGGTCACCACTCACAAACAGACGAACAGACCGCCACGCACGAACAGGTCACCACTGACAAACAGACGAACAGACCGCCACGCACGAACAGGTCGTCACGAGGTGCCGCAGCGACGTGGTGGGCGACGGGAAAGGGACGACGCAAAACTTCAACTGCACCGCTGCATCGTCCACCGAAACCGCGACCTCCAATTCGGCACCGTCGCCACCGCCGCGCCGGACAAAACGACAAAGCTTGCCCAGCCTGCATCGCACACAACGCGCCACACACACACATCATCATCTTCTGCAACGCTGGCAGCAACGTCACCATAATCCCCCTCTTGCCGCTGCTGCCGCTGCTCAGCTGACAAGTCACGCACCGGCGGGTCATCGCCGGCACGCCGAGCCGACAGCCCCCCACTCTTCCCAAGCGACGGTGCAGCCGCCGCCTTCGCACACAACACAAAGGCCACGTGCTTCTCCCTCCGAGCCACCGTGGCAGCCCCCCCCCCCCCCCCCCGCAAGTCGAACGACACGCAAGCCTGAGCCCTGCTGATGAGCCGCTCTATGTCGAAACCGGTTCAGAGTTTTGCTCGTGCTCTGGATTGAAAATTAGTTGTGTACTGAAAATAATTTCTTTAGAACTCAATCGAGATCTGTGTTTAGTGTTGTCCTTGCCCCCCCCCCCGCGCCTCCGATGAGCACGGTTGGCTACGTACGGCGCAAAAGAAGTCCAACGCACTTGGGTAATGAATCGATGCAAGGCCGTGCTGGCTGATGGGTTGTGGTTGTCAGAAACGCGCGTGAAATCAGCGACACGGAAAGCCATTTTCGTGAAATTAAATTCAACTTTATTTATCCCGCGCCGCCGTTTCCGCGCGGGCGAGAGGGAGTGACGGAAGGAACCCCAACAGAAATAAAATCGTCGGCAGCGTTGCGACATTTTGATGACGAGCAGAATCGCGATTCGTCGCGAGCTTCCACGTTGGGCGGCAGGAAGATCGGAAAAGAAAAGAACGGTGAAAAAGTTACGGTCACCCGGTAATATTGGATGGCGCGCTGTGCGCAGCGCACAGCTGTTTTCTTTGGGTCAGAGCCACTCCGGAAAAGCCAATTCGCACCGTGGACTTTCCACAAAACTTGCTCCGAGGTTTGCCAAGCGCAGACGAGGGGCATCCCGCGTCTGTGTTGAGCAGCGACACGCACGGACCGTCAGCGGACGCTCAGGAGTGCCTCGGTTGAGTGTCGAGACTTTTCTTTTCGCAGGAGTGGGCTCCTACGAGAACATGAGCGGCAATCTCCACAAATACAGTCGAGAGAATCGATTATCCGGTGGCTTCGGATTTTCAAAAACGCCAGATAATTACTAATCACATTTTTGCATTCTTGTATGATGTTATGTTTTTAGGTTTTTTTTTTTTAAATTCGTTTACCACGTGAAATTGGCATAAATAAACAAAGACCAAAATAAATATCCGACTTTAAAAAGTTACCGTATTTACTGCCTGTGGTGCTGTATACACGTGCAGTATTGTCATTGTTTAAAATGTATGTAGTGTATAATGTACCGTACCGTATACAATATTTAACATTGAAATCAAGCGTAGCTACTTTTTTCGTCACGAGCACGGTGCCGATCGCCGAACTTTCAAACGGTTTTGCCGGTTTCGCCAGATCGGCCCGGGACTGCCGGATAACGTTGGAAGCTGCCGGATAATCTATGATCGACTGTGTTTTGCTACTGGCTGGCTTTTCGCGGTTGTGCTGCGTAGCTCTTCAACGTGATTCCGGGTTGCACCGGAGTGAGCTCCGGTCAGTGTTTGGTCTACTCTTCCATTGCCGGCCGGTCGTCTTGGAAAAACGTGGACGTCGCCCACACTTCACCAAACCGCACGTCGCGATCCGCCGATGGGCGACACGCGATGATGTACCCACGTGTGTCGCGCCGTACCGTAACTCTGAGAGGCGGTCAAAGTTATAGAAAATATGCGAAAGGAAAGCATTGCCACACGTGGTTTTATACAGGGTACGCCCATGCACCTATTTTAATGGTCGACACACGAACACAAACGTTTAAATTAAGGGGTTTGGGAGAAGTGGCGGTCACGTCAAGAGCCACGGAGCCTGCACCGTCGGGGGAGGGGGCCTTGGTTTGAATCCGGGTCCCATCGGCCCCCCGCGATTCAACCGGCTCCCCGGGTGACGAGCTCCCGTGTGGTCACCAAGCGCTGCGGACAGAGACGCGTCGCCGAGAGGTTTGACGCGGGTTGGACAAGAAAAATACATTCGCTTAAAACGTACCTGGTTCAGCCTGCCATTCGCAGATTACATCTTGAGAGCAAATGTTACTTTGTACACGGTTGTAGACTAACCCCGTTACTTTTTTTATTGCGCGATTTTAACGATTGATTGGAGAATAATAATTAACGTAGGGGGGGAAGGGAGGGGGGCATAACTTTTAGAAAGGCCACTTCATAGAAATAGAAGTTTTATTGATTTATTGAAGATGTAATAAACGTGCTCCGCCGTTGTTAAAACAACTCCCGTTGCCGAGAGATGTCACCGAGGGAAAAGCACCGGCCTGCAAGTGCAGAGGCGCTAACCACGACACCGCAGGAGCATCCCCCCTTGCCAACAGCGGGGAAGGTAACCGACCAAGTGCAGGCTTTTGCCACGTGGCGGCTAAGTGGGTGACAATTTACCGCCCCCCGCGCTTTGACAAGACGGTGGTGGCGATGGCGGACCGCGATGCAACGTACGGCGCCTCCGATGGCTGCGGGGTGTAGGTGACTCGATTGCGAGTGGCACGAGAGGCGCGTTGGGAGAGCAATCGATTCTCGCGCGGCACAAACCGATCGCGACCGGTCAGCCCTCGCATGCCCAGTGCCGAGTGAGGCCGCGCGTGTGTGTGAAGAGCGTCGTTGGAAATTTCTTGTCCTTCCCCCGCACTTCCGACTATCACGGTTGGCTACGTACGGTGCGAAAGAAGTCCAACGTTCGTACACATTTCGCTTACGCGTTGAGAGTATGCGAGAGGGAATGTGTATGTGCGCGTGTCTATGCATGGTACGTTCGACTGTAATCCTTTGCGTTCGCCATGTGTGTATGTACATTCAGGGTGCTTCAAAAAAATGTTTTCACACTTCTGAGAATTTGAAACAACACCACGAGAAATGTGCCCCCGGGCTCTGGAGACCACCTGGAGAAGATTCCAGGCCACGTGTTGACAAGGATGGCAAACAAGTGGAAACTCTTTGATTAACATGCACATTTGTTATCATGTCCCAGTGAATTATAATCCGTTATTTTTTCCATTAAAAACGACAGTCCCATATAAGTGTTGACAAATAATGTGGAGCACCCTGCGAGTATGTACTGCACGTTCACTCGTATTCCATCACCAGCGGGGGTCCCAGGCCGGCCTGGCGCTCAGCAGCGACCGCGGCTGGAGGCCGTGGACACGATCCCCACGGGACCCAAAGGAGCTGGACGCACGGGGACTCCCCTCTGCGACGCACGGACACGCAGCAAAGACAAAGATCGCCATGTAGCCTTCACAGGCCGTGGGGGCAAAGTGCTGTCGGGGAGTGGCACCGATTAAGGTGGTGTGGCCGCCACCGCGGCCGGCTACCTTCATGCACATCGCACCAGGTGCTCGTTTAAGGCTCGGGACCGGTTCAGAGATACGTCACCGGTATTAGCCGTGAGCGGAATTGAACTCGGGTCGCTGATTTTGCAACGCGGCGCTAAGCGCTACTCTACCGCTCCCCACCCATAGACACACACAATAACGCACATAAATGCACGCACATACACCTACGGAAAGACAAAGATCCCCCGTATAGCCTTAGAAGACTGTTGAGGCAAGTTAGCGACCACCTATGGAGGCCGGCAAGGCGCACGAGGGGGTGGGTGGCCAACGCCACAACCGACCGCCTTTGTCTCCCCCGCAAATACATCCATCGACACACTCGCACACACAAAGACACACGGACACACAACAAAGACTGACGTACCGATGGCTCGGCCCTGGGACTTGGACCTGTGCGAGGCTGGCCGGGAGGATGACAATGGGGGCAGGGGCTGCCCCGTGAGACGCGCGTGGTCACGCAGCTGCTCAGCGCGCCGCAGCCCGGGGGACACCTTGGCCGCCTCGAGCCGCTTCAGCAAGGCCTGGCGGCACACAGCACAGCGGCGCGTGCGCACACACACAGCGTGCACACACACAGCACACACACATGTAGCACACACACACGCAGCACACACACACGCAGCACGCACAAGCAGCACACACACACACGCACACACACAGCGCGCACACACGCAGCACACACACACACGCACACACACGCAGCACACACACACGCAGCACGCACACACGCAGCACGCTGCAGTGGACGGTGTGTACTGCCCGCGTGGACATGCCGACCGGAAACGTGGACATCAACGCTAAATCATTTGTTTTAGATAGGCTGCGATGAGGCACTTACATCTCAAATTGGTACATTTGAAAGGGCAACCCCGTTGGCAGGTGTAGTAACGAGACGTGTGCCGGGTGTCCACGTTCACCGCTGCATCTCAGAGCGCCGCAGGCGGCTCGCCGTTCATTTCATTTTGAGAGGCGTCGTGGCGGCGCCGTTGTTTTTAAAGACGTCGTTACTCACCGCAGACAACCGCAGCGACACGACCGCAACTCTACGATAGCTGGCGCCAAACTGTGTCACACGCCCTCCCACATGGCCTTGTACGTGTGCGCGTTGAACTTATTCTGCGCTGTACGCAGCCAACCGTGCTAATCGGAGGTGCGGGAGGTCTCGGTACGGATAACGTTACTTTAGTTTTCCGTCTACGCCATCGGAACGGAATCGTACGATGACGTGCACGTAGTTATCAGAATGGGACCGGGTTCAACAGGCTGCTTGCAGTTTCATAACGCTACACCCACATTACAAACGTACGCAACTGGACTACTTAACAATCAAATTCGCACCTCCAATTCGCGCGGTTGGCTAAGTACGGTGTGAAAGCAGTTCAACGTACAAACAACAACATCTCTGCGCGCATCCTCACATAATTGGCTCTCTCGATGCGCATGTGCTCTCTCTGCCGGTTCTTGGCGGAGGGGCTGGCACGAGTGCCCAGCACCGGCGCCGGCGCTGCCTCGCGGCAGGGCCTCCTGGCGCAATCCCTGCCGCCTCTCCCCACTCCTCCCCCTCCCCGTACTCCTCCCCCCGCCGGCCCCGGCGCCGTCGACTTGTGGCAGAGCTCGCGCAGCAGCCGCCGATTCTCTCGCTCGATGCGCTCGCACTCGGCGTTGTTGAACGAGAAATTCCGTCTGCCCGCCGACGTCCGCCGGCTCCCGGCGCCGGCGGCGACCGGCGCGCGCCCCCTTCTCTCGCTCAACACCGACCGCAGCAGGTCGTCAAACTCCTCCTCGTCGTCGCCGCCGTCACCTTCCCGTTTGCCGGCGCCCGCCGGCGTCGCCGGATCCTTAGAAGCGGCCAGCGGACGCTCGCGCCCGCGCAGACGGAAGTTCAGGTTCTCCTGCCGCGGCGGCGGCCGCCGGTCGTACCGCCGGCGCGCGTCCCGGGGGCTGCTGCCGGCGGACGAGAGCGGCGTCACGTCGGTCACGCTGCCGCCCGACTCGCTGCCGCAGGCGCCGTCGCGAGCCGGCGCGGCGCTTCCGAGGCATTCTCCGCAGTGTGCCACCGACTCGGCGCGCAGCCGGCGCAGCCGCTTGCGCGCCTCCTCCAGGCAGTCGTCGAAGTCGTCCGAGTAGCACTCCTCGTCCCCGGCCCTCGGAGTCCCCGTCGGGATTTTCATTTCCAGTTTCGCGTGACGGTTCGGCCCCTTCCGGCAGGCGGCAGACGACGTCGGGTCCGAGTCGGAGTCGTCGGAGAGAAGAGGAGGAGTGGTGACGCTCTTCCTGCCTGGGGAGCGAGCCCGGGGCGAGCGGCCGTAGCTGTTGAAGCTGCTGCTGCTGCTGCTGAAGCTGCCGCTGCTGCTGCTGCTGCAGTCGTCGTCGCTGTGGGTGGGAGGCGATCGCTTGCCCTCTCCCTTGTCGAGCGGATTGGCTGGCATCTCGAGCCTGTGTTGTGCACAGAAGACGTTATGTACACAAACGTCACCTCAAACGTACAGCATCAAGTCAAAGATTAAGTTGATTTCACTTGTTACACGGATGATCCCTCGATCAGTGGTGCGTAAGCGCAGCAGCAACACAACAAAGACGAAAACATCACTAATTGCGGTTTTAACTTGAACATTATCGAGGTCCTGCATGGAATTCCCGGAGTCCAAGGGGGCTGTGCCATCGGCAAAAAAGTTTCTAATGTCAGAGCGCACATTGCAGATGTCCAGATTGTTGGCGTGCAGAAAAACAAACTTTATAGTTGCCCGGCACAGAGCCCTGGGGAACTCCCTTAGCCATGGGGGTTCTGTCAGGTGGCCTAATGTTGACGGAGACGACTGGAAATCGGTGAGAGAAGTTGCACGTGGAGTTGATTTCGCAATCTGAAATGTGTTTGGCATTTTCGCCTTTCCAACGCGATAGCAGTGAACTGGTGTAAAACGCTTCGGACAAGTCGAGGAGTGGTGTAGTGTGTGGTTGTGTAGTGGTGTAGTGTGTGGTGGTGTAGTGTGTGGTTGTGTGTAGTAGTGTAGTGTGTGGTTGTGTGTAGTGGTGTAGTGTGTGGTTGTGGAATGTGTGGTTGTGTGTAGTGGTGTAGTGTCTAGTGGTGTAGTGTGTGGTTGTGTGTAGTGGTGTAGTTTGTGGTTGTGTGTAGTGGTGTAGTGTGTGGTTGGGTAGTGGTGTAGTGTGTAGTGGTGCAGTGTGTGGTGGTGTAGTGTGTGGTTGTGTAAGCAAATGCCATTTTCAATCAACAGATGGATAAAGGCATCTGCACGAATGGGTTTGTCTTCTTCTTTGAACCATACTTCACCACGCTGGTATAGGCGTGTGGCTGACACGCAAACCTGTCCACCCCTTACCAGTGTCCGACTTCATCACAGACCACTTCAGATCTTTATAGGTTACCCCGTGCCCCTTATACATCTCAACGTTCATCCTACAAAGTCCCATCATCACAAGGGAGAAACACAAAGACAGTTTTTCTTGTCGTTTCCCGTTTTGTTACGGCCGGCACAAGAACACGGAGTGTGTCCTGCATTGTGCAGAGAGGTTAGATGCCGCTACTCAGATGCAGATCCACGACGATTACAATGCTCACACATCCACGTGTTGTCGAGCACGGGGCGAGAGCGTCAGCGGAGGCGTGGGACAGCAACAGCAACAAAGAGCTTTCGTGACTGCAGGGATTCATCTTCGTGGTTCTTTCGGTAAAAGCCACGTAGAAGGGAAATAATAAAATAATAAAAATAAAACATAATAAAATAATTCTCACGACGTTCTTTTGTCAAGGCGCTCTTCGCCCCTCCATCCCAGCTTAAATAGTCGCTCCAAGCCTGGGGCTTGTGTCATTCAGACTCGTCTCCTCGACAGACCTGTTCTCCACCTGAGGACGGCTACTTGCGTTGTGGCCGAAACGTCGTGAGAATTATTTTATTATGTTTTATTTTTATTATTTCCATTCTACGTGACTTTACCGAAAGAACCAAGAAGAACAACAAAGAGCTTTACAGCTTATCGGATTCGGATAATTTTATTTCTATTATTATTTCTATTATTTTTTATTTTTAAATCCTTTATATTAAGTTTGCTTGCGTGCTTGCTTGCTTACGACCGTGCAAATCTTTCGGTCGTTTTTTAACCCACTTCCCGTGATCCAATCGAGCTGACATTTTGCACACAGACTCGGTGTGCGAGACAATTAATGTTCGTGAAAATTTTTTCCAAAATTTTACACTGTTTAGGGAAAACAAATTAAATATTTAATTACCAATTGCTTAATACTGGCAGACAATCATCTGACCCATAGGTGGCAGCCATCTCAAGCCAGAGGACGAGAGGACTCTAGCCGCCACGCATATAAAGGATTTAGAGTGAAAAACTTTGTTTTTACGGGTTATACTTGTTATTATTTATTTCTACCTATGTGACTTTACCGAACAAACCTACGAGTACTCATCGGATTCATTCCTCCGGTGTAGGCAACTCTTGATTCCCTATCGCGTGATGTGCCCCCCCCCCCCCCCACTTCGTACTTGTGGGGTCGTTCGTTCATGGCGCAGCATTCGCAACGAACCCATCAACAACAACAACAAGCGCCGTCACGCCACTGTGGCTTGTGCCAGGCTAGGTGCACACCTCTGAGGGGGGCACGTGAAGTGTCGCCGGCTCTCGCTGGGGAGGAACCCCGAGGTTGTCAACGGGGTTGACGGCGATGACCGGCGCGGGGAGTATGGTCAAGTAAGGCCTCGTGGCTCGCATGGAAAGTCATTAAACGATTTAAAAAAATATATATTTTGAGCAGGGAAGGACCCCCTTGGGCTATCTTCATAGATCTTTTGTCAGAAGCGACCTGGCCACAATGATGGCCCCAGCTTCGTGTCTTAGCTCCGTGTGGAGATTTGTTATATCGGCCTCGTCCTCTTGAACTGCGCGCGGCTCTCAATGTGGAAGGGACGGCCCCGAAACAACAAATCCACGCGACCACGGAGAGAGAGAGACACGCAAACCTCAAATATACAGCAGCATGCTTCGTCAGGGTCGGGATCGAACCCACGACCTCCTGTAGACCAGGCGAGGTAGTCAACATCTCACCACAGAGAGAGACACGCAAACCTCAAATATACAGCGGATGTCAGGGTCGGGATGGAACCCACGACCTCCTGTGTCACAGGCGAGGTAGTCAACATCTCACCACGGAGAGAGACACGCAAACCTCAAAAATAAAGCAGCATGCTTCGTCAGGGTCGGGATTGAACTCACGGCCTCCTGTAGACCAGGCGAGGTAGTTAACATCTCACCACAGAGAGAGAGACACGCAAACTCCAACTATACAGCAGCAGCAGGCGTCAGGGTCGGGATGGAACCCACGACCTCCTGTATACCAAGCGAGGTAGTCAACATCTCCTGGCCACCGTGATGATGATGAGAGAGACACGCAAACTCCAAATATACAGCAGCAGTAGGCGTCGTCAGGGTCGGGATCGAACCCCTGCTATACTAGGCGAGGTAGGCTCACCACCTCGCCACACGTGTGTGTGTTGTGTGTGTGGTGTGTGTTGTGTGTGGTGTGTGTTGTGTGTGTTGTGTGTGGTGTGTGTTGTGTGTGGTGTGTGTGGGGTGTGGTGTGTGTGTGGTGTGTGTTGTGTGTGGTGTGTTGTGTGTGGTGTGTGTTGTGTGTGGTGTGTGTGGGGTGTGGTGTAAGTGGTGTGTGTGATGTGATGTGTGTGATGTGTGTGGTGTGATGTGTGTGGTGCGTGTGTGTGGTGTGTGTGTAGTGTGTGTTGTGTGCGTGGTGTGTGTGACATGTGTGTGTGCGTGTGGTGTGCGTGTGGTGTGTGTATGTGTTGTGTGCGTGATATTTATTCTTTAAGTTTCAAACCGCCGCGTGTGAGCGTTAGTCGTCGTCGTTGTTGTTGCTGCTGCGAGCGGCGCTGGCAGGCCGCGCAGGGCGAACCTGGCGGGCGGAGACGGCGACTCGCGGGCGCCGTCCGAGTCGAAGAAGGAGTCGAGACCCGCGCCTTGCTCCATCGCGCCTCGGGGACTCGCGGGGGCTTGTTGTTGGCGACTCGGGGGGCTGTTGGCGACGACGACAACAACAACGACAACAACGAAGACGACGACTTGGGGAGGAGGAGGAGGGGGGGAGGCTGGAGGGGGTCAAACGGTCGCCGTCCGGCGCCCGCTCGCGACTCGGAAACCGCCGCGATTCAAACTCCCCCCCCACCCCCCATCACCCCCCATCACCCCCCATCACCCCCCACCCCCCATCACCCCCCACCCCCCATCACCCCCCACCCCCCATCACCCCCCACCCCCCATCACCCCCCACCCCCCATCACCCCCCACCCCCCATCACCCCCACCCCCCATCACCCCCCACCCCCCATCACCCCCCACCCCCCATCACCCCCCACCCCCCATCACCCCCCACCCCCCATCACCCCCCCACCCCTCACCCCCCATCACCCCTACCCCTCACCCCCCCACCCCTCACCCCCCATCACACCCACCCCTCACCCCCCCACCCCTCACCCCCCATCACCCCCACCCCTCACCCCCCCACCCCTCACCCCCCATCACCCCCACCCCTCACCCCCCCACCCTCACCCCCCATCACCCCCACCCCTCACCCCCCATCACCCCCACCCCTCACCCCCCCACCCCTCACCCTCCATCACCCCCACCCCTCACCCCCCCACCCCTCACCCCCCATCACCCCCACCCCTCACCCCCCCACCCCTCACCCCCCATCACCCCCCACCCCCCATCACCCCCCACCCCCCATCACCCCCCCACCCCTCACCCCCCATCACCCCTACCCCTCACCCCCCCACCCCTCACCCCCCATCACACCCACCCCTCACCCCCCCACCCCTCACCCCCCATCACCCCCACCCCTCACCCCCCCACCCCTCACCCCCATCACCCCCACCCCCCCCTCACCCCCCCCATCACCCCCCATCACACCCCCACCCCTCACCCCCCCCACCCCTCACCCCCCATCACCCCCACCCCTCACCCCCCCACCCCTCACCCTCCATCACCCCCACCCCTCACCCCCCCACCCCTCACCCCCCATCACCCCCACCCCTCACCCCCCCACCCCTCACCCCCCATCACCCCCACCCCTCACCCCCCATCAACCCCCACCCCTCACCCCCCCACCCTCACCCCCCATCACCCCACCCCTCACCCCCCATCACCCCCACCCCTCACCCCCCACCCCTCACCCCCCATCACCCCCACCCCTCACCCCCCCACCCCTCACCCCCCATCACCCCCACCCCTCACCCCCCATCACCCCCACCCCTCATCCCTCACTCCCCCACTCCCCCCCATCACCCCCACCCCTCACCCCCACCCCTCATCCCCCACTCCCCCCCATCACCCCCACCCCTCACCCCCACCCCTCATCCCCCACTCCTCCCCATCACCCCCACCCCTCACCCCCACCCCTCATCCCCCACTCCCCCCCATCACCCCCACCCCTCACCCCCCACTCCCCCCCATCACCCCCACCCCTCACCCCCACCCCTCATCCCCCACTCCCCCACATCACCCCCACCCCTCACCCCCCACTCCCCCCCATCACCCCCACCCCTCACCCCCCCCATCACCCCCACCCCTCACCCCCCCCATCACCCCCACCCCTCACCCCCCACTCCCCCCCATCACCCCCACCCCTCACCCCCCACCCCTCACCCCCCCACCCATCATCCCCCACTCCCCCCCATCACCCCCACCCATCACCCCCCACCCCCACCCCTCACTCCCCCCCATCACCCCCACCCCTCACCCCCCACCCCTCACTCCCCCCCATCACCCCCACCCCTCACCCCCCACTCCCCCCCATCACCCCCCCATCAACCCCACCCCTCACCCCCATCACCTCCCCATCACCCCCCCCATCACCCCCCCCCATCACCGCCACTCCCCCCCCACCCATCACCCCCCACTCCCCCCTCCCCCATAACTCCCCCATCCCCCCCAACTCCCCACCACTCCGCACGCGTTACCTCGGCAACGGCGTGACGTCACTGCCGCGGTTGCTGTTACCGCCCCGCCCCACAACGTAATAACGTTCCAGGGGGGGGGATACGTGTTTAAATTTATTTTACAAAAACAACTTTGCTTCGCTTAGCAGCAGGCGTATTAAATTGTATCTTTAGAAGGAACGTTTATGACGGTATCGGTCGATCTTAACCGATTTTATCTATGTAAGCATAAAAAAAGAAAAACGAGCGTCCAGAACCTAAAGTGCCATTTACCTCGTTATGCTTAACTGTTTCTCACCGGAAACTTTCTTTTAACCCGCCAATGAACGACCACCGAGGGGATGGGGTGAAAGGGGGCCGGGGGAGTGGGGGTGATGACGTCATGCCGATCGCGACCCCGTGCGATGACGTCATCGCGCGCTTTGGGCGGGGACCTGGGTGGGTCGGGGGACGGACGGGTGCGTGATGACGTCACGCCGATCACGCGCCCTCTCGCGATGATGTCATCGCGCTGTTTTTTGTCGTGACGTCACGCCGGTGTTTAGTGGGATGACGTCACGCGCGGTACGTCGCCGTGATTGTTGATTGTTTATTTATTTACTCGGCTCGCCGCCGCCGCCGCGAGCCGGGGGGCGTCTAAGGCATCGCCGTGGGGAGTTAAAAACACAACCACAACTACCACAACTACCACAACCACACAACGACACAACTACCACAACCACAACTACTACAACCACACAGTGACACACACAGTGACACACACAACCACACACACAGTGACACACACAACCACACACACAACCACACACACAGTGACACACACAGTGACACACACAGTGACACACACAACCACACACACACAGTGACACACACAACCACACACACAACCACACACACACAGTGACACACACACAACCACACACACACAGTGACACACAACCACACACACACAGTGACACACACAACCCCACACACAACCACACACACAGTGACACACACACAACCACACACACACAGTGACACACAACCACACACACACAGTGACACACACAACCACACACACAACCACACACACAGTGACACACACACAACCACACACACACAGTGACACACAACCACACACACACAGTGACACACACAACCACACACACAACCACACACACAGTGACACACACACAACCACACACACACAGTGACACACAACCACACACACACAGTGACACACACAACCACACACACAGTGACACACATCTACACACACACAACCACACACACAGTGACACACACAACCACACACACAGTGACACACACAACCACACACACAGTGACACACATCTACACACACACAGTGACACACACAACCACACACACACAGTGACACACATCTACACACACAGAGTGCGCGGGTAGCGGCCCCAGCAGCCCTCTGGTGAGGAGGCCTCAGCCCCCTGGTGAGGAGACGGCCTCTGGTGAGGAGCCCTCTGGTGAGGAGCCCTCAGCCCTCTGGTGAGGAGGCCTCAGCAGCCCTCTGGTGAGGAGGCCTCTGGTGAGGCGGCCCCCTGGTGAGGAGACCCTTTGGTGAGGCGGCCTCAGCAGCCCTTTGGTGAGGAGGCCCTCTGGTGAGGAGGCCTCAGCCCCCTGGTGAGGAGACAGCCTCTGGTGAGGAGCCCTCTGGTGAGGAGCCGGCCTCTGGTGAGGAGGCCCTTTGGCTCATTGACCCCCCCCCCCCCCCCCGGCTGTCGTTCGCGATGGAGGCCGCCGTTGTTGTTGCTGTCGTTGTTGGTTGGTGATGTTGTTGGTTGGTGATGTTGTTGCTGTTGTTGTTGCTGCTGTCTTTGTTGTTGTTGGTGTCTTTGTTGTTGTTGGTGATGTTGTTGGTTGGTGATGTTGTTGTTGTTGCTGTCGTTGTTGTTGGTTGTGTTGTTGGTTGGTGGTGTTGTTGTTGTGGTTGTGTTGCGTAGAGTGGTTGTGTCACGTGATGGTTGTCTGGTATGGTGTAATGTGGTTGTGCAGTGTGGTGTGTGTGGTTGTGTAGAGTGTGGTTGTGTGTAGTGTGTGGTGGTGTGGATGTGTAGTGTGAATGTGTAGTGTGGTTGTGTAGTGTGGTAGTGTGTGGTGGGTGAATGTGTAGTGTGGTTGTGTAGTGGTGTAGTGTGTGGTTGTGTCACGTGGTGGTGTAGTGTGATGGTTGTCTGGTATGGTGTAATGTGGTTGTGCAGTGTGGTTGTGTGGTCTGGTTTTGTAGAGTGTCAGTGTGGAGTGGTGTACAGTGGTTGTGTAGTGTCACTGTACAGTGGTTATGTGTAGTGGTGTAGTGTGATGGTTCTGAGTGGTGTAGTGTGATGGTGCTGAGTGGTTGTGTAGTGTGTGGTTGTGTAGTGTGTAGTGGTGTAGTGTGTGGTTGTGTAGTGGTGTAGTGTGTGGTTGTGTAGTGGTGTAGTGTGTGGTTGTGTAGTGGTGTAGTGTGTAGTAGTGCAGTGTGTGGTGGTGTAGTGTGTAGTGGTGTAGTGTGTGGTTGTGTAGTGGTGTAGTGTGTGTTTGTGTAGTGGTGTAGTGAGTGGTTGTGTAGTGGTTCAGTGTGTGGTTGTGTGTAGTGGTGTAGTGTGTGGTTGTGTAGTGTGTGGTTGTGTAGTGGTGTAGTGTGTAGTGGTGTAGTGTGTAGTGGTGTAGTGTGTGGTTGTGTAGTGGTGTAGTGTGTGGTTGTGTAGTGGTGTAGTGTGTGGTTGTGTAGTGTGTGGTTGTGTAGTGTGTAGTAGTGCAGTGTGTAGTGGTGTAGTGTGTGGTTGTGTAGTGTGTGGTTGTGTAGTGGTGTAGTGTGTGGTTGTGTAGTGGTGTAGTGTGTGGTTGTGTAGTGTGTAGTGTGTGGTTGTGTAGTAGTGCAGTGTGTAGTATTGCAGTGTGTAGTGGTGTAGTGTGTGGTTGTGTAGTGGTGTAGTGAGTGGTTGTGTAGTGGTGTAGTGAGTGGTTGTGTAGTGGTTCAGTGTGTGGTTGTGTGTAGTGGTGTAGTGTGTAGTGGTGTAGTGAGTGGTTGTGTAGTGGTGTAGTGAGTGGTTGTGTAGTGGTGTAGTGAGTGGTTGTGTAGTGGTGTAGTGAGTGGTTGTGTAGTGGTGCAGTGTGTGGTTGTGTAGTGAGTGGATGTGTAGTGTGGAGTGCATGTGTAGTGTGGTTGTGTAGTGGTGTAGTGTGATGGTGGTGAGTGGTTGTATTAGCATCACATAGCTACTCAGAGCAACCACCAGCACCACGACCAGCATCACATGGGTTGAATGAACAGGGTGAATGAGTGATCGCCGTGTAATCAAGTTCAAGTTCATTTATTAGGTATAGCCCTGTGAGCCATTCGGCTCTTGAATCGGGTGCAACCGCAACAAACAAAAAACAAAAACATGAACAAAAAAACATCTTAAAGTGAATATGTGACTGAGTGCAAACAGAAAATCCAAGAAAAGACAGCAAAATATTGCAGTAATGAGAATATGAAGAGGGAACAGCAACGGTGGTGGTGGCTATGAGAGGGAGATGAAGGGGGGCTCGTGGGGTGAGGAGCAGAAACTGGGACATGCATACTTCACCACACTGGGCAGTGCTGATTGGTTCCTATATCACCGGACCCGTTCTGGTGTTACTCGCCGCTGTCGTTAGCCGTGAACTCAGATAGAACTCGCTTACGACGTAGCGCTGTTATCACCGATTAAATCATGCCGAGGACAAAACGTGTATTGTGGAGAGCACTGTCGGGTCCATTGCTACTTGCATGATTTGTCCTCCTTGTCTGTTCTTCTTTTAGCAACAACGGCAGCAACAGCAACTTTGAGCAGCAGCACTGGCAACGTGAAGACAATTGCAGCGGACGCAGCAACAGCAGTGGAATTGAAGACAGCATCAGCAGCAACAGCATCGACATTGGCAACAGCAGCACCATTGGCAACAGCAGCAGCATCAGTCGTAATAATCATCAGAATCACCACACGCACAACAGCAGCGTTACATCAACAATAGCATCGCCACACGCAGCAGCGGGAAGCTCTGTATCACAAAATAATTCCTGGCTCCACCATCTCCACCACCACCATTGCCGCCACCGGCCAAACACACTAGCGCCAGCGCAATGACTCGCCTCACATGATGGACACGACCGCAGCCATGCCTGCAGAAGATGGCGGCGGCGGCGGTGGCGCTGGCGGTGCTGACGGCAGTAACAGCAGCAGCAACAACAGCAGCAGCAGTGTCACCCTACGCATTGGCACGAGTGTCAAAGCGGGCCAAGCTCCCAGTTGCGCCGCCACCGCGGCAGTGGGCGCCACCGCGCCGGTGAGCGCCACCGCGCCGGTGAGCGCCACCGCGCCGGTGAGCGCCACCGCGCCGGTGAGCGCCACCGCTCCGTCCTCCCCGGGGCCGCCCTCGCGCTCGCTCCTGGTGTTCGCCACGGGCTGGGCGCTGCTGGCCGCGGGGCTCTCCCTGCCGCTGCTGCTGCCGGCGCTGCTGCCGGGGCTGCGGGCGCTGCTGCTGGCGCTGCTGTGGGGCGTCTGCTTCGCGCTCGGGGTGGTGGACGCGCTGAGGCCTGGCGCCGCCGCCGCCGCCGAGCCCGACCCGCGCTTCCGCCAGCGGCGACTGTGGAGGCGCCGGCGGCTCCAGCGGCGGTCGCTGGCCCAGGAGCGCCTGGAGGAGCTCTCGGTGAGGCGGCCGCCTCGGGCGGCTCGCGGGGGGAGGGAGGCTGGCGCTAGAGTCCGAACGTCTTGTCGAGATTCATACGGCGCATTTTAGCCGAGGCGCTTTCGAGTTGAATTTCAAGATTGTACGTGGCGTGAGAATGATTTGAAATGAAGGATTGGGGCTGTCGTGAGTGGTGGCGTAGTTTATATGGCGGCTGAACCAAGAGGGGTTGGGATGGGCGGCAGAAATCTGGGGTTGGTCTGAAAAGTGACGAGGCGTCGTGCGTTGGGAAGACAAAGGGGGGGGGTGGGGGGGTTTGCGATGGGCAAAAGCCTGGCATGGGGAGGCTGACCCCTGACCTGGTACCACTGAGGATGGGAAGCCACGGTGGCTGGGAGATGTTAACTACCTCGCCTGATCGACAGGAGGTCGTGGGTTCGATCCCGACCCTGATGACGCCTGCTGTATATTTGGGGTTTGCGTGTCTCTCCTCTTCCCCGTGGTCGCGTGGATTTGTCTCCTGGTCCTCCGGTTTTTCCCTCCACATTTAGAGTCAACGTCACGTGTTCAGGGCATTTGGCTGCTGCTATAAATCTCCACGTCATAAGCAACTTCGCTGAGCTGTCATTTGTGGCCGGGTCACTTCTGAAAAGGTGCTACACAGCTCAGTAAGGGGCCTTACCTGGTAAAATAAAAAAATAGTTAAGTTTTAGTTCAGGATGTATGTGAGCACTAAGGTTGTCATTTCTCAAGTATCCTGGGTTCTAATCCTCGCTCCGGATGTAGTCTCCTGGTCTGAATGTCGCTGTCTCTCTTAGGGGGGTTCATAATGGCTATGTTCGGGCACTGCAGCCAGTACCGCTGAGGTGCTGGGTTTGAATCTGGGTTTGCGCTCACCGCCCGACGCTTTGAAACCGTCTCCGAACTTGGAATTTATCCAAACGAAGTGCAGAATTAATGAATGTAAATAGCGAAGCTCAAATTTTCGTGCAGTCGTTCATGACCAGGCTGAGACCATCAACTCGGTAAACTTGAGATCCCGGTTCTCGACCACGCTGCGACGAGCGAGCATTACTCGCCGTTGTCGCTTGCGCGCGTGGGAAAGTGCCCTGCCCTCTCCCCTGTGTGGCCCAGGGCTCACGCGAAGCGGTCTCGCATGCAGCTCTGTGATATCCACTTCCACGGGGGCCGTGCTCTGACAACACAGAGAGGGTCGCCCTGCCCTGTGAGAGTTCTCGATGGATTCTTGATCCCGTGATGCGACGTCGATGGCGCAAACCGGCGTTTAATAATGTCAAGGATAATCGTGCATATGCACGTACGTAGCCAACCGTGCTAATTGTAGGTGCGGGGGAAGGACAGCAAACTAAACGCAACAACAAAGAGCGGTTCTAAAGAAATAGTAGACGTCTGTGGCGCCTCCCTTCATGCGTTTGCCCTCGGGAAGTATTGCATCGGCGATGATGAAGTTACGCTTCAGGCCGCGTGTGACGCCGCGGGGTTGAAAACGCGTGCGTACGTACGTCAATGACAACACTGCCAGCGTGTTGGCCTTGAAAAGAAAGGCAGGCAGTATTGTGACGTCGTCAGGAGGCAGCGGCACGGCTTGCCCCGCGCTGGTCGGCAAGGCGCCGGTGTTAATCTCCCGAGTTTTGGGCCACGGGCCTAAACGGCAACACAACTTTATAGCAAACTTTAAGTCGGATTGGATCATCGTCACGAGAGTTCCCGTGAACTGCCCCCCCCCCCCCTCTTCCCTCCGTTACGGACGGGCGGACGGAGTTTTGGCAATGGCGCTCTTGGTCCGAGTTGGAAAGCCGCGAAAAAATGTATCACGAGGAAGAGGAGGAGGGGGGAGGAGGAGGAGGGGGGAGGAGGAGGAGGGGGGAGGAGGAGGAGGGGGGAGGAGGAGGAGGGGGGAGGAGGGTCTTTGCCACGCCGCCCTTGTGATGTGCGCCCACTCTCGCCCCCCCCGTGCCGTGTCGTGTTGCAGAGGGCGATAATGGCGATCCCGTCGCAGTGCTCGCAGAACAGACGGATCCACTTGTCTCACACCATGGACAAGGCGCTCAAGGAAGGTGCGATGAACAGCTGATAGACAAAAACAAAGACAAAGATGCCCACACTACACAGCCACATCACACAACCACACCACTCAACCACACTACACAGCCACACAACCATAAACAATAACCGCACCTGCAAAGACCCCCCCCCCGCCGTGTAGCATTAACAGGCTGTTAGGGCAAGTTCAATTAGCGAGCGCCTATTAAGGCCGGCACAGCACACAAGCGGGTGGTGGGCGGCCAGCACCACGGCCGGACGTCTTTATCTCCCGAGTGGCAATGCTTACACATCGCACCAAGTATATTTAAGGCCGAGTCGACCTAGGGGAGGCCCAAGACCAGTTCAGATATTCGTCACCGGTGTTGGCCGTGAGCGGCTATCGAATTCGGGTCCCCATTGACAGACGTGCGCACATACAAACAACAGTCGGTCCCCTGAGTAGCCACAAAGACTCTAGGGGCGAGTGCTGTTAGCGAGCACCTATGAAGGCCGGCGCCACGCCCAGCCGTCTCCGTGTCAGTGTTTACACACCGCACCAGGTACTCGTTTATGTCTTTCCGTGTCTCCACGCATCTCCCTCCGCCCCCCTCCCACCTCACCCCGCGTCCCTCCACGCCGCCGTGCAGTGTGGGAGTACGTGCTGCGGGACTTTGTGCTCTCGTGGTACGCGCCCCTGAGCCTGGACCAGGCGACGCTGCAGGCCCTGCTCACCGAGGACCTGTGGGCGGCCGTGCGGGAGGCCCGCTCGCGGCTGGGCCGCGTGGACGCGCCGCGCCTCGTTGCCCGGGACTTGGCGCGCGCCCTCACCGCGCACTTTGCCGCGCTGCGCGTCGCCAGCGACAGGTGTGCCGCACTCGCGGGTGCCGGTGCCGCTGTAGCTTTCACCGTTGCGGTTTGTCTTTTAGCACTGACACACTGTGCTTGTATGATAATAAATGTTTATTTTAGCAGGTAAGGCCCGCTGAGCTGTATAGTTCTTTTTCAGAAGCGACCTGGCCACAAATGATAGCTCAGCAAAGTGGCTCATTATGTCGAAATGTATAGAAGTAGCCAAATACTGTAAACGCGTGTTGCTAAATGTGGAGGGAAAAACCAGAAGACCCGGGGAAAAATCCACGCTACCACGGGTAGAGAGAGACACACAAACTCCAAATATACAGCAGCAGGTGTCAGGGTCGGGATCGAACCCACGACCTCCTGCAGACCAGGCGAGGTAGTTAACATCTCGCCACCTTGGCAAGATGTAGGCTTGTTCCGTGATCGACAGCCGGGAGACAATTCACTCGTGGGCGTGACTTGCGCTGCGATTGGCAGGTGGGAGGCGGAGCGCCTCCCCTTCCCGCTGCACCCGTGCCTGCGCAGCTCGCAGGCGGAGCTGCAGTTTGTGCGCGCGTGCACGCGGGCGCTGCTGCTGGCGCTGCTGCCGCGGCGCGACGCTCGCTCCCTGGGCCTCGTCGTCGTCCTCACGGAGGTGTTCGCCGTGAGAGGTGCCCACACTGCCTCCTGCCCCCCACGTCCCCCCCACGTCCCCCCCACGCCCCCCACCTTCGCGCCTCGGCCGCGTTCTCGGTTCGGGTCGGCGCTGGAAGTCGCCGATCCTATCTCCCGACGCGGCAGTCTAAAACGACGGCGCCCCAACAGTCTGGTTTATTTTGTTTGTGCCCGAGCAGGGAGCGGGAACGGTCGCGGTTTAGGGCCCTGCGCTGCGAACTCGGCGACCCGGGTTCCATTCCCGCTCGCGACCAATAACAGCGGGCAAATATTTGATCCGGGGAGGCACCGGGGAGGCAAAGGCGGCCGGACGTGGCGTTTGACCGCCCGCCCACTCGTTAGCCGTGCTACTCGCGACAGCCGCCGTGACAGGTGGGGGAGGGCTGGGGGGTGATCCTTGTCTCTGGTCTCAGTACTGAAGCCGCTGGTGGAGCTGCTGAGCGACCCGGACTTCGTGAACCGCTCGCTCCTCGCCGAGCTGGAGCGTCGCGGCAGCGGCGGCGCGGGGAGCAAGCACCCCCGCTCCTACGCCTACGCGCCCAGCTACGAGGACTTCGTCAAACTCATCCACGGCAGCAGCGACATCGACTTCCTCATGCAGCTCAGGTGACCCCTTCGACCCCCCCCCCCACCCACGCGTCTGCCTCCGTCACGACTCCGACCCACGCGCCGCACCGGCACCGTCCGTCTGACAATCTTTCTGGCCTCTCGTGGGCCTCCTGCGCTCAAGAGGAGAGGAGGGCGACAGTCGAGCGGCTGATGCGTCGTCCGCGTGTGCCCGTGCGCGCGTCCGCGTGTGCAGGTACCAGATCATGGTGGAGATCATTCAGGCCACCACGCTCAGCCACTTCCCGCAAGTCAAGAACGGTGAGAGGCCGATGGCGCCGAGGGCTCAGAGCCCGGTATCCCCCGCTAAACCCGCGGAGCCTCCGTTCACCCGCGGCCTACGAGCACCAAAGCAAAGGTCCCCCCCGCCGCGCACTCGCCCCCCCCCCCCCCCCGCGTAGCCTTCAAGGGGCTGTCGGGGGCAAGAGCCGTTCGCGAGCAACGCCTGCGAAGGCCGGCACGGCGCGCGAGGCGGTGGGGTGAGCCGGCACCAACGCACGCCCCGCCGCCTTTGTCTGGCGACGTTGACGCACCGCGCGAGCTGTCACTCGTTCACGGGGAGCGAGTCGAGCGAGCGGAGGCTCGGCAGCGGTTCGCCCATCGGACGTCCGTGCGGAAGAGCTTCCTAGCTCGTCGGATGTCCTCCAGGATAAAGGAATTTTCTGACTCCGTTATTGTTCGCGAGCGGCGATCGAACCCCCGGGGTCGCCGGGCTCATAGCGCGGCGCGCTAACCAGCCCGGCCTCCGCACCTCCGATTGGCACGGTTGGCTACGTACTGTGCGAAAGAAGTTCAGTGCACATCCACGCACACGTGCGCGCACACGTGAGCACGCGGAGATGGACTGATGTTGACTTGCACGGATCACCAGGTTACCGCTTCGTGACCGTGTCCATAGCAACGAGACGGGTTGATCAGAGCTCGTGGTGCAACGCCGCCGGCTCCATTGATAACGGATTAATCGACGAAGATTTGTAAATAACCAGCGTGACCTCCCGTCCAGCGGCACACGCGGGAATAGGTGCGAGAGTCGTTATACCCACTCCCTCTCGTGCTGCACGAGTGGTCGAGGAACCGAAGCGATCATTATCGGTGGAGTCCTCGATGACTCCGGTAATCGGATTACAGCGCCGGTGCGAATTAAACCACGAGGACCAACTGGCCCTGGGCTCCCTCCACCGCCCCCTCCTGCTGCCCCCTCCTCCCCATCCTCAGCCCCTTCCCCCCCCCTCCACATCCCTCGACTACCCCTTCCCTCCCCCCCACGCTCCCCCGCCCCTCCCTCCTCGCGCGACGACGGAGACGAACGCGCGAGAGAATCAATTCGAGGTGCGACGCGTCGAACCAATTCCAACCCCCGCCCCCTCTACCCCCCACCCACACGCCCCCCCCACCCCCACGTGCCCCCTCTACCCCTCACCCCCCCGTGCCCCCCCACCCCCACGCGCTCCCCCCACCCGCCAGTGAGCAGGGAGGCCGGCAAGGGGGAGCTGCTGCGCTCACGGAACGTGAAGCGCTACCTGAACCAGCTGACGGTGGCGCGGGCGCAGTGCGACAAGCGCATCGCGCTGCTGGGGGGGGGGGCCTGGCCCCCGCGGGGAGGGGGCACGGCCGTCCCCGACGGGGAGAGGGGGGGGCCGCCCGCCACCACCCCGCACCGTCGCGTGAGTCTCACCCGCCACCACCCCACACCGCCGCGTGAGTCACGATGGCTGCGTCAGCGCCGCCGGCATTCTGGGTTAAATTCCCGGTTTCAGCCCCTCCTGAGATTTGACCACCCCACGCCGTGCCGGCCTTGCTCTCGGCTCTCGTCCCAACAGCCTTGCGTGGGCTACGCGGGGGATCTTAGTCTTTACGCGCGTACCTGTGTGCGTCCGTGCGTACGTGCGGGTGGAGCGGTGGTGCAGCGCGCCGCGCCACGAACCCGACGGCCCGAATTCGATTCCCGCTCACGGCCACCAACAACACCGGTGACGATTATCTGAACCCGTCCTGGGCCTCTCCATGGTCGACTCGGCCTCAAATGAGTACCCCGGCGCGGTGTGTAGTAAACATCGCCACTCGGGAGACAAAGGCGGCCGGGCGTGGTGCTGGCCGCCCACGCCGTCGCGCGCCACGCCGGCCTTCACAGGCGCTCGCGGACAGCACTCGCCACGACGTTCTGTCAAGGCTGCACGGGGGATCGGCGTCCTTGTGCGTGCGTGCGATTCCCGTCGCAGCTGCTGAGGTTCGAGGAGGTGCTCGCCAGCGCGTCCGCGCGCCAGTGCTTCGGCCGCTACCTGGAGCGCTGGGACAAGCGCACGCTGCTGGACTACTGGGAGGCGGTGGAGCACCTCAAGCAAGCGCCCAAGGTCGCTGGCGACACTACAACGGCGCCAGCCGCAGCCTGATAATGCCGGTTGTTAACTACCAGCAAAATGTCTCCAACCGGTTGTTAAGTGTGACGGACCGGTGTCTAGACACCACACAGACTGACTGGTACTAGTGGGGTGTCTACACGCCACACAGACAGACTGGTCCTGGTGGGTCTCTACACAACACACAGACAGACTGGTACTGGTGGGTCTCTACACACCACACAGACAGACTGGTACTGGTGGGGTCTCTACACAACACACAGAGAGTCTGGTCCTGGTGGAGTCTCTACACACCACACAGACTGTTTGGTCCTTGTAGGGTGTCTACACACCACACAGACAGACTGGTACTGGTAAGGTCTCTACACACCACAGACAGACTGGTACTGGTAGGGTCTATAGACAGACCCAGACAGACTGGTACTGGTGGGGTCTCTACACAAGACACAGACAGACTGGTCCTGGTGGGGTCTTATAGACAGACCCAGACAGACTGGCCTCACAGTAGCAGGCGACTCATCGCTACGAACTTGTAGCCAGTTGCGTGAAACAGCCGGAGGGCAGTCCTCCCTCGGCTCCGATTTAAATCACTTGATGGGAGAGCCTCGCTCTGGGAATTCTACTTCTTCACAACTGGCCACTGCTCCTTTAAACCGCTGACCTTCCGACCTTCGACCCCTACGCCCCACCCCCCCCCCGCACAGACCGACACGGCTCAGATCGTGGGCGAGATTTACCAGGACTTCTTCGTGGACAGCCGGCGCGCCATCGCGGTCGACCGCGCCAGCTACCGCGCGGTGCAGGAGTGCATCTCGGGCGAGCGCGGCCCCGAGGTGCTGCACGGCATCCAGGCGGGCGTGGCCTCCTCGCTGCGGGACAAGTACTACCCCTCGTTCCTCGTGAGCCGGGCCTACGAGGCGTGGCTGGCGGGCAGCGCCCGGGAGGGCGACGCGGGCGCCGGCACGCCGCCCGCCCCCGACCGGGCCGAGGGGCGCCGCTCTGCCGTCGTGCGGGGCTCCGGGGCGGCCGACGAGGAGGAAGGGGAGGAGGAGGAAGATGACGAGGAGGAGGAGGAGGAGGAAGAGGAAGATGTGGTGGTGGTGGAGGAGGAAGTGGTGGAGGAGGAGGAGGAGGACGAGGAGGAGGAGGAGGAGATGGAAGAAGACGACGGCGAGGAGGGAGACGAAGATGGAGGCGCTGGCGCTCGCGTGAGTGCGGCCGCTGTTGTGTTGGGCGGCAGCAGAGGGCAGCAGCGGAGGGCAGAAGTAGGGGGGAGGCTTTGGCATAATTGTGTTGGTGCGTGCGCATTTCCTTGTGTGCAATTCTGTGTGTGTCTGTGCACTGTTGCGGTTAGCATCCTGCGTTATGAACCCAGCGACCCGAGTTCGATCGTTCGATGATTAACTGAACCAGTTCTGGGCCTCTCCTAGGTCGACTCAGCCTCAAAACGAACTTCACCGCCGCCGAGACAAAAGGCACCCAGGCACGTGTGGTGCTGTCCACGCCGCCACACACACGCCACACCCCCCGCTCGCCAACAGCATTCGTGCCGACAGTCCCTAACGATGTCGGCTAATCCGGCAGCAGACTAAACCCCCGCCACGGTAATGTGGAATTTCCACCACTGGCCCCGAGCCTGATGGCGGCCGTTTGCTCGTTTGAACGGGGAGGTGCGCGTTTGGCTGCAATCGCAGACTTGGGTCAATCTCTTGCCGAAAAACATTCCCCAAGTAGCACGATCGGTTATTATTGGGCTCGGAATCGCCGTGTGAAAATTTGTATCTTTTTATGTAACCGTAACCCCCCTCCACCGGCCCAGCGGGAGAGCGAGCGAAATGGAGTTGTCACGTCGCGCAGGGAAAACGTGCCGATTGATTTTAGTTGATCGGCAAAACCCGAGGCGGAGGGGGGATGTTGAAAAGCCCGAGCAACTTTTGACAATTTTTCTCTGAAGACGTTTTTCTGGAGATTCCAGCCAGCAATCGTCGTCATCATCATCGTAAGGTGATAACAGCAGCTCAAGCCCTCATCCCGTGGTTTGACTGCCTCCGTCCGCTGGTGGTGGCGGTGGTGGTTAGCGTTTAGCGTCACACAAATCGACACGACGATCCAAACTGAGGGAAACCCAATTTGTGATTCGTGACATATGGTAGAGAAAGAATAGAGAGAGATCGCGAGCACACGGGCACCACGGGGCACTTACCAGCAGTGCAGCAGCAGCAGCAGCTCCCGCACGCGCGCGGAACTCAGTGTGCGCTGACCGTGCAAATTCACTTTCACACGCGCACGCACACACACTCGCACACTCGCACGCGCACACACACACGCACGTACACACGAACACACACACACTCGCACTTCCACACGCACACGCGCGCACACAAACGCTCGCACATGCACACACGTATGCTTGCACATGCATGCTCGCCACAGCAGGAACCGCACGCCGCGCGTGCCGCGTTTAATGGCGAGCCAGAGTTTTAGGCCAATCGCACATCGACACCACTGCCCGCACCCGGCCTCTCCCCACGCTTTGTTGTTGCTGGTGTCACGACGGCTGCTATTCTTCTTGCACTTGCAGTGTCCAGCCAAGTTTGTACGGTAGGGGGTGGAGGAGATGGTGTTTATCCAAAGGCCTCCGTACTGATAAGATAATGCTGCTGCTGCTGTCGATGGGAATGCTGCTTCTGCTGCTGCTGATGATAATATAATGCTACGATTGTTGTTGTTCATGGTGATAAGGCTCTTGATGAGAGTGCTGTATTAATTCTAGATTTGAAGTTTTCGTGACTGCAAGGATCCATACTCTTTGGTTTTTTCGGTAAAGTCACGTAGGTGAAAACTAAATAAATAAATAAACTAAATTAAATCTCACGACGTTTCGGAAGCAACACAAGCATCAGTCATCAGGTGTGACTGCTCCAGCAAGTAGCGTATGAATTTTGCTGGAGCAGTCACACCTGATGACCGATGCTTGTGTTGCTTCCGAAACGTCGTGGTTTAATTTAGTTGTTTTATTTTATTTAGTTTTCACCTACGTGATTTTACCAAAAAACCCAAAGATAATGCCGTGCCTCTGCCGATGATGACAACGACGATAAAACTTGAGCTTCTATTCCTGCTGTCACCCCCCCCTCCCCAACCCCACCCCCCCACGCAGGCCGAGGAGGGTGGCGGCCGCGGTGGCCTTGGCAGGGGCGGCGCGGGGGGCGGCGCGGGGGGCGGGGGCAGCCCCCCCTGCGAGCAGACGGACGCCGCCGTCTCCAAGCTGCACCAGCTGAGCGAGAAGCTGGAGTACAAGCGGCAGGCGCTGGCCTCCATCCTCACCGCCCCCAAGCCGGACCGCAAGGTGCGGCGGCCGTCGTCACGCCGACCCTGGTGGCGGTGGCGGTGACTCCGCGCTCGTTCATTTGTTCGTTCACGGCAACAACGCTCGGGACAAATGACATGGAACAAATGAGACACTGTACAGACGAGACGGAACAATGCACACAGAACAATACAAACGAGACAGAACAATGCACACAGACATAACAATACACACAGAACAATACACACAGAACAATACACACAGAACAATACAAACGAGACAGAACAATACACACAGAACAATACAAACGAGACAGAACAATACATACAGAACAATGCACACAGAACAATACAAACGAGACAGACCTATGCACACAGAACAATGCACACAGAACAAAACAAACGAGACAGAACAATGCACACAGAACAATACAAACGAGACAGACCAATGCACACAGAACAATGCACACAGAACAATACATACAGAACAATGCACACAGAACAATACAAACGAGACGGAACAATACAAACGAGACAAACAGAACAATACAAACGAGACAGAACAATACAAACGAGTGAGCACAAACGAGCCGCTGCGTCCCCCCCCCCCGCCCCCAGATGGTGGGCAAGCTGGAGAGTGACATCGCGGCGCTCAGGAAGGAGTGCCAGGAGCTGGACTTCCACATCGAGCGCACGGACACGTGGTGGGAGAAGATCGGCCAGTGGACGGCCACCATCTCCCACTGCGAGGTGACACGCGTGTGGCGTGTGTCTGTGTGTGTGTCTGTGTATGTGTCTGTGTGTGTCTGTGTGTGTGTGTGTCTGTGTGTGTTTGTCTGTCTGTGTGTGTCTGTGTGTGTGTCTGTGTGTGTGTTTGTCTGTGTGTGTCTGTGTCTGCGTGTCTGCCTGTGTGTCTGTGTGTGTCTGTGTGTGTGTCTGTGTGTGTGTCTCTGTCTGTCTGTCTGTCTTTGTGTCTGTGTGTGTGTCTGTGTCTGTCTGTGTGTCTGTCTGTGTGTGTGTGTGTCTGTGTGTCTGTCTGTGTGTCTGTGTGTGTGTGTCTGTGTCTCTGTCTGTGTGTCTGTCTGTGTGTGTATCTGTGTCTCTGTCTGTCTGTCTTTGTGTCTGTGTGTCTGTCTGTGTATCTGTTTTTGCGTTACGTACAGACGTGTGCATGTCGCTCACACACACACACAACAAACATCTTTGTCTTGTCAAATGATGCGGTGTGTAAACATCGTCACTGGGGAGACAAAGGCGGCCTGGCGTGGTGTTGGCCACCCACCCCCTCGTGTGCCGTGTGAGTTATGAGTTCGCGCGCCGTGTGTGAGTGTGAGTTCGCGCACTGTGTGTGAGTTGTGAGTTAGTGTGCCGTGTGTGAGTGTGAGTTCGCGCACCGTGTGTGTGTGTGAGTTAGTGCGCCGTGTGTGTGAGTTGTGAGTTAGTGCTGCGTGTGACCGTGCGTGCTTTGCGTCCGTGTGCGCGGGAACGGCTTCCCCAGGCGGAGGAGGAGGGCGGCGAGCAGGTGCCGTGCTACGTGATCATGGTGCAGCTGGGCCGTGCCGAGCGCCCCTCGGCCTCCTCCATGGGCTGGGTCGTGTCCCGCACCCTCGCCGACTTCCACCGGCTGCACCGCCGCCTCTGCGAGGTGCAACCCCCCCCCGCCCCCCACACCCCCCCCGCCTCCCCCACACCCCCTACCCCCCCCACCCCACGCCCCGTGCGGCCCCCCGCAAGCGGCGAGCGCCGGCGTAGGCCGACGACGCGTCGTGACGACCGGGCGGCGTGGCCGGAGCCTCCCCGGTGCGGGTTGTTTTATGATGCGCGCTGCGGCAGCGGGCGCTCGTTTTTAGGCCGAGTCGACCTAGGGGAAGGCCAAGGAGGGGGTTCCGATGATCGTCGCTGGTGTTGGCCGCGAGCGGGCATCGAACTTCAGTTTGTAGCGCAGCGCAGAGCTAACCGCTGCGTGTGTGTGTGTCTGTGTGTGTGTGTGTCTGTGTGTGTCTGTGTGCGTGTGCATGGAAGTGGTAGTGTAGTGGTTAGCGCTATGAACCCAGCGACCCGAGTTCGATTCCTGCTCACGGCCAACACCAGTGACGATTATCTGAACTGGTCCTGTGGTGGGGAGCGGTAGCGTCGTGGTTAGCGCGCTGCGCTACGAACCCCGGGCGACCCGCTCATGCCCAACACCAGTGATGCCACGGTGGCTAGGAGATGTTAACTGCCTCCACAAGTCTCTTAAAGGCTACACGGGCAGGGGAGGTGGGTGGGAGGATTTAGTTTTGATTGTGTAACTCTGTGCGTGCAGTGCTGCCCTGCACTGAAGAAAATGCCTCTGCCCACCCTGAGTAAGATCCCCTTCAAATCCATCGACCAGAAGTTCCTGGAGAAGTCAAAGAACCAGCTCAACCTCTTCCTGGAGGTACCCAGCCGCGACACGAAACAACACACCGTGACGGGGCCGGATTAAGGGTCTTGTCGGTCCTAGGCCACTTCTGTTCCGTTAGGCCTTCAGTGATCAGTTCAACACGGAGGCTTTCGCGACCAGTGTCATCTATCACGGACATTTTTTTGGGTTAGATCGCGTAAAATAAAATGTGTCGTTAAACCCGCCACCACCCGACACAGCCAATAAGTAAGGTTTGTCACGTAAACAGAACGTGCCAATTCGTCGCTAGTACAGCACTAACCGGTGTGTTGGAGAGCAAATCCACACTCGGATTGTAAATGTTGTGGATCTGCTCTCCAACACGAATCGACTTGCCAGACAGTCTGCCTCCTCCCGTGTCCGTCCCTCCACGTAGAGAGAACTCAACTACTTTGTTACCCATCGCCTCATTTTAACCAGCGGCGTTGGTTTCATTCCGAGCTCCGTTAGAAACGCAATGGTTCTCCGGTAATGACAAAGTGACCACTTTTCTACTCGGCTACCATCTTCACGAAATATCAACTACTGAGTGAAGGCTTCCCGTTCACTCGCTCACTCATTCCCTAGCTGTCTTTCTCACTCGCTCATTCACTCGCTTGCTCACTCACATGGTACCATTCTCACTCACTCATTCGCTTGCTTACTCATTCCCTCGCTGTCTTTCTCACTCATTCACTCGCTCACTAATTCACTCACTGATTCACTTACTCATTCGCTCGCTGTCTTTCTCACTCGCTCATTCACTCGCTCACTTATTCTCACCCACTTGCTCTCACTCGCTATCTTTCTCACTCATTCACTCGCTCACTCATTCACTCACTTATTCACGTACTCATTCACTCGCTATCTTTCTCACTCATTCACTCACTCATTCACTCGCTCACTCATTCACCCGCTTGCTCTCTCACTCACGATCTTTCTCACTCATTCTCTCACTCACTCATATTGTATCTCTCTCACTCACTCGCTCACTCATTCACACACTCACTCGCTATCTCACTCATTCTCTCGCTTGCTATCTCTCTCTCTCAGTCTCTCACTCACTTTCTCTCTCACTCACAGGCTTACTCGCCCGCTCACTCATTCTCTCACTCACTCGCTATCTCTCTCACTCGCTCGCTATCTCTCACTCGCTCGCTATCTCTCACTCGCTCGCTCACTCATACGCTCGCCCGCCTGCTATCTCGCTCGCCCGCCCGCTCGTCAAGCTAGCCTTGACCTCCACCTCCTCGCCCCCCCACGTCCTCCCCCCCATTGCAGAAGCTCCTCTTCGACGACAAGCTGTGTCAGAGCGAGGCGCTGTACGCCTTCCTCTCGCCCTCGCCCGACTACCTCAAGACGACGGGCAGCTGCAAGAAGAGCTCCGGCTTCTCGCTGGCCAACCTCCTGGAGCGCCTCCCGGGAGACCTGCTCACCCACAAGGACGTGAGGCGCGCAGTCAAGTCGTACCCACGCTCACACACCTGCTCACCCACAAGGACGTGAGGCGCGCAGTCAAGTCGTACCCACGCTCACACACCTGCTCACCCACAAGGACGTGAGGCGCGCAGTCAAGTCGTACCCACGCTCACACACCTGCTCACCCACAAGGACGTGAGGCGCGCAGTCAAGTCGTACCCACGCTCACACACCTGCTCACCCACAAGGACGTGAGGCGCGCAGTCAAGTCGTACCCACGCTCACACACCTGCTCACCCACAAGGACGTGAGGCGCGCAGTCAAGTCGTACCCACGCTCACACACCTGCTCACCCACAAGGACGTGAGGCGCGCAGTCAAGTCGTACCCACGCTCACACACCTGCTCACCCACAAGGACGTGAGGCGCGCAGTCAAGTCGTACCCACGCTCACACACCTGCTCACCCACAAGGACGTGAGGCGCGCAGTCAAGTCGTACCCACGCTCACACACCTGCTCACCCACAAGGACGTGAGGCGCGCAGTCAAGTCGTACCCACGCTCACACACCTGCTCACCCACAAGGACGTGAGGCGCGCAGTCAAGTCGTACCCACGCTCACACACCTGCTCACCCACAAGGACGTGAGGCGCGCAGTCAAGTCGTACCCACGCTCACACGCGCACTCACACACACGCGCACTCACTCACACTCACACACGCGCGCACACTCACACACGCTCACACACACACACGCGCACTCACTCACGCACACGCGCACTCACACACACACACTCACACACACGCACTCACACGCACACTCACACACACTCACACGCGCACTCACACACGCGCACACACGCACACTCACACACACGCACCCACACATACAGCTACACACCCACTCACACACCCACACGCACACTCACACACACGCACTCACACGCACACTCACACACACTCACACACCCACACTCACACACACTCACACACACTCACACACCCACACACACACCCACACACTGACCCACAGCGCAACTGAATCCCACCGAGCTGCGGTCCCTCTGCCCGTCTATCTGTCTTTTCTATATTTATTTATCTGTTTGTCTGCGTGTTTGTCTGGCTGCCTGTCTGCGTGTTTGCCTGTCTGTCTGCCTGCCTGTCTGCGTGTCTGTCTGCCTGCCCGTCTGCCTGTCTGCGTGTCTGCCTGCCTGCCCGTCTGCCTGTCTGCGTGTTTGTCTGCGTGTCTGTCTGCCTGCCCGTCTGCCTGTCTGCTTGCCCGTCTGCCTGTCTGCCTGTCTGCCTGTCTGTCTGCCTGTCTGCGTGTCTGCCTGCCTGCCCGTCTGCCCGCCTGCCTGTCTGTGGCACGGTGTCCCCGCCGCGAGGACGAGGACGAGAGCGACAGCGACCTCTCCGACTCCGAGGTGGACGGGTTGCTGAGCCGGCGCGACTCCATCGCCGAGCCCTGCTTCCTGCTCCTCGGGGAGATCTTCGAGCTGCGCGGAAGTAAGGACCGCACGGATCGCGTGGCACGGATCGCACGACACGGACCGCACGATCTGAACTGCACCCTCCAGATGGTGCTATCTAGATCACAGATTGGCCATCGCTCACTCCACATCGTGGGTTCCAGACCACTCGGGATCAAACACCGTGCATCACGTCACCAGAATCTCAAGCCTCCGGTTCACACAATGAAGGTTGCACCGTCCGGGTCTCGTCCTCCACCCGACCGTAACGCACTCCGGACCGTGCGGCCACGGTTACGCGCACGCCCCGGGATCGCTCCGATCTCGCCCCGGAAGGCGTCACCGTCACCCCTCGCCCCCAACAACGTGTGTGTCTCCGTCCGTCGTCGTGTGTGCATGCGCGTGCAGTGTTTAAGTGGGTGCGGAAGACGCTCATGGGCTTCGTGCAGATCACTTTCGGGAGAACCATCAACAGGTGAGGGTCAGATTGGCGCTCGTCCGCTCGCCCGGGAAAGTCTTGGGACTCCCTTGAGCCGGTGCGGCGGTGCTGGTGGCTGCTCCAGCGCGGGCGAGGGAGCGGCGGGCGAGGGTTGGTGGACCGCCGTGCACAGAGACGCCTTCCCGTGAGCGCCGAGGAGGAAGCCGTGCCCTGCCTCTGCCGGGAGAGGGCAGGATAGAGCGTTTCCCCCTCGCACGTGTGGGGATCTCTCCGGGTGCTCCGATCTCCTCCCATGTGTTGACACTCATTGGGGAGACAAAGGCGGTCCGGCGTGTTAAAGAGCTTTATGGCTCATAGGATTTGTCCGGGATAAATATTCTTGATTCTGGGCGTGGTGCTGGCCGCTGACCCCTTCGAGTGCCGCATCGGCCTTTATGGGCCCCTCGCTAACAGGGCTTGCCCCAACAGTCTGCCGAGGCTAGACGGGGGATCTTTATCTTTGGAGCGGTGGCACGCTGGTTCGCTCCGCAGAAAAGATCGGATGTTGGCCCCACGTCAGTGACGAGTGAAATATATGTGTACACACAGCAGTCCTGGGCTTCCCCTAGGTCGACTTAGCCAGAACATGAGCACTCAACATCAAGCGTGTAAACATCTCCACTGTTCCTCCCCCATCTCCCCCATGCACCCCCCCCCTCCCCCACCGCTCACAGACAGATCGGCGAGAGCATCGAGTTTGTGTTCAGCGAGACGATGGTGGCGTCGTACGTGAACGCGCTGCGCGAGGCCTACTGGCCCGACGGGCGCCTCGCCGCGGCCGGGCCCGCGCGCACGCCCACGCACGCCCGCGAGGCCCGGGCGTCCGCACGCCAGCGGCTCCTTGAGAACATCCCAGGTGTGCGGGGCGGCACCACACGCGGCCCTGGCCCCTCCGTGGCTACGTCACGGGTGGCGGGGTGATGGATGGTGGGGTGGTGGTGAGTGTGGGTGGCGGGGTGATGGATGGTGGGGGGGTGGTGAGTGTGGGTGGCGGGGTGATGGATGGTGGGGTGGTGGTGGTGTGGGTGGCGGGGTGATGGATGGTGGGGGGGTGGTGAGTGTGGGTGGCGGGGTGATGGATGGTGGGGTGGTGAGTGTGGGTGGCGGGGTGATGGATGGTGGGGGGGTGGTGAGTGTGGGTGGCGGGGTGATGGATGGTGGGGTGGTGGTGGTGTGGGTGGCGGGGTGATGGATGGTGGGGGGGTGGTGGTGTGGGTGGCGGGGTGATGGATGGTGGGGGGGTGGTGAGTGTGGGTGGCGGGGTGATGGATGGTGGGGTGGTGGTGGTGTGGGTGGCGGGGTGATGGATGGTGGGGGGGTGGTGGTGTGGGTGGCGGGGTGATGGATGGTGGGGGGGTGGTGAGTGTGAGTGGCGGGGTGATGGATGGTGGGGGGGTGGTGGTGTGGGTGGCGGGGTGATGGATGGTGGGGGGGTGGTGGTGTGGGTGGCGGGGTGATGGATGGTGGGGGGGTGGTGAGTGTGGGTGGCGGGGTGATGGATGGTGGGGGGGTGGTGAGTGTGGGTGGCGGGGTGATGGATGGTGGGGGGGTGGTGAGTGTGGGTGGCGGGGTGATGGATGGTGGGGGGGTGGTGAGTGTGGGTGGCGGGGTGATGGATGGTGGGGGGGTGGTGAGTGTGGGTGGCGGGGTGATGGATGGTGGGGGGGTGGTGAGTGTGGGTGGTGGGGTGATGGATGGTGGGGGGGTGGTGAGTGTGGGTGGCGGGGTGATGGATGGTGGGGGGGTGGTGAGTGTGGGTGGCGGGGTGATGGATGGTGGGGGGGTGGTGAGTGTGGGTGGCGGGGTGATGGATGGTGGGGGGGTGGTGAGTGTGGGTGGCGGGGTGATGGATGGTGGGGTGGTGAGTGTGGGTGGCGGGGTGATGGATGGTGGGGGGGTGGTGAGTGTGAGTGGCAGTGAGTGAGGGTGGGTGGAGGAGGCTCGTGAAGGACGCTACTGCTGCTACTGGGCAGCTGGAGGCAGTCGCCCTCCAGCAATAACGGAGGGCGACGCTCACAACAACGAGCGGAGCGCCGGTTGGCTAAAGCACAGCAAGTTGGCACAGTAGGAGGCACAGGTGGTGTATCGGTCATTCATCTCAATCAGTCGACCCATGGCACCTGGGTCTGTCCCGTGACCTCCTGCCAGCGAGCGTTCCACACTTCACGCGGCCTTAAAGTGCACCTAGCCTGGCACAGGCGCCGTGGTGAGGTCACCGCCACTTAGTGGCGAATGGCGATGGTTGTGGTGGTTGTTGTTGTGTGCCCACGCATACGTGTGTGTAGGTTCGACCCGGGTTCGATTCCCGTCATCTTAATCTGTCCTGGGCCTCCCCAAGGTAGACTCGGCCTCAAATTAGTTCCCGGTGCGATGTGTAAATATCAGCAGTGGGGAGACAAAGGCGGCCGGGCGCGTGCAGTGGCGGCCCTCGTAGGCGCTCCACGCTAATGGCACTTTCCCCGACAGTCTGTTGAGGCTGCACGGGGGATCTTTGTCTTTGTTAGTGCACCGTGTGAGTGTGAGTTAGCGCACCGTGTGTTTGTCAGTTGGTGCGCCGTGTGAGTTATGAGTTAGTGTGCCGTGTGTGTGTGTGAGTGTGAGTTCGTGCACCGTGTGTGTGTGTGAGTTAGTGCGCCGTGTGTGAGTTGTGAGTTAGTGCGCCGTGTGTGAGTTGTTAGTGTGTCGTGTGTGAGTGTGAGTTCGCGCACCGTGTGTGTGTGTGAGTTAGTGCGCCGTGTGATCGTGTGCGCTTTGCGTCCGTGTGCGCGTGAATGCTGCCCCTGCGTGCAGACCTCCTGCAGGGCCTGGTGGGAGCGGAGAACGCCCGGCACGGAACCCTCAAGGTGCTCGCTGGCCTGCAGGAGAACCGCGCCAACAAACACCTCATTTACGTGAGTGGAGTGGTGATGGGTGGTGAGTGATGGTGAGTGGTGGTGATGGGTGGTGAGTGATGGTGAGTGGTGGTGAATGGTGGTGAGTGATGGTGAGTGGTGGTGATGGGTGGTGAGTGGTGGTGAGTGGTGGTGAGTGATGGTGAGTGGTGGTGGTGAGTGGTGGTGAGTGGTGGTGAGTGATGGTGAGTGGTGTTGAGAGGTGTTGAGTGGTGGTGAGTGGCGCTGAGTGGTGGCAATGGGTGGTGAGTGAAGCACTTGCCCCAACAGTCCGCTAAGGCTACACGGGGGATCTTTGTCTCTGGTCCCCGTGCATCAGGTGCTGCTGCAGATGTTCCTGCTGGAGCTGTGTCCGGAGCTCAAGGAGCTGGTGGAGCGTCCACGCGACCACTCGGCCGCAGCCGCCGCCACCGCCGGCGCAGCCGCCAACGTCGTCACCACCACCAGCGCCGCCGCCGCCGTCGACACGGACGACAACCTGGACTAAGCTTGCCCCGTGAACTCGCCCCTCGCTCGCCCCCCTCCCTGCATCTCGCCGCCAGGAGCGGGTGGAGCGGGTGGATCAGGGTGGAGCAGGGTGGATGGAGGTGATGTAGAGACAGAGACGGAGTGATGTGATGGTGATGTAGAGACGGAGTGATGTGTGATGGTGATGTAGAGACAGGGTGATGTGAGCGATGCCACTCGGAGCATTGCGTTGACGACGACTTGAACTCGAGCTGGTAATGTTCTGCTCACCCCAATTTGTCTCATGAATCTGGGTGGCACCCCGTGCTTGGGCTGCTTGGGTCCCTGGGCTTCATGCTCGCTTCCCTTCACCAATTGTCGTCGTCATCGTCGTCATCGTCACCCTCTTAAGTTCTTACAGGGTCTACCCACTTGGCTGTGAGCGGCAATGGTTTACACACTCGCACGCACCCCCTGCACCCTGTGGGCACCGTAGGGATAGAGAGATCACTGCCGCGCTTACATGTAGCATGGCGTCTAGAGAGTGGGGGGGGGGGGGTCTCGTAACGCGCTGGGTGTAACGTAACGCACTGGGCGTAACGCGCTGGGTGACGTAACACGCCACTTCGCAGTTCGGCTCCTGGGAGGTTCCTTTCAAAACCCAGAAGCAGCCCCCCCCCCCCCCCCCCCCCCAGTACGCGTGGGGGACGGAACGTCGGACTGCGGCGGAGCCCCGGGGGGTAGCCGACGGCAACGCGGGGGCAGCCGCCGGGAGGTCGGAGCGGCCGTGCCGACGTTTACGTCGATCGGTCGACGTTGAGACTTGAGCTGTTTACACGTCGTGTGTGAATATAGCGCGGCGGTAGGGGAGTGGGCGAGGGAGGCGGGGGCACTTGGGGCGCTGCCGTGGCCAGGAGATGTCGACTACCTCGCCTGGTATGCGGGAGGTCGTGGGTGCGATCCCGACCGCTGTGTGTTTGGAGTTCACTCCCCGTGGTCGCGTGGATTTCTCTCCGGATCCTCCTGTTTTTTCCCTCCACGTTTCGAATCGTCCTGCGTTTTAGAGTCTTTGCCTGCTCTCAATTTCCACAGAAGCTAATTCGTCGAGCAATCGTTCGCGGTGGCCAGCTTTTAAATAGTTGAATAGTTTTGAATGGCAGGTGCCCTCTTGCCAAGGCCTCGGACCGACCCACTCGCCGTGTGAGGAAGAGTCGGGCTCCCCCAGAAGTTCGCTCCCCACGCCGTGGGACAAGTTCCCTCCCAGGGAACCAAGTTTGTCTTCGTCCACCCGATTTCCCCGGAGCTCGATTCGTCCCATTTCTCTCAACGTTCTTTCTCACAGCTTTCCCGCGGTACTTTCTCCGGATTTACACCGACTGCTTTCTTCACATTCCTCCTCGGATTATCTCCGAATCGCCCCCCCCAGATTTATGGATTTATTTATTTATCCCTTCCCTCCCCTCCACCTCTCCAGGCGTCTCTGGATCCCATTATTTCCTCCGGTCGAGTGACGATTTGAAAACACCCGCGGCGGAAAGTTCACGGTCGCTCTCGTCGACATGGAACTTGTAAACTTTTAACCGCGATAATTAGCGAAGGTGCGCCGCGAGTCCTTGTGGAGGGTCCAACGCCGCTCCTCACGTCGGCCCCTTGAGCCAGGGCTCTCGCGAGCGACGGGGGCGACGTAGCGTGGCCGTGCACGTCGTCACACCGTTTCAACGTTCGTCCCCCCGCGGTCGGAGACGCGGCGCGTCGCGGCCTCGACTTGCGATCCCAAATCTCGAATTGCCGCCACCGCCGCCGCCGCGCGTTTCCTAACGACGTCGGCGCGTCCCGCTCGAAGCCGACGACCGTCGGTCGGTCGGTCGGACACGCAGACGGGTCCCGGTGAGCCAACGCCTACGGGGGAAGAAAAAAATGCCGGACGCGGCACCGAGGGGCGGGGATTGAGAGCGCGCGACTTACACTGTGACGAGGGTCGGGTTTGCGACGCCTCGCGATGGCCCCGAATGATGTTTACGCGGCGCATGCACGAATACTGCGCCGGCTTGCCGGCGGGCGGGGAGCCGGTCGGCCGTTGGCGACGCCGCTCATTGGAGCGGTTGCCACGTTCCACCGCTTTGCCGCGGAAGATTTGCGGTCGCGCCGGGCACCCCGAGCGCGCGCCGGGCACCCCGAGCGCGCGATGGGGCACGGCGTTTTGGCGTCGCGCCCCCCTGTCAGTGCGTCGCCACCGCTAAGTTTACACAGCGCTAGAGAGCTACGACTTGGATTCGTATCATTATCATTCGTATTGTTATTGTTGTTGTTATTCTTGATGGGGTAGTATTGCTTTTGTTTCAAAAGCCAGAAACTTGCCGTTTGAAAATCGGTTTAAGAAATTGCACTTAGCACGAAGTAGCTGGTCGCCCACGATGAAGCTGGGTTCTCAAGATGGGCGAGAGTCGATGGTGGTCTCAGCCTGGTCACCAATGACTCACATAGAGACCCATAGACACACACAGAGACCCATAGACACACACAGACCCGTAGACTCACACAGAGACCCGTAGACTCACACAGAGACCCATAGACTCACACAGAGACCCATAGACACACACAGACCCGTAGACTCACACAGAGACCCATAGACTCACATAGAGACCCATAGACTCACACAGAGACCCATAGACACACACAGACCCGTAGACTCACACAGAGACCCGTAGACTCACACAGAGACCCGTAGACTCACACAGAGACCCATAGACTCACACAGAGACCCATAGACTCACACAGAGACCCATAGACTCACACAGACCCATAAACTCACACCGAGACACATACTCTGGGTAGTGATTAAACCGGGTCTTAGCCCAGTCACCAATGACTGCACAAACGCACACGCTTAAACATAAGCACACAAACAACACAAATATGAACACAACACAAACAACACACACACAAAGGTCCCCTACGTAGCGTTGTAGACTGCTGAGGGAAAGTGCTGTTAGCGAGTAGCACCTAGGAAGGTCGGCACGGCACACGAGGGGGTGGGTGGCCAGCACCACGCCCGACCGCCTTTGTCTCCCCAGTAGCGTTGTTTACATCCCGCACCAGGTACTCATTTGAGGCTGACTCGACCTAGGGGAGGCCCAGGATCGATTCAGATAATTGTCACCGGAGTTGGCTTTGAGCGCAAATCGAACTTAGGTCGGCGGGTTCTCAGCGCATCGCGCTAACCACTGCGCCACCGCTCCCAACAACACACACATGCGCACACATGCAGACAAGCACGCGCACACACACAACATCATACAATTCATGTTTTAACCCGTCAGTTTTTGCCACCCTGTAAGGATTTACTAAGCGAATAAGCACATAGAAAGAAATCCAATCACTTGTTTACACAGCTAATGAATAATTTTGCCGTGCAGAGATCGTGTCGAGATGGTGTCGAGATGGTGGACCATGAGGAGACGTTGATTATTGCCGTGCGGTCGTGTTCGTTTTGACGCCGGAGCGATGGGATATCGGTGGCACCGCTGCTGTCCCGAGCGGTCTCCGGAGTTGGAAGTGCACAATGCCTGGTACCGTGCTACGCTGCCAGTCGTGAAGTGAACCTCTCGGAGACCCGGCTACTTGGGGAGGACTTTCCGGTTTACGGGGGTACCCACCGAGCAAAAATAGAATACATTCAGCCGCGTGTGCGCTGTGATAACCCCGCGCATGCAGAGAGCAGTGTTGCGGGGTGGTTGTGGTTATTTAAAATTGTTTTCGTTTTGTTGTATTTATTTCTGATGGCCTTCCAGCTCACCCGGAAATCCTGGCTAACCCGTGTCCGACCGCACGGCTCAACGACCGCAGAGTGCAATGATGTCGGCTGAGTTTATGTACCTACGTTGTGTACCTACGTTGTGTACCTACGTTGTGTACCTACGTTGTGTACCTACGTTGAACTTCTTCCGCACCGCACATGAGCCCACCGTGCTAATCGGAGGTGCGGCGAGGGGGGGGGGAAGGATGACAAAGTTAAAGTGTCGCCGTATGCGGCTTCGATCTCCCATCGCTTTTCGGTAAAAAATAAATGATAGCCGAGCTGGTGCGAGTGCGGAAACGAAGGAGGGAGCAGACGCCACGCACTGGACTCCAGCGTGCAGAACGGTGCCTTCGTCTGGCTCCGCGAGCCTCTGAAACTCGTGGCAAACACGAAGGGCACCGGCGGTGTCGCAGGCAATGCAACGTCCGACCCGGGTAATGGTTCGCGTGCTCGTCACGTCGGCACTGCCCCCCCCCCCCACGATGGCGTCGCCACGTGGCATTGGGGGGCAACGTGAAGTAAATTACGTAAACGGTCCAAAAAAGTATTAATTTTTTTAATGAGACGTTTTTAAACTTATCCGCCGCCTCTTCGTGATGTGGGTTGTCAATGTTCCCAGGACGATCGCTCCAATGTCGAACTCGCAGCCCACGTGGCAGTAACCACGAGTGGAGGCTTGGAGCACGAAACCCCCCCCCCCCCCCCCAACACGGAGCACGTTCACAACACGGCAAAGTCTGCGGGCTACGCAACCCCCACCCAAAGCCACGCAAATTCGCCCGTTTTGCCAGAACCAGACGACACATTCCGCCAGGAGATTGCCGACCAACGTCATCCCACGTGCAATACGCCACTTTAACCATTCCCCCCCCCCCCGCGTTTAGTTTCGTTCGCGACAGGGCGAGAGAGACGCGCGAACGGTCGCTCGCCGCACACCGCGTTTTGATTGTCTGTACGCGTGGCAGCGCCCGCTGCTGGTGTTCGTCGATTAAAAGTTTGATTTTAAAAACTCTTTGAGTCGCCCCCTCCGCCGCTGCCAATGCGCGACTGCCAGCTTGCTCATGCAGGAACGCGGGCAAATGACGTGGACAGCGCACACAGAGGGACAGCGCGCACAGAGGGACAGCGCGCACACAGAGGGACAGCGCACACAGAGGGACAGCGCGCACACAGAGGGACAGCGCACACACAGAGGCAGCAGCGCGGTGGAGCGGAGCCCGCCGGGATTGCACGGAAGTCGTGAGGCTGCCGACGTCGCTGTGGGCGCAGATCAACGACTTTATAATCTCACATTCTTCGGGTGGTGAAGCCCAGACGAGCGCGCGAGGAGTTGGCGGAGAGTATCGCCGCAACGTCTCCCTTCGTGGTTGTGGATCGGGCGGACCAGGTAACGCCGGAGACAACATTGTGGTTGGTAAGATTTCTTTTTTTTAAAGAACTGCGACTGGGACACTGGACGGCTTTGGCAACACATCGCCGCTAGGATGGATCGAGGTGGGGGGATCAAGACTCACAACAGAGGAGAGAACAACGCCCGAGAAGGATGTCGGCAGCAAATTCGGAGCGTTGAAACGGGATTGCGTGCGCTGACTTGCATCGTCGGACCTCATCCAGCAGTGAATTGACCACGATGTTCATGCTGGTTCGTGCAAATCTGTGGGACCCATGAACCTGCTTGGGCTTCGAGGTGGCCTGGAGAGGGCAAGTGGCTTCCCGACCCCATCATTGAGGAGGTGCGATTGTCGTCCCCCTCGTGTGCGGGGTGTGTTTCTTCCGGCTTCTCCAGTTTATTCCGGTTTTCTCAGGTTTCCTCCAGTTTCCTCCGGTTTTCTCAGGCTTCCTCCGGTTTCGTCCAGTTTCCTCCCACACAAAGCCGAATTTATCATCAACGTGGCGTTGACCAAACATCCCATTGTAGCAGCGCCCCGCGATGCGTTCTACTACAAGGAGAACTATTACTCTTACCGCTCGTTCGGGAAAACCTCGGTTTATTTTCATTTCAAGGTATTACAAAATTACAAAATATATTTTTTTTCCGCTTCTACAACCACGGCAATGGCAAACAGTGTTCGAAGCTAAAATGTTAAACGCTTGTACACAATTAACATTTTGGAGGCAAAAATAAATATTTGCGGTGGCTTTAAAGCGATACACACAAAAACCATTGTCGGTAAATAATCACTGCCACCGAGATTTAAACAAATACAACGCCTGAATAAAATATGTAAGAAATACAGGAACATCAGCTGCAGCTGTTACCGTTGTTGCTACTGCATCTATTGCCGCTCCTACTACCACATGATGCTAAGACTTGCTGCTGCTGTGATGATGATGCTGCCGTTGCTTTAGAATGCGTTAACATTTGACTCCGCTCAATGCTAAAACGTTTGTGCTCGGATCACGCAATATATTTCTCCTCCAATGTTAGAATCAGAATCTTTCATTTATCCTGGAGGAATCCGATGAGCCATGAAGCTCTTTCACAGATGGTGTCCAGTCGGGGCAGCGGGTCAAGCAGGTGACACCAGCACGCAATACAGGAAACGGCAGCGGTGCAGCTCGGCCAATCGGTGAACTACTGTTGCTGCCGCCCCCTGCTGCTACTGCTGCTGTTGCTGCTGCATCTGCCGCTCCTGTTGCTGTTGTTACTGCTACTGTTGCTGCTGCTGTTGTTGTTGTTGTTGCTGCTGCTCCTGCCGTTCTTGTTGCTACTGCTGCTACTGCTGCTGTTGCTGCTGCTACTGCTGTTGCTGCCTCTGCTGCTGTTGCCGTTCCTCTTGCTGCCGCTTCTGCTGTTCCTGTTGCTGCTGCCACAACCTCAAACTCGGTCCAAAGTCACGGGGGGGGGGGGGTGGGCGCGGCGTTCAGTCTTGGAAGCGGAAACAGTCGCTCGCCACCTTCCACACGGTGCCAGCGCCGGTCCCTTGCGCCGTGAGCAGGAAGTTCTGGCTGAAGTAGCGCTGCCGGTTGCCGTCGAACTTCACCGTGCCGCTCGTCACCACCAGCACCGTGGTGCGGCCCTGCGACGCGGCCTCTGTGGAGCGATCGCCGCGAGAGAGAGAAAGTGACACAACGCAGAGCAGCGTTAATGTACGCAGGGGGTCGCGGGTTCCATCTCGACCCCGACGCCTGCTGTATATTTGGTGTTTGCGTCTCTCTCTCTCCGTGGTGAGATGTTAACTACCTTGCCTGGTCTACAGGAGGTCGCGGGTTCGATCTCGACCCCTGACACCTGTATATTTGGAGTTTGCGTGTCTCTCTCCTTGTGGTCGCGTGGATTTCCCCCCGGGGTTTTCCCTCCACATTTAGAATCAACATCACAGTGCGTTTAGAGTATTTGGCTTCTGCTATAAATTTCCACGTGATAAGCCACTTCGCTGAGCTATCATTTGTGATAGCCAGGTCGCTCCTGAAAAAGAGCGCTATAGCTTACCTGGTAAAATAAAAAGTTTAATAGTTTAGTTTTAGTTTAACGTCGTCGGCGATTTTCATTCATGTGTCGGCATTGGTCCATTTAACGACACCCAGTGGAGTTTGAGTTGTGTCTTAAGTCTGTATATTTCATGCGGTGATTCTCTAAAGTCTGGTCAATTAAATTTGTGACACATTTAGTCCACTTAGCAGTTGTTAAATGTCGATGTGCAGGGCGTGGAATTCCCCTCCCCACCCTCCTTGATATTATCAAGTCAGCCAATCAGGGAAATCGATAAACTCAACCAACCATTCACGCAATTCGCCCCACCCACCCAACCACCCACCCAACCACCCAAACCAACCACCCAACCAACCAAACACCACCCAACCACCCAACCAACCAAACACCACCCAACCACCCACCCAACCACCCAACCAACCACCCAAACCAACCACCCACCCAACCACCCAACCAAACACCACCCAACCACCCACCCAACCACCCAAACCAACCACCCAAACCAACCACCCACCCAACCACCCAACCAACCATCCACCCAACCACCCAACCACCCACCCACCCAACCAACCATCCACCCAACCACCCACCCACCCAACCAACCACCCACCCAACCACCCACCCAACCACCTAAACAACCAACCACCACCCAACCAACCACCCACCCACGCCGTCTCAAATTCGGTGCGGCACGGCGCGCTGCTGCTGCTGCTGTGGGCTCACCGGGAACTGGCTGGCAGTCGAGCACGGTCGCCTGGTGCTCGCTGGAAGGCAGCTGCTCAAAGAACTTTGCGAGCCCCTCCAGCCCCGTGACGGCCGTGCCGTTCCAGACGAGGGTGGCGGTCTCCAGGTAGAGCTTCGTGAGCACCTGCGGCACACAACGGCGGCACCCCACGCAGCGTCAACAAACGGCAACGTCCCATCGCTCGGACCCAACGTCACCACCCCCCCCCTCCACTGTGCATCTTCGAAGAACTAAAATTTTTGACGTAATATGCCAAGTTCGTTGAGCTATCATTTGTGGGCAGGTCGCTTCTGAAAGAGAGCGAGACAGCTCAGTGGGACTACCTTGCCTGGAAAAATAAAAATTAAGTTGTTTAAGTGACGAGATCTGCTTCTGGTTGTTGATGACAATAAGCTAATAATGATGATACTAATGATGGCATGATAGCGCTGGTGATCCGGGTTGAAACCTGACCGGGATTTGAACTGACGACGTTCTGACTGTGGTGCGGTGAGATGGTGGGTGGTGCGGTGGGTGGTGGTGTGGGGTGGTGAGTGGTGTGTGGTGAGGGGTGGTGTGGTGTGGTGAGGTGAGTGGTGTGTGTGGTATGGTGAGGCGGTGGGTGGTGTGGTGTGTGGTGAGGTGAGTGGTGTGTGTGGTATGGTGTGAGGCGGTGGGTGGTGTGGTGTGGTGGGTGGTGTGGTGAGTGGTGTGATGGATGTTGGGTGGTGCGGTGTGGTGGGTGGTGTGGTGTGAACGCACGTGTCTCCGCTTGTCGATCGTCTCGTAGTAGATGCTCACAAACTCCTCGGCAGCGCGGCACGCCTGGTCGACAACCATCTTAAAGTCCTGCAGAACGACGGTTTCACCACCACCAAAAAAACAAAGACAAAGATCCCCCGTATAGCCTTAACAAACTGTAGAGGTTTCGATTTAAAGCTTTCGTGACTGCAGGGATTCATCTTCTTGGTTCTTTCGGTAAAGTCACGTAGAAGGGAAGTAATAAAAATAAAACACAATAAAATAATTCTCACGACGTTTCGGCCACAACGCAAGCAGCCGTCCTCAGGTGAAAACCAGGTCCGTCGAGGCGACAGAGTCTGAATGAAACGGCACACGAGCTTGGAGCATATATATAAGCTGGGCGCCTTGACAAAGGAATTTGCATATCAAGAGGAATTTAGCATATTTATGGGAAATGCAGGAATGTGATTAGTACTGCATATGCATGTGCATTATGCAGGATTAACAGCATCAAAGGGAGCTGCAGTTGCTGCTGCTGCTGCAGTTGCTGCTGCTGCTGCAGTTGCTGCTGCTGCTGCAGTTGCTGCTGCAGTTGATGCTGCTGCTGCAGTTGCTGCTGCTGCTGCAGTTGCTGCCTTATCCATTTTAATATAAGACTATGTATTATTATACCCACCCTAATGTGTATCACACTGCTATATATTTACTATACAATTACGACACCATACATTACTCTGCACACTGCAACAAGCATACAAACTGTAGAGGCAAGTGCTGTTAGCGAGCCCCTATGAAGGCCCTAGTGGCGATGTTTACTACACACCGCACCAGGTACTCATTTGAGGCTAAGTCGACCTAGGGAAGGCCCGGGACCGGTTCAGATAATCGTCACTGGTGTTGGCCGTGAGCGGGAATCGAACTCGGGTGGCCGGGTTCATAGCGCAGCGCGCTAACCGCTACACCACCGCTCCCCACCACCACCACACTCAATCGCGTCACCACCACCACCGCCGCCACCACCACCACCGCCATCGCCACTATCGCCATCATCACCACCACCATCATCGCCACCACCATCACCACCACCATCATCACTACCACCACCATCACCACCACCACCATCACCACCATCACTACAACCACCATCGCCACCACCATCACTACCACCACCATCATCGCCACCACCATCATCACCACCATCATCATCACCACCACCACCATCGCGGGTTTAATTCGCGACAAAGTAGCGAAGCCTCGAGCCCACAGCACAGGCCTGGTGATGGTATAGGCCGCTAACCCAACCGGGGGGTGAAACAGACAAAACGCTCCGCATCGTCGGGACTTCGAGCCACGTACCAGGGTGGCCATTGCCACGACCGCGGGCAGGACGAGAGAGCTCGTGGAGAGCGACGAGTCGAGAAGTCGCCGAGTTTCTGAGTCGCCGAGTCGCAATCGTCAACTCGGCAACGTGGAAGTTGACGGGAGTCGCGTTGCTAATGGGGCGCCAACGCTCTTGGGGTTCCGGGCGGAAACACCAACTCCGCGCGCGGGAGTCGGGAATGGGTTTTTTTGTTCCGCCCCCTTGGGTCTCGGTGATTGAGCCGACAGGGTTCAAACGAATCGGGCGCAGACGGAGACAATCGGTGAGACCAAGGGGCGGAACAAAAAAAGCCGTGACAGGGTCAAATCCGATGCTGGATGAAGGCAATCCCCAATCCGCCTGCATGTTGAACTTCTTTCGCACCGCACGTTGCCAACCGATGCCACTGATGTAACAGATACTTCCAACAAGTTTAGTTATCCTAACGTAAGAATTTGAACAGTTCAAACAAATACTTTTTTGATTTAAACACATGCAATCAGTTAAACTCACAATGTGATTGGGAGCCTTGATTGTATAACCATATATTTGTCAAGATTATTCCATGTTTTTATTTTCTGTAATGTCATGTCCCACTCAGGCAGGGAAGGTTACTTGCCACTCAGGATATTTTAGCCAGGAACACCCATCGAGTCTAAAGACGCTTCCGTAGGAGGTGTTGCTACATTGGGATGTTTGGCCAATTATAATTTTTTATGATTTAACGAAAAGATCGTGTTCAAGCTAATTGCATTGAAGCAGCTGACAACTCAGAGACCAGGGGATGGAAGTATAATCTACAAGTGATCTGACCTGTCATTATGGGTCATAGCTTCTGCTGTGTCAAGCCCTAGGGGCATCCCCAGTGGCAGCTGTCCCTGGCAATGAGTTTGCGGCCAGCAGGGGACGATTGCCGCTGTGTGTGGACGGTAATCCCAGTTGAGTCGTTCACGGTGTAATGATTGTGGCGATGAAGATAGCGGTTGTTGTGATGATTGTGGCGATGAAGATCGGTAGCCCCATCATTGTTCTTTATTTATCCAGGAAATCCACACCCAGTCTCGACACATTTTGTGATGTTTAACCAACTCCATTGGAATGTGGAAAGAAAGCAGAGCACCACCAGTAGGAGCAAATGACGCACACGCTCACAGTAGGGGATCGCAATCAGATAAAATGTATTAACCCACTTGCTGTACTGCCACCTCCTGGAATTGCGAGCTCAGCAGGTTTTTGGTCTTTCACAGATCTCTCCGTGACCCACCAACCCTTGCATCACATGCTCGCGTGCAGTGATGATCGCTGCGGACGATGGCGATGATGACGACGATTACTTCATTTTAAACCGTCGTCACGCAAACTGCGGGTCATCCTCGCAGCAGCAGCAGCAGCGGCGGCCTTTCGGCTCGGCCATCGAAGGCGGCGCTTTCAGATGCGCTTCTGCGGCCGTCTGGAACGCTCTTCCTGCCCATATTAGGAAGTTACATCATCAAGATTGAGAACAAATTTCTTTACCTCGGCTCTTTGCCTCCCCCCGCACCTCGGATTAGCGCGGTTGGCTACGTACGGTGCGAAAGAAGTTTAACAAACATGCGTCACACAACTCCATCAAGTGAAACAAAACCCGACTATAAAATATAAAAACCCTACAGAGCACCGAGTTCAAACTTGCGGTCGCTCTCCCGTTACGTGCGTCGTGGTAAACGTCGCTTAAAGACGCAAACTACGTACCAACAACAGCACCACTTCAAACACAGTTTTAAAGTCAATAAAAAAAGGATTTGCATTTGCAATGCGCCTTGCTTCAGAGAATCACTGTGGCACGTCCAACAGTAGGCCGACAAAGCTGAAATAAGAACGTGGAATAGAAGCAGCGGGCCCAACGCAGCGGGCCCAACGCAGCAGGCCCAACGCAGCGGGCCTGCGAGGCTAACGAGAAGAGCCGGAGTGGTGGACGGCGGAGTGCCGAGTGAAGCTTCACGACACCCACGACGGCGTCTGCAGGTCAGAGCGGATCTCCCGCCACTCGGATAAGGGTCGAGGCATCGGGACTTCTCTGCCGTTTACTGCCACGATGCACGGCCAGCGATGGAAATTCCACGTTCGTATGGCGGGGGCAGATCCACCCATAGGACAACTACCGTTGACTTCTGCACAAAAGCGTTGCTCATTTTTTATTTTGACAATGAACTCGCGAGTTCACCCCCCCCCCCAAGCGGGATTTGAACTCGCGACCTTCCGACTGTGAGGAGCTCGCTCTGCCGCTGGGGCACGGTCCTCGAAGCGCGGTTCTTTGACGAGCGGCACTACGTTCGTGCGACTTGTATCATTACGACCACCATGACATAAAAAGATTCGTCACCAGCACCAACCGGTTGATCGGCTTGGCAGAGCTCGCAAAGTAACTTAGAGCAGCTGCCACACGTCTGGGAAGCCCCTCCCACCCTCCGAGGCCCCGCCCACGTTCACATAGCCACGCCCACTCCACCGCCAGCCCCCCCCCCCACCCACACCTTTCTGACACAGGCTCCGCCCCCTTTACTAGCTAGCCCCACCCTCCGCCCCGATTGTCGCGGATTCAGTTACGAGGCCAGAGAATATTTAAGCTTGGGACGAAGCCGTGATTTTTTTTTGCAAATGATTGTGGGCGAGGCCACGGGAGGACGGCTCCTCTGAATCCGCCGAAACGCTCCCGGGACCAGCGATGTGGCCCTTCTGCCCCCCCCTCCACCCCGCTCATTGCAGAGGTTCGCAATTCGACGGTGGCGGCCACCCTGGTTCAAAACTGCACGTGGGTGCGCTCACGAATGAATGTCAGGCCGCCGACTGCGTCGCAGCGGTCGTTCGAGATCCCCAATGCCCTCGTTTAGAACGGAGAAGGCTTCACGGCCCAAGTTTGTAAACCTGCTCGTACATTACCACTACTGGCAGCCTAATCCGCTCTTGCAGGCCGGTGCTGCGTACGCCTTGTGCTGCACAGGGGCAGCTGTCACTGGGGGCGGGGGGCGCTTCCCCAAGGGCAAGATCGCGGGGATGGCACCGGAAACGGTCGAGGTCCGTAAAACGCAAATTCCTCCTCCTCCTCGTGGTCGTCGAAAGATGTCTGAACGACCGCGATGGCCGCCGGCCGTCACTGCGCCTTCCGCCGGTCGTCGTCTCGGCCGCGGGGGCGGCGGGCGGAGCCCAGCGAGCGCAGGAGGCGGAGCCAGGCGAGGGCGACGCCCACGGCGCAGTAGCAGGAAGTGGCGAGCAGCGGCAGGAAGGGCAGCGCGCTTCGCCACGGCGACAGCGGGAAGGCGACCTCCACGAGCAGCGCCAGCGTGGCCAGGCCGGCCAGGTAGCCCGCGGCGCACGGGCCCAGCAGGCGCTCCCTGGCGCCGCTGGGCAAGGGGTGGGGGGGCGGGGGGGTGGGGGAGACACCGCCGGCGGCGCCGTCCGTGAGAATCGACGCGCGTTTGTGGCGATGGTCGCGCCTCGCAGCTGCTGGCTTCGGGCACCTTTCTGTCAGGAGTTTGTGTTCTCACCCCGCACGGCCGGCCGTCTCCCCTGGGTTCCCCGCTATGTTCTGCCCCCGCGTGACACGTAAATCAAATAAATAAAACCCCCTATCGATACGCTCGCACCACGACCTAAACACAGACACCAATAGGTGTCTACATTTGGTGTTTGGACGTCGTAACACCTCCTGTCTCGCTGCCAGAAAGGTAACGCCTATTCGGATTCTTTCATAATTATGACACTGGCAAAAAAGGTCCCGTAGGTACAGCGAAACACCCGCCATTCGCCACCAAGTGACGGTGACGTCACCACGGCGCCCGTGCCAGGCCAGGTGCACTTTGAAGCCACGTGAAGTGTCTAAGGCTCACTGACTGGAGGTCTCGGGACAGATCCAGGTGCCATTGGTTGGCCAACTGATATGACTGGTAGATGCAACATCCGTGCCCCCTGCTGTGCCTACTTGCTGCATATTAGCCGCTCGGCCCCTTCTTGTGAGCGTTGCTCCTCTGCCCTCCGTTGTTGCTGGAGGGCGACTGCCTCCAACTGCTCAGTAGCGTCCTTCACGAGCCTCCTCCACAGAGGCCGATCTTGACACCGCTGGTACCGGTCATCGGCAAGTCCACTCAGCTCCACGTCCTCCTGTACCACATCACTCCATCTCTTCTCTAGCCCGTGCCGCGCCCGTTTAGCCCCCTCTATGCGGCCAAACACAAGCTGCTTGGGCACGCGGTGGCTGGGCATGCGGGCTACGTGACCCAGCACACATACGTACGTATATTCGAGAGACATCGGGACTCACCACACGAGCGACCTGAGGGTGGAGAAGCTAAAGATGGTGTACATCAGCATCAGGCCGATCTTGATGGGCAACTCTGTGGGGAGAGATAGGAGGTCAAAAGTGAAATCGTGCAAAACGCGTGGATCGTGAGACGCTAGGAGATGTTAACTACCTCACCTGGTCTACAGGAGGTCGTGGGTTCGATCCTGACCCCGACGATGCCTGCTGCTGCATATTTGTAGTTTACATGTCTCTCTCTCCCCGTGGTCGCGTGGATTTTTCTCTGGGTCTTCCGGTTTTCCCCTCCACATTTAGAATCAAGGTCACGCGTTTAGAGTGTTTGGCTGCTATAGATTTCCACACGATGATACAGCCACTTCGTTGAGCTATCATGTGGCCAGGTCGCTTCTGAAAGAGAGCCATGTAGCTTCGTGTGCTCAACCTTAAATGAGTATCTGACGCAGTGTGTAAACATCAGTATCGGGGAGACAAATGCGCCGAGCCGGCCTTCACAGGTGCTCGTCACTAACAGCACTTGCCCCGACAGTCTGTCGAGGCTCTACGGGGGATCTTTGTCTTTGGGGAGCGGTGGAGCAGCGGTTAACGCGCTGCGCTACGAACCCGTCGGGCAGAGTTCGATTCCCGCTCACAGCGACCGACAACCGGTGACGAAGATCTGAACCAGGTCCTGGTCGCCTCGCGAACAGCACTTGCCCCGACAGTCTGTCCAGGCTACACGGACGGGGGACCTTTGTCTTTGTGCGCGGGGCTGGAGGCGTCTCGGCCGCCGCTCACCAGGCAGGGTGAAGATGAGCGGGAACAGCGAGAGGTGGCCCGTCGTGGCCAAGATCAGGAACGTCTCCGCGTCCTCCCGGCTCTCCACCGCCAGGAGTCTGCGAGGAAACGGCGTCGTTAGTGGCGCCGCTCAGAGGTCGCCGCCGGTCAGAGGTCGCCGCTCAGAGGTCGTTGCCGGTCAGAGGTCGCCGGTCAGAGGTCGCCAGTCAGAGGTCGCCGCTCAGAGGTCGCCGCCGGTCAGAGGTCGCCGCCGGTCAGAGGTCGCCGGTCAGAGGTCATGGGGCACGGCCTGCTCCCCGCCCGCCGAGCTCGGTCGTTTGCCGTCACGGGAACGTGGAACTTCCGGCACTTGCGCAGGAGTCGGAGCGCCGTTCGATGCTCGTTTAGTTCCGAGGCACCGGAGACGTGACGACGCATCGTCGTCGTCATCATCGTCGTCATCGTCGTCATCATCGTCGTCGTCATCGACGATGAATTTTGAGCGGCACCCGAGCACGGCTTCCAACACTAAGCGGCGGCATGCACGTTCGGCGCCGGCGCCGGTGGTGGCGTCGGTGGTGGCGTCAGTGCCGGTGGCGGCGTTGGTGCCGGTGGTGGCGTTGCGGCACATACGTGAGCGGGAGGATGGCGATGAGGATGGCCTTCTCGTGGACGTGCCACCCGAAGAGGAACGCCGCCAGGGCGCAGAGCGTAGCGCAGCGCACAAAGTGGCGCGGGCCGCACGGGCGCGACCACAGGGCCCACAGCGCCGGCTGCATCGGCCCTCGCGCGTCACCCGTGGGAGGGGAGGGGAAGAGAGGGAGAGGGTGAGGAGGGGGGGTTGAGGTGGGGGGCATCAACTACCCAAAGGCTCGGAGGAAACCAACGTGCAACCCAATCGCCATTGTCGTCGGCCATGGTCAATCCACTGCTAGCCTGAGCTCGCAGCCATCTTTATGGGCAGTAGGGGAGTGGGGGGTAGGCGAGAGGGTGTTGGGAGAGGCGTGGTGGGTGCAGGGTTGGGTTAGGCGAGGGGTGGTAGGTGAGGGGGTTTAGTTGAGTGGGTGGTAGGGGTGAGGCTGGTAGGCGAGTGGGTAGGAGGCGAGTGGGTAGGAGCTAAGTGGGTAGGAGCTAAGTGGGTAGGAGGCGAGTGGGTAGGAGCTAAGTGGGTAGGAGCTAAGTGGGTAGGAGCTGAGTGGGTAGGAGCTAAGTGGGTAGGAGCTAAGTGGGTAGGAGCTAAGTGGGTAGGAGCTAAGTGGGTAGGAGCTGAGTGGGCAGGAGGCGAGTGGGTAGGAGGCGAGTGGGCGGTGCGGCTGGCCCGTCTCACCAGCGTGGCGAGCAGCGTGCAGGCGACGGTGGCGCCGGGCGGCACGGAGGGCAGCACGGCGTGTTCGGCCTCGCGCACCAGCCCTCCTGTCATGGCCGCCGTGGCCACGGAGCTTCCGTTCCAGAGCCCCGCACGGACGCCTGCAGCGGCGCAGAGGAGACGGTGCGGAGACGGTGCGGAGACGGCGCGGGGGGGGGGGGCATGGGGGGGGTATGGGGGGGGCATGGGGGCTGCTGCTGCTGCTCTCTCTCTGCTGCGTGGAGAGAGAGCAGCAGCAGCAGTCTGCTGTCGTGTACAGCTGTCTGCGAGTGCTGTGAGCGAGTAGCACCTATGAAGGCCGGTACGGCACACGAGGGGGTGGGTGGCCAGCACCACGCCGCGCCAGGTACTAATTTGAGGCCGAGTCGACCTAGGGGAGGTCCAGGACAGGTCTAGATCATTGTCATTGGGGTTGGCCGCGAGCGGGAACTCGGGTCGCCAGGTTCGTAGCGCAACGCGCTGACCGCTACACCACCGCTCCCCACCACCGCCACCACCACGGCGTTCCCGGTCGTTCCGGCCCCATTTCCACTGCAAGTTTCCACAAACAATTCCCCGGTCGGGGGGTCACCGAGCGGAGGCCATCGCCGTGGCGGCAGCGGCTCACCGGCGATGGCGAGCGCCTTGTCGGCGGCGTTGTAGAGCGCCCACGCGTTGGGCGCCCAGTAGGCGTGGCAGAGGCCCCGCCGGAACGGGAAGAGGCGCGACAGCACCTGCGGCAGCTGGCCCTGCACGCACACGCCAGAGCGCCACCGTTCCAGCGCCAGCGCAAGCCTCTCACGACCGGGCCGCGGTGGCCGCCCTGCTCAGCCAGGCGATCCGGCACTGTGGAGGCGGCAGCGAAGGTTGGTGGATCACGCACAGATGACGACGACGACGACGAGCTGCCTTCAAACGAACCGTCAGCAACAATAACGGCGGCTCAGATTTGGCATCGCGAGTGTCATCGTCACCATCGTCGGTATCGCCACAATCGCCATCGTCGTCATCGTCGCTATGCGCGTGGCTGCCCGTGACCCAGCACTGCGCGGGAGAGGGTTGGCGGATCACACACAGATGGTGTGCGCAACTCCCTTCCCGTGGGCGTCAAGCCCGGCTCAGCCAGGAGAAGGCTCCGCCAGTCCCAGGGTGTGAACCCAGGGCTTGAACCCAGGGTGTGAACCCAGGGCTTGTACCCAGGGTGTGAACGCAGGGTGTGAACCCAGGGCTTCGTAGCTAACCGGCTCGGTGTCTCGTTACAAGCCCTCCCGTTGTAGACGCCCGTTGCAGGGATTGAACTCGGGCCTTTGAGACGCGGGCAGGGGCTGCTCACCATGGCAATGAACGGGCCGAAGGAGCAGGCGAACACGGAGAGGACGATCGCGGCCAGCCCCAACAGGCGGGCCACACTCAGACTTCGCCAGAGCACACCCCCGTCTAGACGCACGCACACACGCACGGGAGATGGTGACGCACGTGAAAGATGGTGAACACGCACGTGGAAGATGGTGAACACGCAAGGGAGATGGACACGCACAGGAGATGGTAGACACACACACCGAAGACGGACACGCACACGGGGCCTCACCGGGGCGACTGCGCGTGAAGCAGAACGTGCGCAGCATGTGGACGCCGTACGCCGGCGCCAGGTACAGGTAGATGTGCTTGAAGTTGAGCAGCAGGGAGAAGAGGAAGGCGGCCGTGTAGACCTTGCCCTGCGGGCGGGGAAACGCGATGCGTCGCCAGCCACTTGGAGGAGATCGCGACAGGACCTCCCGCTGCTCAAACTAAAAACTTCAGTTTTAATGTTTTACTTTAGTGAAGGCCCCGCTGAGCTGTACGGCTCTCGTTTCAGAAGCGACCTGGCCGTCACGAGTGATAGCTCGACTAAGTGGCTTATCATCGCGTGGGAATTTACAGAGGCAAAGTGTATCTGAACGCAGCGTTGTTGCCTCTAAATGTGGAGGGGAAACACCGGAGGACCCGGAGACAAATCCACGCGACCACGGAGAGACACGCAAACTTCAAATGTAGAGCAGGCATCGTCAGGGTCGGGATCGAACCCACGACTTCCTGTAGACCAGGCGAGGTAGTTAACATCTCACCACAGAGAGAGAGAGACACACGCAAACTCCAAATATACAGCAGGCATCGTCAGGGTCGGGATCGAACCCACGACCTCCTGTAGACCAGGTGAGGTAGTTAACATCTCACCACGGAGAGAGAGAGACACACGCAAACTCCAAATATACAGCAGGCATCGTCAGGGTCGGGATTGAACCCACGATCTCCTGTAGACCAGGTGAGGTAGTTAACATCTCACCACGGAGAGAGAGAGACACACGCAAACTCCAAATATACAGCAGGCATCGTCAGGGTCGGGATTGAACCCACGATCTCCTGTAGACCAGGTGAGGTAGTTAACATCTCACCACTGTGGCACCCCAAACAAAAATCGAGGCAATGAGGCTCACCTCCTGTTAACAGCCCTGCAGAGCCGGTGGTGGGAAACTCCACATTCCTATGGCAGAAATGTGTGCAACCATTCGTGTGGACCTGTCCGCAAATTGTTGCTCGTTGTATCTACCCCGGAGGGATGACGATGATGGGCTGAGTCAACACCCCCCCGCCACCCCCCAAGCGGGATTTGAACTCATGACCTTCCGACTGCCGCTGGGGCCACCCGGCCGCTGTGGCACGGTCCTCGAAGCGCGGTTCTTTGACGAGCGATTTATTGTTATCATTACGACCACCACGACATAAAAAGATTCGTCACCAGCACCAACCGGTTGATCGGCTTGGCAGAGCTCGCAAAGTAACTTAGAGCAACTGCCCCACGTCTGGGAGGCCCCTCCCACCCTCCGAAGCCCCGCCCACTTTCACGTAGATACGCCCACTCCGCCGCCAGCCCCCCCACCCCGGCCACACGACGAGTGGCACCTGTTCGACACCGTCGCCATGCCGATGTTGCCACATTCCCAAAGCCTGACTGTGCAGCCATTGTTAACGACACAACCGCTATTTTTTTATTTAAAGCTTTCGTGACTGCAGGGATTCATATTCTTGGTTCTTTCGGTAAAGTGACTTTACCGATAGAACCAAGAATATGAATATACAACCGCTATTGTTCATGATGTAACCGTGACGAAGATTTGGCCTCTGTGCAAGAAAACAACCACAACAAACCCGCTTACGGGCATCACCTGGTACAGGCGGGCAATGGACAACAGCATCAGGCCGGAGAGGAAACCGTTGTATTGAAAATGGATATCTGACAGGATGGGGTTTAGAAACAATGACTTTAGACAGAAGGGTAAACAGAAATGGATTTGGCATTGGCTTTATAACATCCTCTTTACGGCATGCAGGGTCATACTCTTTATTTACACGCGGCAAATTATCTTATTTACTATGAATTATCAATAACATGAATTATCCAGAATTGTAATCCAATTGTGCAATTGGTATCAAGCCATTAAAACAAAAATATCCAATCAGGAGCTCTCGTGAGAAACAATGCTGTACCCCCCATGCTATAGGACGGGCTGTGGAAGGAGCCCTCACAGAGCTACTGCCGAGATCCCTCCAATTGACTCGTGGTCCACGTGGTAAGAGGCAGCACTTCCCCACGCCGCTGCCCCACCGAGAGGAGTGCTCGTTGCACGACGGCCAATCCCATATTTTTTATTCTCAGAGATGGAGTGTCGGCCCGTAGTGGCTAGTATGGGGGGGGGGGCGTAACTAGTAGAGGGGCGTGGCTAGTAGAGGGGCGTGGCCCGTATAGGGGGTGTGGCTCGTAGGAGGTGTGGCTCAGAGAGGCGTGGCTCATAGGGGGTTTCCCACATTCAGGAGGCAGGATGTGGGGGGGGAAGAGGACGGCTGCCCTTTTTTTAAGTAATCAACCACAAGAAGAAGTCGATTATACATTTTCTAGCCGACTAATCGACTTTGTCCGAACGAATCGCCTCAAGCGCCGAGGGGCGACGGCCAGGATACGATCGACAAGCAGCAGCCCGACGTTGGTGACGATCAGAGCGGCGAAGCCCAGGCCGGGACTCAGCGTCAGCTCTCCCGGACGACCCTTGACCTTGCCACGCACGCACCGGCTGCACCTGCACGCGGCAACGGTCAGGCACAAGGCGGGGGGAGTGGGGGCAGGGGGGTAGCGATGACATTGTCCACTGCCAAGTTGATTCAAGTCGTTGAGTCAAGTCAAGTTAGGGTCACGGTGTCTTGGTGGGAATGCCACATTCTTATGAAAGGACCAAACATAGGATGGACAAAGCCATGCTGATCATATTGACACCACCAAAGACTCGTCTATCAGTCTATTGTCTAGAGACCCCACCAGAGTCTCGTCTCTCAGTCTATTGTCTAGAAACCCAATCAGAGACCGGTCTGTCAGTCTATTATCTAGAGACCCAATCAGAGTCTCGTCCATCAGTCTATTGTCTAGAGACCCCATCAGAGACCAGTCTGACAGTCTATTGTCTAGAGACACAATCAGAGACCAGTCTGACAGTCTATTGTCTAGAGACCCAATCAGAGACTCGTCTATCAGTCTATTGTCTAGAGACCCAATCAGAGACCGGTCTGTCAGTCTATTGTCTAGAGACCCAATCAGAGACTCGTTCATCAGTCTATTGTCTAGAGACCCCAGCAGGCTCTCTCCACCGCACTTGCGCGGGTGACGCCGCCACTCACTCCCACGCGGCGTAGACGAGCAGCGCGTCGGTGGCCGTGACGGACAGGCGCTGGAAGAGCACGGTCGCCGGGCTCGCGTAGCCCACGTTGCCCACCGCCAGCATGGCCGGGTCGAACCAGCGGGCCGCGTGCGACAGCGCCAGCTCCAGCCACGCGAAGAGCGGCGGGTAGTCCAGCGTCCACTCCGACGTGTCCTGCCCGGCGAAGCGGCAGCGCATCCGGGTCAAGAGATGCAAGCGCCTTCTCGTTCGTTCGTTCGTCACGCATAGTCCAGCGAGGGACTGTCGCGCCAACAGTGGAGCGCGCCCTCTCGCGACGGCCGTTCGTGTAAACTGATCTGGGCCACCGTAGAGCGGCGTCTCGGGTGATCTGTGTGATCCACGGATCGTGGCGGGGAGGCAGGGGGGCGACGCCATTCCTTTTGAAGGTCGGAATCGTCGCTTCGAACGACGGCCGCTAACCTAAGTGCGCAATTCGCTGCAGGAGTTCGCGCGTCGAGAAGGGGGTGGGGGGGGGCGACGCAGTCCACAAAGTGACGCCAAGGGCCGTCCCCCTCGAACTGAAGCTCTCGGTCGCAGATGCCAACGGTGACGTCCCTGACGAAGTCGAACCATCGGGTTGCCAAGAAGGGCTGTCGTGGCATCGCGCGTGGAAGGACTGGCAAGCCGATCCACATCAGCTGGAAGCAATGTCCAGGCCTCGGAACCGTACCAACAACAACGCTGACAAAGCCTTCTCGACGCGTGCGGTGTTCGCTCATCAAACTCCGGCCGCGAGTTCGCAGTGAAGCGCGATAACCACTGCGCCACCGCTCCTCAGCTAAATAAACAAAGCATGACGAATTGTGCGCGGGCGTAATGATGCGTCCATCGAGTCCTCTGCATATGATGGCTGCTGCTATTGTTAGTTTAGAGCAGTGTTCTTCACTGCCAGGCCCCGAGAGCCACTGGTGGCCCCCTGGTGGCCTATAGTGCAGCCCCCTGACAATACAAAAGAGTGAAAACACCACCACCCCATCATCTCCATCGTCGTGCTGCTGTCAAACCCACAATGGTTTCAAACGTGTGGCGGCCCTCGCACCGACGATGTCTTATCGGCGCAAAGTGGCCGCGCCTCTGAAGATGAATGACGAACGCTGGGCCAGAGCTACTTCTATGATTTTACATCGGCAGGAGCTTTGACGAGCCAGATGGTTGCGTGTGAGAAGTCGCCGAGCGATGCGTCGCCACTTATCTTAACGTAATTTACACAGCGCCTTAGCCAAGGCGCTTTACAGAGACTGAAGAATGGTACAATAACGACGACGCGTGTGTGAATATAATAGTGGAGATGAATGAAATGGATGAGAGGGAAGCAATGGGGGCGAATCTGTGATGCGTGAATTTGGGTGAAAGAGAAATTGATGACAGTAGGTGATGATGATGATTGGGGTGAATGAGTGATAGCCAGTATAATGAGAATTATTATTCTGACAGTAGATGTTGAATGAATGAATGAATGGGGTTGAGTGATATAATGATAATATGAAGATGAACAGGAACGGTGATGGCGGTTACGAGATGGAGATTAAGGGGGGTCGTGGGGTGATCTCGGGGTACCAATAAGTGAGTTGTAAGGAGCGAAGGTGACTGATCACCACCAACTGGGTGAGCGAGCGAGCGAGTGAAACGCCGCACGCGTTAAACACAAGCGGTGGACTCACCTCATAGTACCATTTGGAGATGGGCAGGCTGTGCGTGATTGCCAGCCAATTGCGGTGCACCTCAAAATCCGTGGAACGACTTCGCACACACGAGACAGAGAGAACGCACGCGGGCAACACAGCACACAACACAAAGGCAAAAATTCCCCGTGTAGCCTTAACAGGCTGTTGAGGCAAGTGCTGTTAGCGAGTAGCAGCACCTACGATGGCCGGAACGGCACACGAGGGGGTGGGTGGCCAGCACCACGCCCGGCCGCCTTTGTCTCCCTAGTGGCGATGTTTACACACCGCACCAGGTACTCGTTTGAGGCCGAGTCGACCTAGGGGAGGCCCAGGATCGGTTCAGATAAACCGTCACTGGTATTGGCCGTGCGCGGGAATCCAACTCGTGTCCCCGGGTTCGTAGCGCAGCGCTCTAACCGCTGCATCACCGCTTCCCAACAGGCCAGACACTCTTCGCTAGCATGTTCAATCCACTGCTGGATGGGAAGCAATCCCTGCCGGGTGCGGTGACTTTAGCGACGGTTGGTGGATCACGTAGAGATCGGCGCGACTCCCAAACTACTTTCACACCACGCTGATCGGCGCGGTTTGGCGAAGGCGTGGGAGCATGCAAGTACAATACAATACAGGAGAACACAAACGAATGCCCACAGAACGTGCCAATTCGTCACCAGTACAGCACACCGGTGTGATGGAGAGCCAAGCCACAACATTTACAAGCCGCAACATTTACATTAATTTACAAATGAATGTGGCTTCGCTGCACTGCCCTCTGCTGCCCACTACACTGCTAGGCAGCCTTGCAACTTATGACACCTGCCCACGTGTGGCATACATTACAGAGGAAAGTTTAAACAGATGGCGAAATGTGCAGTGGACACCTACGGCCTATCTGCCCATGGATCGGGATGATGATGACGTATGGTCCCAGTAACATTGCAGTAACTGTGCGAGTATGTGGGTCTCTGTGCGAGTCTGTGGGTCTCTGTGTGAGTCTATGGGTATCTGTATGAATCTGTGGATCTCTGTGCGAGTTTGTATGAATGTATGGGTCTGTGCGAGTCTATGAATGTATGGGTCTCCGTATGAATATATTGGTGTCTGTGCGCGTATGTACGGATCTATGGGTCTCTGTATGAATATATGGGTGTCTGTGCGAGTTTGTATGAATCTGGGTCTCTGTATGAATCTATGGGTGTCTGTGCGAGTCTGTACGGATCTATGGGTCTCTATGAATCTTTGGGTGTGTGCGAGTCTGTACGGATATATGGGTGTCTGTGCGAGTCTGTATGGATCTATGGGTGTCTGTGCGAGTCTGTATGGATCTATGGGTCTCTATGAATCTATGGGTGTCTGTGCGAGTCTGTATGGATCTATGGGTCTCTATGAATCTATGGGTGTTTGTGCGAGTTTGTATGAATCTATGGGTGTCTGTGCGAGTCTGTACGGCTCTATGGGTCTCTATGAATCTATGGGTGTCTGTGCGAGTTTGTATGAATCTATGGGTCTCTATGAATCTATGGGTGTCTGTGCGAGTCTGTACGGATCTATGGGTCTCTACGAATCTTTGGGTGTGTGCGAGTCTGTATGGATATATGGGTCTCTATGAATCTATGGGTGTCTGTGCGAGTCTGTATGAATCTAGTGGGTCTCTATGAATCTATGGGTGTCTGTACTGATCTATGGGTCTCTGTGCAACGTGGCAATGTTTACTGCGGCTTGTGACCACACAGATCCTAGCACGTTGCTCCCAGGCTACCCCCACCACCCGCTCCCCTCGCGCTTAGCCTGCGGCGGCGACGAGGCGAGGCGGCTGCGAGCGTGACCCACTAGGCAGGGACGAGGAGGCACTTGAAGAGGGTCACTCCGGCGACGGTCAAGATGAAAGCGCACGTGTCGCTGGGCGCCGCCATCTTGGGTAAGGGCGGGGTGGGGAGGAAGTCGCTCACTTCCGGGTGCGTGAGTTTGCGGGGGGGAGGGGGGCGCGGCGGGGGGGTGGGGTCACGTGGTCGGGACCCGCAGCGCGCGTAATCGGAGTTTTAGCAATCGTCGAGCGCAGGCGGTGCACGGTTAAATAAAACTCGTAGCGATTAATAACCTGTAGCGATTAATAACCTGTAGCGATTAATAACCTGTAGCGATTAACAACCTGTAGCGATTAATAACTTCTATTGATTAATAACTTATAGCGATTAATAACCTGTAGCGATTAATAACTTGTAGCGATTAATTATATCCATTCAATATAGGGACACGGTACCTTATACTGGTAGGAAACTCCTGGTTACACGAGCCCACAGTGGGGTGATTGTGTCCGTCCGTCGTGCAGGGAGGGGCTGGGTGGGGAGGGAGGGGCTGGATGGGGAGGAGAGGGTGGGGACTGGGTGGGGAGGGGCTGGTCACCCCGTGGTGCCCTTATAAAACTCAACGTTTAACCTACTCACGCCGGCTTGTGCCCGCCCTCACAGTCGGGCATATTTGCGGAATACACCACGCCGCCGTTGACCCTGCAGGCCATTGACCGAGCAACCCAACGTTCATACCAGCTCCCTCCGCAGCAGGAATGTGTTTCTTGTATTCGCGTGCGTGCGAATTGATAGCGGTGTAACGAAAGCGCCATCGCCTGGATTATCAGGGGGGCGTACATTCACCTTACAGCCCAGGCTTATCGACAGTAGGGTTGACATCCAGGGGGAAGGTGAGAGGCGGGTCCACCAGGGAAGCCTCTGGAACATTCGGGGAGGTTCCAGGAAGGGCGTGGCAAGAGGCGGAGCTTAGCCCCGGGAGGGGGATATAAGCGGGACCCCGAGCAACGCGGGGCGTCGGTATCCGAAGACTGAAGAGGACCCCTGCCGCCGCTGCCGCCCCTCCATCTCCATCGACCACGTGACGGCTCGTCCTCCAGCCTCCCTGGCGCGCCGTCAGCCAGCGGTGTGTGTCGGAGAGCGGTGAGCGGCACTTGGCGCGGGGCAGCGTAGCCGCCCGTAACTAGGAAGGAGACGGAGACTGTGGCTGTACCAAGCTTTATTTGAACTAAACCTACAGGTCACTGACCGTGTCGGACGCCACTCATTACAGCGGTACGGATATGTTTTAATGTTGTGTTGCGAAAAAAAGACGAACGTGTGTTTAATGAAAGAGAATCGATGGATTATCATACCAGCACGATTCATACTCTGGATAGTGAGCGAGGAACCGATTCCAATTTGTAAATCTGTGGGTCTGTTTGTGAATCTATGGGTCTCTGTGCAAGTCCGTAGGTCTCTATGTGAATCTATGGGTATCCGTGTGAGTCTATGGATCTCTGTGCGAGTATGTTGGTCTCTATGAGCGTATATGGCCCTCTGTGTGAGTCTATGGGTCTCTGTGCCAGTCTGTAGATCTCTACGGGAATCTATGGTTCTCAGTGTGAGTCTATGGGGGGGGGGGTCTCTCTTCTGTTAGGCTAAATTCACCCAAAAACCCTACGCAAATATAACAACACACCCATCCCCAAAGACGCGTGTTCTTTTTGTCGAGAGAGCGTGACTGGTGGCTACGGGAATGATCGAGAAGGGAGCGTGGTCAGACGACGGAAGAGGACGGTGGAGTCTGCCGGTGGAGCGAGCATCCAGAGTCAGCGAGAATGATCGGGAAGGGGGGCGTGGCCTCGTGTCGGTATAAAAGGGGGAGATGCGCGGGAGACTCGGGGCTGTTGCAGTGGAGGTCTCCGCCTGATGTCGAGTGAAGTGTCTGCAATAAAGTGACATCTCAAGAGAAGTGTGTCAAGCCGTCATTACACAAGTGCCGGAGGAGGCTTTCGCGACCAACATTATCCGTAAAAGTGTTTGCTGGTTAGATCGCGGAAATATAAATGTTGTCGTTAACCCGGCAGCACCCGGCACGGCCAATTTGTAACTTCGTAAATGTTGTGGGTTTACTCTCCAGCACACTGGTGTGCTGAAGAGTAACTAAATGCCACGTTTTGTTTACGAGACAAAGCTTAATAGTTGGCTGTGTATGGTTGGTGGTGGGGGAACGGACTCATCAATATGCACGCGACCTAACCCAGATGATGGAGGTTACCGGGTCTGAACAAGTGTAATAACACACTGGAGACGGCTTGTGGAATCAGTCATTTTATTTCACTTCTTGCAGTTCACAAACACTCCCCGTTGCTGGCAGGCAACGGGAAGCGGGCAGACAGCCACCAGAGACACACCGCCACGTGGCACCCGGAGCCCCACTCGCACGTGGCCCCTCTCTCTCTTCTTTCTGTGTCTGACCCCGTGTCTCTCCTCTCTCCCCTTATTTAACGCCTGGGTCACGTGGTACACTCCAGCCAATCCTCAATAGCCTGCGCCGAATGTTCCAGATTCCCCCTCAACTCCCGGGACCACGCCCCTGACTTGTCTTCCCATTGGCTGAGGCCAAGACCAGCAAAACCAATCACCTAGCTGACATCCCGTGATCACGCCGAGGCCATGCTCCCAGGCTCTCCCCCTATTGGCTGTAAAGCGGGACCGGCAAAGCCGATCACCACGTGAATCCGACATAGGCTCTTATTACACAAGGATGCCAGCTAGGTCCACATTCCCATCTCATTCGTTATCAATTATCACCTGCCATGACCCTGTCCACTGCTGCATGAAGGCTGTGGCCAACTCTCCCGGCGCCCTTAATGACGGATGCACCAATCCTCGTGATGGGTGTCTGGGTGGCCTCGATGTCAGAGACGGTGCGCATGGCACCACTGAGAGCCTCGGTTCGAATCAGGATTCCAGCCAATGCCTGTGATTAAACTCGTGTGTTAGAGAGCTGATGGCTTATACAGAAAATCCATAGACTTATAAAGAAACTCATTACACGTGCGCAGAGGCCCCATAGACTTATATTGAGAATCGTGGGCTTGTATGAAAACCCGTAGACTCACGTAGCATCCCAGACTGACATAGAGTCCCATGTGTTTATATACCCAGGAAAATTGTAACTTTGGACCAACACGTTCCATGTTTACCGGGGTACGGCCGACTCGGGCCCGTGCATTGGGCATGGGCGGATTCATTTAATTTGACTTCATTATTCTATATTTAGAAAATGTGAACGCCCCACTGATCGTACATGTGTGTGCGTGCATGTATCTGTGTCCATATGGAGGAGGCTCGTGAAGGACGCTGATCCTGGGCAATTGGAGGCAGTCGCCCTCCAACAACAACGGAGGGCAGAGGAGCGACGCTCACAACAACGAGCGGAGCGTCGGGCGGATAAAATACTAGCTGGCACAGTAGGGGGTACAGCTGGTGGTGCATCTGCCAGCCATCTCAGTCAGCCAACCAAAGGCACCTGCCGAGTCTGTCCCGTGACCTCCTGCACCTAGCCTGGCACAGTAGGGGATACTGCTGGTGGTGCATCTGCCAGCCATCTCAGTCAGCCAATCCACGGCATCTGCCGGGTCTGTCCCGTGACCTCCTGCACCTAGCCTGGCACAGTGGGGGTTACAGCTGGTGGTGCATCGGCCAGCCATCTCAGTCAGTCAACCCACGGCACCTGCAGGGTCTGTCCCGTGACCTCCTCCTGCCAGCGAGGCTTCGACACTTCACGTGGCCTCAAAGTGCACCTAGCCTGGCACGGGCGCCGTGGTGACGTCACCATCACTTGGTGGCGAATGGCGTGAGTTGATGGGGTGGGGGTAGGTGGTGATGGGGGTGGGGGGTGTTGGTGGGGGGGTGATGGGGGCGTTGGTGGTGGGTGGAGGGTGGTGGTGGGGGGTGGGAGGTGGTGGTGGGGGGTGGTGGGTGGGAGGTGGTGGTGGGGGGTGGTGGGGGGTGGTGGTGATGATGGTGGTGGGGGGTGGTGGGGGGTGTTCGGGTTGATGGGGGTGATGGGGGTGGTGGGTGGTGGTGATGGTGGTGGGTGATGGTGGTGGTGATGGTGGTGGGGGGTGGTGGTGGGGGGGTGGTGGAGGGTGTTGGTGGGGGGGTGATGGGGGTGTTGGTGGTGGGGGGGGGGGGGGTAATGGTGGGGGGGGGGTGGTGGCGGTAGGGGGTGGTGGCGATGGGTGGGGGGGGTGTCGGTGGGTGGTGGTGATGGGGGTGGTGGTGGGGGGGTGGTGGTTGGTGGGTGGATGGTGGTGGGGGGGTGATGGTGGTGATGGGGGTGGTGGTGATATATTTTTGGGGTGCAGCTTGTAAAAGCGCCGCGCCCCACCCCACGTGCCCAGCCACGCTGGGCTACAGCAGCAGCAGCAAGCGGTGCCACACGCGGGTACACACATACACACACAGATACACACACAGATACACACAGTACACATACACACAGATACACACACAGATACACACAGACACATACACACAGATACACACAGATACACAGACACACACAGATACACACAGATACACACGCAGACACACACAGATACACACAGATACACAGACACACACACAGATACAGACAGTACACACAGATACACATAGTACACAGACACACTGACACACGCTGATACACACAGACACAGACAGTACACAGACACACACACACAGACACACGCTGATACACACAGACGCACGCAGACAGACACGCACACAGACACACAGTGGTGACACATGCGTGCTTTGCGGCACAGTCCTCGCTGTTAGCTTGCTGTACCGCCGTCGACAACAACAACGGCAGCAACAACAACATCAACAACAACAACAGCAACAACAGCGCCCGTGATGGAGAGCGAGGGAGAGAAGGCGGCGGGTCTGGACTGCTCTCCTCCTCCTGCCTCTGCGCCGCTGCGGCGAGAGTCGTCGGCGTCGTCCCACAGGGACCAGTTCGGCGTCTCCACCACCAACTCCACCACCACCAACTCCACCACCAACACATCCACCACCACCTCCTCGTCGTCGGCGGCGGCTTCGGACGAGGTCCCGGACCAGCTGAGGAGGTCGAAATTTGTGAGTTCGCCTCGGCTCCCTCGGGATCGTCGGTCGGTCCACTGCTGGATGAAGGCCGGCAATCATTTCTCGAGTGTTCGTCATCATCACCGTCACCACCATCATCACCATCATCATCACCGTCACCATCATCGTCACCATCATCGTCATCATCACCATCATTATCACCGTCATCATCACCGTCATCATCACCATCATCATCATCACCACCGTCATCATCACCGTCATCATCACCATCATCAACATCACCATCATCACCGTCATCATCCACCATCACCGTCATCACCATCATTATCATCATCACCATCACCACCGTCATTATCACCATCATCACCACCATCATCACCACCACCATCATCATCACCACCATCATCATCACCATCATCATCATCACCACCATCATTATCACCATCATCACCGTCACCATCATCATCACCATCATCACCACCATCGTTATGATGTATTCTCTCGAGAGCATGTTTATACATGACGCCGTCATCGCTAATGATTATTGCGACGAAATGATCACCAGGGGCAGTATTGTCATCGTGATCGATAAACAGTCGAGTTATTGACGTCAATGATACGCGATCAGTATAACATTCAAGGATACTGTACATCAGCAATAAATCGGTGTTAAAATCATCAATAATTAATGACTCTTAAATAACCAACAGTCGATGTCATTTGTGAGCATCGGTAATGCATCGTCATCAATAATATTGTGAAAGTGTCATTGGTGTTAAATAGTCGTAAATAATTCAACCATCACAGGATTATAATGAATGAATGTTCACCACCACCATCATCATCATCATCTGCTGCTGTAGTTGGTTTGTCTCTCCACTTCTTGATGGGAACTAATCATCATCACAGACATCATCATCACAGACATCATCGTCATCACAACATCATCATCATCACCACCATCATCACAACATCATCATCACCACCATCATCACAACATCATCATCACCACCATCATCATCACAACATCATCATCACCACCATCATCATCACAACATCATCATCATCACAACATCATCATCACAGACATCATGATCATCACAGCAACAACATCATCACCACCATCATCACCACCATCATCACAACATCATCATCACAACATCATCATAACAGACATCATCATCATCACAGACATCATCATCACAACATCATCATCATCACAGACATCATCATCACAACATCATCATCATCACAGACATCATCATCATCATCACAGACATCATCACATACATCATCATCATCATCACAACATCATCATCATCACAACATCATCATCACAGACATCACCACCACTACTACCACCATCAACATTATAGTCATCACATGTAGTGCCACCACCATCATCAATGTTAATTTCACTCCTAGTTTTAGACTGTAAATCATCAGCATCATCATCAGCGGGGTGATTACCATCACGATTATCATCACCATCGTTGCTACCATCACGGACACATCATCAGTGGCATGACCATCATAACATCATCACAACATCATCACCACCACCACTGGTATCACAACCATCATCACCACCATCAACATTGTAGCTACCACTGGTATCACAACCATCATCATCACGACCACCATCAACATCATCACCACTGGTATCACAACCATCATCATCATCACCACCACCGTCAACATTGTAGCCACCACGGGTATCACAACCATCATCATCACCACCACCATCAACATCATCATCATCACCACTGATATCACAACCATCATCATCACCACCATCAACATCATCATCACCACTGGTATCACAACCATCATCATCATCACCACGTTCATGCTCAGCCATCGTCATCATTAATCATCGTTACAACAATTACCATCATCCTAAAATCACGACATCAACAAGACGCCGTCACAATGATCACAATCACTGTGAATTCTGTCTTAATGATTGCTAAAATGATGATTGTGATGACGATGGCTCTGATGATGATGATGGCAATGGTACAGTGATTTGGGTCGGCCTTCATCCAGCAGTCGATTGATCATCATTGATGACGATGGTGACGTCACATGTATAATGATCATGGCGATGATGAATCCATAGTGATGTTGACGATGTCGATGTATGTTTAGAATGACCGTTGCCACGACGATGGCTGTGGTGATGATAACAAGAACGAAAATGTCGCTGGCGATGATCACGACATTTTCATGATCATCAAATACAATCAGACACAGACAAAGATCCCCGTGTAGCCTTCACGGACTGTTGGGGCAAGGGTAGCAGCACCGACAAAGGCCGGCACGGTGGCACACGAGGGGGTGGGTGGCCAGCACCCACGCCCGGCCGCCTTTGTCTCCCCGGTGGCGATGTTTACACGCAGCACCGGGTACTCATTTGAGGCTGAGTCGACCTAGGGGAGGATGCCCAGGACCGGTTCAGTGTGTGTGTACACGCGTGTTTGTGTGTACACACAAACACGCGTGTACACACAAGCACGTGTACACACACACGTGTACACACACGTGTACACACACACGTGTACACACACACACACGTGCGCGCACACGTGGTAGGCATGACGTTTTGACAGCTGGTAAGGAAGTGGTTAATATTTGACAGCGCCTGTTTCATAAAACCTACACATTTGAACATCATGTACTTGTAAACATGCATGTGTGTGTGTGCTCACCTCGTAAGTGCACCTAGCCTGGCACAAGCGCCGTGGTGACCTCACCGCCGCTGTTGTTGTTGTGCTCGCCAACAGCACTTGCCCCTAAAGTCTGTTCAGAGCTCTGCGGTTGGGCTGGGGGATCTTTACCTTGTGTGTGTGCGCGTGGGGGAGCGGTGGCGCAAGTGGTGAGGCCACTGCCCATTCGCACCTGGCGATTCCGAGTTCAGTTCCCGTTCACGGCCAACATCGGTGACGAATATGTGAACATGTGCCCGGCCTCTCCTAGGCTGGCTCAGCCATAAATGTTGAACCCGGTGCATTGTGTGTGTACAGCACATCAGCGGTGGGGAGACAAAGGCGGCCGGGCGTGGTGCTAGGCCCTGCCACTCCCTCTCGCGCCGTGCCGGCCTTCATCGGTGCTGCTCGCTATAGCAGCACTTGCCCCTACAGTCTGTTGTGTGTGTGTGAGTGAATGACATGTGCGTGTGTTAGCCACTGCTGCTGTCACTGCAAGGGTCCATATTGCAGTGGCAGAAGCGAACAGAGGGGGGTGAGTGTGAGTGTGGGTCACCCGCCAAATGTTTTTGAAAGTCCCTACACGGACCTCGGTAGTCCACTTGATTCCGCTCGGTGATGATGTTCGGTGATGACGCTCGTGTGTTGAACTTCTTTCGCACCGTACGGGGGGAAGGGAGAAGAAACTAAACACAAAGACGGTTAAACGGGCTCGTCCCCAATCGCCTGTGCTGGACACAAACCTTTCGACTGTTTAACCACAAGCCAGAACAACACCACCCCCCCCAACAGTTCAGCCCATGCGCGATGGCTTTGGTTTATTTCCTTATCAGCCACGGCCAATTTTCTGCGTGGTTTCCACTTATTATTTTACTGGGAATGGGGGAGGGAGCGGCGGTGCAGCGGTTAGCACACTGCGCTTGGGAACCTTGCGGATGGACCTGAGTTCGATTGCTGGTCGCGCATAACGTCGTTTGCAAGTAATTTCCCAAACTGGTTCTGGCCCTTCTCCGCTTCACCAACTTGTACTGAGCATTGCGGTGAAGTATGGCCTAAAACCACCCAGTGACCGGTACGGCGAGAGGGGGGGATGCGTTGGTCAAGCGGTGGATTGAAAGTGCTGTCGGTTGTCATTATTGACGTGCCCATGCAGGGTCATGCTTAGTTATAAGTCATGGTAAGGGTGACCTAACTCCCTCGCCTGGTAAACCGATAAAGCCATGTTGCAGGCGCGGGTGGGTTGATTCTAGGATCTTGAATTGTGAGAAGAGACGAGACGTTGGGAAATGAGTGACAAACGGTGACTCACCAGTGACTCACGGTCTACCCTTACCCGTACCCGGCCGCACCAGGGTCGCAAACGGGTACACCCGTACCCGTACCCAGCCGGGTACGGGTAGCCGGGTATCGGGTAGGGTACGGGTATCGGGTACCCGATTGCGACCTCTGCCTGGTATACAGAAGGCTGTGGGTTCGATCCCGACCCTGCCACCTGTACATTTGGAGTTGGCGTGTTCTCCCCGTGGTCGCGTGGATTCTTCTCCGTCCACGTTTATCAACGTGCATTTTAGAGTGTTTGGCTGCTGCTCTGCATTCCCACGTGATGATGATGACGAGCCACTTGGCGGAGCTATCATTTGTGGCTATCAGGTCGCTTCTGAAAAAGAGCTGCACAGGACCCGGAGAAAAATCCACGCCACCAGCGGGAGCACACGCAAACTCCAAATATGTAGCAGGCGTCGGGGTCGGGATCGAAACCACGACCTCCCGTGTACCGGGCGAGGGAGTTACCATCTGTGGCACCCATTCGTTTACCCCTTTGAAGTATTTACACAGCAGCGGACCGGGTGCGCACCTCCGTAGGCCGCTGTGAGACCACGGGGCTCGGATAGCGTGCCTCGGCCGTGAGACCACGGGGCTCTGCTGGGAGGGCCGGGGTGCCAAGGCCAGGCCTTTAGCGCTGGTTTGTTCCTACAACCTTTGGGCAATTGCCCTTTGATCAACGTGGCCGGTGTTCTAATAGGTCAAGTCCCTAAGTAGCAACGTGACCTCACGCTCAAAGTGTCTATTGCATCGCACGGACGGGTGAGCGGACAAAAACAGACGGACGCAGGACGGAGAGAACGCGCACAAACGCATTTGAAAACTTTTATCTACAAAAGCGCTAAAAATGTAAGTGACTCAATAGGACGTGAAATGCCACGGCGCCCTCACTCCCAAGCGGTAACCGCGGGGCGCGCCCGTCCGCTGGCTTACGCGTCCGCCACCTGGTTTAACGAGCCGGCGGACGAGTTCCGCGCAGCGTCGCACGGAGCCTCCACCTCT